AAATGATTGAGATCAATAGGCATAATGGTACAACTATGGAGTCGTTCAAAAAGGTTATACTTTTATCAAAAATGGTATAAAGAAGCAATCAGAGTCAAAAACTAAAAGATGGCTGCAATGATATATGTGTGCCTCAAAGTTGTAATCTCTTTGTATCTTAGCCCCAACAATAGGGCCAGAAGCCTTTCCACGCTTATGGTCGCCATTGTCACTAAAGACCCTACACAAAATGCAAAGCTTGTGACGTAGGCTGCGTCATCTGCGTATCGCCAAAAACTCCAGTGTTTGTGTACAATTAACATCCGCCAAGTAGCAGCGAGAGGCTGGGCAACGAGACCAACCAACAGATCAGTTGTTGCTTGACAAAAATACAAGAGTTTGACGGCAAATGAAGGGAAGATTCCTTGTGAAGGGCGACAAGGATTAAAGAATTGCCAAGAAACGCTGTGACGGAGAGGAGAATGTGCACCGTTGAGAAAGAAGTTAATAGCTGATACAGAGAAAATTCGTGAAAACGTATGTTAGTCTGTGTTTCTCATGTCAAATTTGAATTCGCCATCGTCAATCAACAGTCTTCTCTTTTTCCCCCTTAATTTACCCGAGAGATATTTCTTCTCCACAGCACCTGCTTGGCCACGATCACTTAAAACCTTTTATTCCTCATCCTTTATCATATAGAGGCTTCCTAAATAGCGTCCATCTATTAAAAATGCGTGGACAAAATGCATGTCTTTTGCGTGAAATGAATTGATAAAAAGAAGCTTTAGACAACTTAGAGACCCTTTAATGTTTTAAAATTTTAAACTGAATAAAGATTGACCACACCGGTACTTTTCCTAAAGAAAAGTCGTTTCTTTTCTCTTTGCTCTGAGAGAGAGACTTGTACCTAAATGTATATGGTGAATATTTCTGTCGATTGATTATCTGAAACATTTGATGGCTGATCTTGGCTTGTTTTTCTCGACGATTGCTAAATAGTAGAAGTCCACAATGCCTGTTGGAAAACTGCGGGCCTCAATCAGCTAAGGGAAATTCAAGAGCAACTTAGCACCAAAAGGTCACTCGCGAGGCAAATTGGGCAAATTTAAAGACATCGGCTCTATTATTAATTAAAAACACTAGAAGAAAGTGCTCGTTTGTCACTTTTTTAATGCGAAATGTAAGCAGAGGATTTAAATAGCGAGTCCTTTAGAAGGGCGGTTAACTCCAAGCAACATTTTTTCCTCAGTCTGAGAATTCTTGGCAAATCGGCAAATGTAAAGACATCGGCTAAATCATTAATTAAGAATGTGAAAAGAAAGCGCCCTTCAGACACTTTTTGAATATAAATTTAAGCAGTTTATTTAAATAAAGTGTCATCTATTAGGGCGAGTAATTCAGAGAAACTCTTTTTCCTCTGTCTGAAAATTCTTAAATATACTGCACTGGTAAGGCTTCTTAAAAGACCTAAGCAAATTGAAAAAAAACTGAATGTGTAGAAGAGTAGTTATGACAAACAGAAGTATGGTTTGAACTAAATAGCAGATTTACAAGAGACATACTGGATATACAGCGACCATCTTTTTTAAAGAACATTTTTAATATTTACTAAATTATTTATTCGAAATTCCTTTCTCATGCTAACACTGAATTTTGGAAGACAGATCGATCAAGAATTCCCTGACAATTGGCGACGCCAATATATATTGTTTTATACGCCCAATTGAACTTCTTAAAAAGAGTGAATACCATCTTCACACATTTATAAGTATTGATATGGACAATTGTTTAATAACAAAACAAACTTGAGTCTGTTGCTGGTCTTGTGTTCTGTTGTCTTGGAAACAACGCCGAGCGCTCTCTTACAGTTTGATAGAAGAAATTGTTCTGTCTATTGAAACATAAAAACTGTTACATCGCTAGTTCTCCCGCCTAAGTCTTCGCAGTTACGTCATTCATACTCATATTGCTATTTAGGTTTAACCCCTTACTCCTACGAGTGATCAAGACAGAATTTCTTCTTACAAAATCAACACAATATCAAGCAGAAAAGTGATGGGAATAAATAGAAAAATGTCAATTAGGGGATTACTAGTTGATCCAATACCTAATTCTCCTAACTTACCTCACAAGAATTGTATGGTGGAAAGGAAAGGAAAATTACTAATGATATCTGGGAGATAAACGGTTAATAAGACAGCAAAATCAAATTGACGTCCTGATTCTTTCATAACCGAGCATGCACATATATTTCTTGATGATGATTAGTTAATAAATTGTAGCAGAATGAAAATACTTTGCTTAGCATGTGATCACGACGAGACACTTGAAGAACCGTGGTACAAAAATTCTGTTCTGAAGCTCATTTAGAGGAAGTACTGCAATGACTCAATACGCTGTATGACAGAACAAGCAGGTGTATTAAAATCACAACTCTTGCACTATTTTAGAAATACGGCGTTAAACTCGACATCCCACCTTTTAAATCGAACGTCATGAAATATTCCATATCGTATGGGGGTAAATCTTTTGTGGAATCTCTTGCCGACCGAGTGCCATAAAGCAGATTGTTTTAATAGCTTCTCCAGAATGACTCAGAAACTAAAGCTAATTAAAGACAATGACTTTGTGAAACCGTTCTGCTGGATCTAACTGTCCGTCATTATACGTTGTAAGCTAAACGATATTGTTTGTCAGTCATTTTATTCATTACTATGTTGATCAGATAGAAGCTTATGTTGATCATGACACGACCCCACATGGTGCTAATATTTCACCCCCGTTGTGTTCAAATAAAGGTGATATTTACTTATTGGTTACTTACTTACTTACGTACTTACTTACCTACTTGCCTAATTATGTACTTACCTACTTACTCACTTATTTACTAATTATCAATGCTTCAGGCTTTCAACTGGAAACAAGGACTATCCAAACAAGTTAAAGGTTGATCAAAGATTATCTTGAACTTCCTATCTAATAAAAATGTCCCACGTGCGTTCTCTTATAATACTTGTTACTTTAAAGAGTTTCTGAAATAAATTTGATGCTTCATATACCTTATTTGGCGGTTTAACATACTATGATATAAAGCGAGAAATTTGTGAGATTTGATTGGTGGACAGTATTATTTCAGTGTAATAGTGGTATAACGGCAAAATTGGATGACAACACCGAACACAATTACGCTTTTGTTTTAAAAAAAATTGCTGCAAGATTCTCGGAAATTTCCGGTGAGGAAATACATAGGCCCGCCGAAAAAGCAGTAAACAAAAATATGGTCAAAACTAGTACGACGTGGATGAATGTTTGGAAGTTGTGAGCGGAAAGCAAGGGTCCTAAAGATGACATTGTCAAATACGAAGATAAAGAACTGGACGAGTGTCTCTCGCGATTCTTAGCCGAAATTCGCAAAAGCAAGTGTAGTTTGCCCATTCAGCACAAAAATACAGTGACTCCAGCCTACTAAACAGTAGTCCACCACTTTCATGGCTCTCAGTTGAAGATAAATTACGGAGCTAGCGTTCGTGTTTTTCAACAGAGCAGTAATTAAACACTGGGAGAAGCTTATGCGTATCTTATTTGTAGTTTCCCTTTACCGCAGCAGTAACTGCGAAAACCGTGATTTGAAAATTTCTTTCATTGAACTATTTCATATTGTTCGCCTTCAGTGATTTGTACTGGTTTCACAAAAAAACTGTCAATCCTTTTTCTTATTGACCTAAAAAGATTGTTACGAATGCAGACGTCTGTGTTTGTTTTTCCAATCGTTACCGAAAATTTCTCGGCTTCTACTATAAACAAATAGTAGCATGACCTATATGTGGTATTTTGAAATAATCTGGCTCATAATATTTCAAAATTGTCCAAAATACCACTCACCGCTTCGTGGCTCGTGGTAGTTTGGACAATTTTGAAATATAAATCGCGGTATTACTAATAGATACCACCGCAGGTCATACTGTACTGACACGCGGGGATATTTTGCGAGTTACGAGTTACGAGGTATTTAAGAATTTTAGCTTCTAGTTTCGAAATACATCATACGGCCTCATCTGAACTTCTTATCGATCGCATGAGGCGTGAGCAAAAGACGAAAGCAACACCAACGAAACCATTGATTAAAAGGTAATTTAGTATTGACAACTGAGTTGAAAACGTAAATTGACCACCGTAAAGAGCAAAAAAGCTTTTAGCCCCTCGTCAATCGCTCTGACCAAGGGCTAACGCTCGAAACGTCAGCTTTTTCACTCTTTGCGGTGACTAATTTACGTTTTCAACTCAGTTGTTAGCACTAAATTACCTGCTATACTCTCCCACCGACGCGGCACCACAGTTTCTTTAGAAACTTACCCCCTTAATCAATTAAAAGCGTCATTATGGCCAACAAAAAAATCTGTAACGCTTAAACTTCATTTTTAAAAACACGAGGCCTGAAGAAAGGGAAAAAACACAAAATTTGGATCGTTCAGAGAGACCATTATGTAGCTCCGTTTTCCGTCCATATTTTACCCTGATCTGCAGTGTAATACCGTGGCATTTTTTGTCCGTTCCATCGCCCCAATATAGTAAAGTGACGTAGTAGTGGAATGACTTAGAGTATATTATATTTGATTATTCATTACATCCATTTTGAAACCACTGGTGATCCTTGCAATCTGATTGGCCAACAGCAGAGTGATTTATTAGCGAATTACACCATTTTTTAGCTCTAAATCGCTTTTTCCGCCAGTGAGATATAAACGCTAAAAAAAAAAAAAGTCAGATTCAAGGCTTGTGTAAAGTGAGAAAGGAAATTTCGGGAAATGAAAGACGATGGAGCCAAATTTTGTAGTCCTTGTCCTCAAAACCTTTCTAGTATTTCCAGGAAGTTTTTCGGTTTTACAATGGATGTAAAAAAGCGTCAGTTTCGTGCAGTTTTGGTCTGAAATCACTTTTGTGAATTACGTGTACGATTTCGGACCAAAACTGCAATTCACTTAGTTGTCTTCGTGCAATTAACTTTTTAAATCGAGGATGATCTAACTCCGCGGACAGCAAAGTGTTTGCTTGATTGTCTGCGTAGCTGCTTGTCTTACTTCTTTTATCTTCCAGCAGTAAAGAAAAGGATTTAACGTCGAGTTGAAGAAAATTAAGAAAACCGCGATGGCCTTGATGACTAAATGTGATGAAGATATTTCACTGTATGCCATCACAATTTCCACTACAATTTGCGGTGCATAACAAACAACTAATGCCAACTGCACCCACAGTGCACCGTTTACTGCCTTTCTGTATCGAGCGATATTCAACGCATTTGAATGGCTCGGCTGTTGTTGAATATGATCTTGTACTTGTGCCTGATGATGACTGAGAGTGCGAAAAATCTTGGTGTACGAGACGATTGAAATAAGCAAACAAGATGGGATAACGATACGGCCGTACAAAAAGGTTATACGGTAATCTAAAAGGAAGCATGAAGCTGCAAGACCAGACAAAACCCAAAACATCGCTACAATGATGTATGTGCGTTTTAAAGTTACAATTTGTGTGTATCTCAGTCTTAACAACAGAGCAAGAAGTCTATCCACGCTTATGGCCGTCATCGTAAGTAGAGACACTCCACATAATGCGTAGCTTGTTATGAAGCCTGCGTCCTTTGCGTATCGACAAAGACTCTTCTTTTCGTAAACCAAGGACATCCAATACGTAGCATAGAGAGGCTGGCAAATAAGACCAACCAACAGATCAGTTGTTGCCAGACAACGATACAAGAGTTTGGACGGTGGGTGAAGGGAAGAATCCTTGTGAAGGGCAACGAGGATGAGTAAACTCCCAAGAAATGCTGTGATGGAGAGCAAAATATTGACTGCTGATAGAGAAACGGTTAGCTGTTGTAGTCCACCAAACAAAAAGAAGGAGCATGCCAGTTCTTGAAATGTTCTCGGCGGTGTTCCACTTCCTGTCAAATTTGTTGCCACCATCATTTCGCAGATCAATAAATAAGCTTTTCCCCCCGCAAGTTGTCAGGAATTGCAGCGAGAAATATTTTGTCACAATACAACATGCCTAGCGCCACGAATGTTCTAATTAATTTTGCTTTGTTGATAACATTTACCTAAAAGATTCATCAGCAACGTTTACTCTCTTTTATTGTACACACAAACTGCTTGCTCTGTCACATGACACGTCAATTTCGTCAGGGAAATTCGCGAAGGTCATTATCATCAGTTATCGTGGTACAAGGGAACCATTTTTTTTTCTTTAAAAGTAATCTCTTATATTTCATCCGTCTTTTTACTCAAAAGGACCGGTGCCGGATTGGATTTAAAATGTCTCCTCTTATTCACTTTAAGTGACAGAAACATTCCTTCCCCCCCGGAGAAATTCTGTCTTTTCCTCTGATTATTCAGAAACGCCCGAGTTTTATAACACAACAATGTTATGCACCATCAGAAAGGTCAGGGTTACATTTTCCTTGTTTCACTATACAATGGAAAAAGGTCCCAGAAATTTAGTAGAACCTCCACCGTTAGGTCTCAGTGACTGATAAGTATTTAAACTATTTCTGTCATCTCGAGATCTTTACCGAATCATTGTTAGTTTCGGGCAACTGAAGTTCAAAAACAGTGTTTAAAATAAAACATTCAGCAGTGTGGAAATAATTAAAAGAAACAAATAGGTTTTACAGACGAGATGTATAGACAGACGTGCCAAGTGCAATTGATTGAAAACAATGTTTTGATTTTGTGACTAACAAGCCCTTTTCGAAATAATTCTGCAGCTTAGGAAACAGATGTTTCTTTCTTTCTTTCTTCGCAGGTTATCTGTGTTCTGCAAAAAGGGCCAAGCGACATTCACCTAAACAGTTATTTCATAAATTGACGTGAATTTGCTTCCTTTCTAGCATGTCAACGATGATCTAATATTATAAAAACGTGAGGCTGTATTTACTTACCAAAACAAACGAGTACGACTGATAAGTAACCATAACCATTGTCTGAAAGCGATTGACAGATGTATGAAGCGTGTAAAAAAATTAAAACATGTAAAAAAGGGAGGCTTTCCTATTAAACAAAGTGTCTGCTAAGCCTGCTTGTTTATTTAGGTATTTGATTAGTATGAAAGGCAATGGTAGCCATTGCTATCATCATTTCAGTATTGGATGAAAAAACTCTTCCTTCACAGTAAGCGAACCATAAGGTACATTTTATTCCCAAAATATAAAATGAATAAAACTAATTACAAAAAACCCCGAAACCATAAGTGTTATCAAACAGTATGATATGGAGGGTGGATGGAGGGAAGAATCCTTGTAAAGGGCAACAAAAACAGCAGCTGCCAAGTAGTGATTATGTAAATCCCTCACTGGTCACTTCACGTGTACCTCCGCCAATGTCATCTATTGCATAACTTGCACTTATTGCAAAAAGTTAAACATTGCTGAAACAGGAAGACGAATAGATGACCGATTCCAAGCAAACCTTCGCGACGCTGAAAGAATTGATAAGGATGCATTCAGTTCAAACCAGTCGCTAGGCACTAATCATTCGAAGCATGTGGTAGTTTGCGGCCTTTCCCAAGATCAAGGCAATTCGGAAAGCCGGAAAACATTAGAACAATAATTTATTTTTCAAATCGGCACTCTTAATTTCCACGGTATCAACGAGCGCTTTTCAATCAACTAATTTATTATTGTTTGCTAGTCACCATATTTCAACCTTAGCGTAGCTCCATTTTTTCCATATAAACACACGCAACCCACAATTCCTCCATCCGCTCCGACGAAAGGCTAGCGCTCGAAATGTCAGTTTTGTAACTTTTTACGGTGGCCAATTTATGCTATCAACTCAATTGATAATACTTAGTTACCCTGTTATACTCTCCCACCGACGCAGCACCACAGTTTCCTTAGAAACTTACCCCCTTTTTAGCTCGTGAATTGCGCGCATGCGCAAGAGCGAGTTATAGCTATGATGTGGAGAATGGCGCTCGCTCGGTTGGTCGATTCCTGTAAACTTTTTTTAATTTTAGGCTTTTGAGTGCATTTGATAGTTTTTGGCGAGTAATAAACAAACGAAATGGCGACCTTTGTTGCTAAGAATAGTGGTGAGGTGAAAAAGAAGCCAATGATGATCTTAAAAGAGATCAAAACCAAAATTTACCCAGGTGAAAATCCAAAATGACGGTGGCAGTCTTGGCTTAGTTATGTCACTCAAAACTCGTTCCCGTTTTTCTCATTTGATAAAGAGGGAATCATTAATGTTTTCATTAAGACAGTGTTTCCTTAATTTTCCAATATTTACAATGATAGACAGTAAATTTCACTTTTCACCCACATTTACTTCCAACCTTTTCTTTTGAACCAGAAACACAAATAATATATATATGTTATTTGCCGGCTGGGAGGTCCGTATAGTGAAAAACATTTCAAGACCGAGGTCACAGTTTTTCACCATACGGACCGATCCTTAGCCGGTAAATAACATATTTATTTTTTTTAAACTTGACGAAATTCTTTCCGAAAGAACCCGAATGATTTAGGGCTGCAAATACGGCAAGATCTTTCATAAACTGAACAATTTTTGAGCGAGTAAATGGTAGTTAAAATAGAGGTGATGCAAATTAAAGAGAGATGCCTCACCGAAACATTTTCATTTCCGTAACGATAAAGGTGATTTAAAAGGCTTCCAAAGAAACTTTGAAACATTGTTTTTACAAGTATCTGTCACAATCTGACACCTGCCAATTAGAGAGCGCATAAGAAAAAAAAAAAAAAAAACCCCAGAACATTTGAAAAACAATGGTACTAGTTTGGCGAGGACTGTCACGACAATGTTTTCTTCAAAAACAGTCAATGATCTAACGGAAAGTATTATTCACTCTCATCGACGATTCATTCATGTACGAAGATTTCAGTACCTCTGTTCATTAGGTAAACGGCGAGGACAGTAAATGTGAGTAAATTCAATTTTTTTATTTTGAAGTTGTGAGAGTTTGTTCGTTTTTTTGCTGCAATGGTATGTGTAAATCTGGTCTTTCCTCCACAAAAACTAAATTCGGGTGGCACACTCCAACGAAACAGACAGGGATTTAATGCGGCCTTTCCTCATTAAACTCCTTCAGTTTCTATTGTGCAATTTACGGTACAAATGTTCAAATTGAACGGACTCGGAAAGACTCACCGAGAGCGTAAATTTGTTGTAGAACTTAAATTAAAACTTCGCTCGCTCTTTTACTACGAACAAATTGTTAAAGAAAATTCAGATATTAAATGAATGAAAGTTCCATCTTTCAGTTTAACTGTAACCAAATACTTCACGTTTTAACTTGCTATGTACTTTTTGTGAACGATTAAAATTAACTGCAGACGGTTTTTAGGCCGTTTGTCAACCAACGTAATTGACACTATTGCTTATACAAATTCATTCTGAAACCAATATTTTTCTGTCGACAAAAGTGGTTTGAAAACAGAGGATTCATAAGTTATTTATAGGCTTGAGGTAGTGACCGACGTCTTTGCTTAAAATTACTGCCCAGCCGGAAAAATGAGATATATTTATGAAAAATGGCAACGAAAGTTGGGATGTACTCGGCGACTCACGAAAGCGTTACCGTGGCCCGTGGGCAGAGATAGGAAACTACTGACCGGGTAAAGAACCAATCGGATTGCAGGATTCGTTACTGTGCCCCCTAAAAAATATATTTATATATATTTAAAACACATGACATCATTCACCCTTGTCAAATGTAATAGCATGATCATTTCAATTGTGCCTTCTTATCCCAATGTTACTTTGTTTCTTTGCTACATTAGCGAACACTGAACTACTGCTCGTACTGTAAATATGACAATCAACCACAAAATTCCCTGAACCAGATAACATTAAACATAATCCAAAAAATTATGTAAGTCATCTGTCAATTCCTCACTCCATAAACTGTCCGATATAGTTTTAAAAAGAGGCATCGAGGAGCAAATGATTCACCGGCAGTGATCTCGAGGTAGACCGTTTCGAAAAATGATCTCACATAATTCATAGATAGTATGGTTGTATCAACTGAGTTGATGATGCAAATTTGCCTCCGTAAAGAGTTTCTAAAGCTAACCTGTCGGACGTTAGCCCTTCGTTGGAGCGAAAATGTTCATAGACTTGCTCCATAAATAGTCACATCACAAAATCGAGGCTATAGTTACCTCCTTGACAGTCCGCCAGATCAATCCGTTGTTTCTAAACCACCTTTTGATGACATCAACAATTTTGATCAATAAGTTCCTGTTGCAAAAAAAATTCGTTACGAAAGTGGAATCCCTTGGCCTGACGAATCGTTATATCAGTGCGCGAACAAGAAAAAAATTTTTCCTTACATAATTATAGTTTTTGAAATAAGTTTTTATAGATCACATTTGTGAACATTTTAAAATACACCCAAACACTTAAAAAATATCTGACTCCAGGGTCAGCGAAGTGATTGTTTACTGGCTTGAAAATAAATAGTTTAGGGATAAATTGGAACACACCACAACCACAGTTCTTTTACGAGACGATGGTTAAATCTGATGGATGTAATACATTATCAGAAGCGATCACAATTTTCCTATACTTTATAGTTCACAACAAACAACTGGTTCTGACCGCGCTCCTAGAGCGCGTTTTTTTCCTCTTTTCCTTTAAATGCATTTCCATGGTCGAAATAATTGTTAGCTAAAAATACATATATATTTTTTATCAGTTCAGTGTAAAAGCTTAAAAATGTTTTCTTATTAGTTAGATTATTTGACAACGTCTGTGTTCGTAGTTTTTCTTAAATAGAATTGTATTTTTACAAATGGCATGGCATATATTTATCGAGTAACAGGTGGCAAGCTTATAAGATAGTCATTTTATGCAAAGGTAGCGTTTAACAAGAGCGAGGTCTAATTATTATTACTGCGCAAAAATTATGGGATCTAGTCTCTGTTCTAGGCTAAGAAAATGGAGAAAAAATTTCTCGGCAAAAAAGACTGACGATAGAGAGACTCTGAATGTTAATGGAGACGTTGTCGATAGAGAAGAATCGTCGAAAGAAAAGCTCAGGGAGATTTTAAAAGAGGAAGATGTTGAAGAAATAAGAATCGCTTCGCAAACCAAGGAAGATCTAAGAGAGCTGATAGAAGATCTAAAGCAGCAATTGGCAAAGCATCGGTGCAATAAACCAGAGAAGGAAAAGTTATTGCTTGAGTTAGGTCACGCTCACTACAAATTGTGTAAGTTCCCTTCTGCCAAAGATTACTACGAGCAGTATTTTAGTCTGGTGAAACGGCAACGTTCGTTAATTCATTTACAGAGAGCTTACTGCAACCTGGGATGTGTTCATAGAAGGCTCGGTGATTTCGAAAAGGCCACAGAGTACTTCGAAAAAGGTCTAGCGATTGCTGAAGAGTTACAAAACAAAAGTTGTCAAGCGAGGATGTACAACAATCTCGGAAACATCTCCGAGATGCAGCAAGACTTTGAAGGTGCCATTTATTATCAGTCACAAAGGAGAAAGATTGCCGAAAGTTTAAAAGACGGTAACAGCGTGTCGAAGGCCAACGCGAGTATTGCTAACGCATATCACTGCTTGGGGAATTTGAGGGCGAGCATTGCTTATTATGAAAGAGTTGTGCTTTGGTTAAGGAGAAAACTAGGTAAGCGACGGTGTCTCTGTAAGCTGCAAAAAGTCTTAAGTGGATCCAATATTTGGACATTGAAATATTTTAACAAAGAAAAAAAATATAAAGCTGGTGAACTTTAATACGGCTTAGTTTTTTAAATTATCATCTTTTGAGAGAAGGTGTTAAAAAAAAGCCTCAGTCTGACAACTAGTGACCTCGGGTTCCCATTAAGTCTACAAAACGTTTTGGGACTTATAATCCTAATTTTCATTGAAAAACAAAGATTAAATACGTTTTCTCCCCCCCCCCCCCCCGCTCCTATAACAGTGTTGTTGCTACAGTGTTGTTGCTTATATAATTGCTGTTGCTGTTTTGTACTGTGTTGCCAGTTTTGTTTTGGTGGGTATAACCTTTTAATTTGTTTCGGCAAAATTTTAGGAATTTTAGGCACAGGAGGACCAAGCTTGATTATGATTTTTCGATAAACAAGTTATTCATTGACGAGACTGTCATTCAGCCAAATACCTCTTCCTTCCCGTTACATTTCTTAGAAGTTTGTTCAAATGTGGCAGCAGATGCACAAATGCCCTACTCCACAATGTAAAACCGTCGCATATGTTTCGCGTTCCGTTGCCTCGTTGCTTTAGTGGAATAATAATGTTCAATATATTTTACTTGATTTCAGTTTATCAGGAGCGACAAAGAAGTAGATTGGATCTCGTGTCACAGTTGCCAATTGAAGACGAACAGTGGGTGTAGGATATACTTGAGAAAAAAAAAACAAGAAGCGGTCAAAAGTTGCAGTTTGAAATAGCTTAAATTTGATTTGCGCCAAATATTAACACGAGCGTTCGTACAAGTTTAAGCTGCGATGCTTTCCTTTCGTTTATGTAAAGTAATGGCGGGCTAAGCGGTTAATTTATTTCCAATTGAAATATCACCAGCTATCATATCTAATTTACTTAAACAGAGACATCATTAAGGTATGTTGACCTCTTCTACTAAATAAGAGACGACAGAAAAAGAGCAAGTAAAATTCTCCAGTGATTTTTTCTTGCTTTTACTCATGGATATACGAAGCATAGGAACGGTAATGTTGGGATTCGACATGCAAATTTCTTAGCCTTGGCCCAGCCTTAGGAGTCTGGGGATGGCATGCATCTTATCAAAGATGGCGGACTGATAGTTAGATATGGCGAATCAAATAGGGAGAAATTTTGTGGGGGAAAACGTTTGATTCTGTGTCTTGGAATCATTGGCTTTTAGTATTATGACAGTATATTCTAATTATGTTATATGCAGCACATCCATGAGTACACCATAGTGTCACTTTTATTCGTGTATTCATACACCAAATTTTTTTGTGAAAACCCATGAACTCGATTCTATTCTTGATTCGACAAACTCCTTTTTAATTACTTTCTTAGACTCCAAATTTAACGTGGTTACAATGCATGCATTTTCTTGTCATGTTTCTGCTGCTAGCCATTTATCTTTACCGTTTAGTAAACCGTATTTCCTTGAGTGAGTATCAACGTGCCTGTTGTTTCTGACCGTCGATAAATGTTGCTCTGGCCTCACTGCGAGGAATGGGGCAGGACAATGACCTCCTCGGTAACATTTCCATTTTTCTATTCGGATCTGAAAGGAAGCCTTCGCTGAAGGATTTTGATTTGCTCAAGTTCTTATGCTTCTCCACCCTTCGTTTGTCTTTCAGTGAATAGTTTGTAATCTTTTCTTGGTTGTGTCGTGTTCTTTTTAGCCATGGCTGAAAGTCTGTGTTACCTTTTATTCCTACCATTTCTTTCAGAACTTTCCAGAACTGAGGATTTCTGAAACAGTAGAGGATTGGATTCAGCAGAGAGTTTAACTGTGCTAGACTTTGTGTTGAACGGAAAATAAAATACTGGTTTGTTTGAATTACGGGAAAAATATCTACGAATATAAATGCAGTTCCGGCTGGCAGAAAAGAAAAGAAGGCAACAAAGCTTAATAAGGCAGTCGTTGTAGCAATTTTGTATTCTGCTTTTTTTGTTATTAATACATTGAACCGACGGATGTCAGCTATCTTGCTTTTTCGCACTTCCAGAAACACCACCAAATAGAAATACAAAATAAGGATTAGACAACCAGTTATCACGACAAGTTCACTCAACATCCAAGCTTTCACAGCATTCCTGGAAACTCTCAAATCCTGCATGATAAAAGCTGGACATGCTGTAAAAATCGTCCACAACCAAGTGGCTAAAGCCAACTTTCTGAGACAGCTTCTTCTGGCAATAACTTGGTAGTCAATCCACCTTCGAATCGCCACGTACCTCTCCAGGGCAATAGCTGTCAAATGATATACTGAACATGCTAAAAGGATATTACTGAGGCAAAAACTGGCCCAGTCTAAGCGGCAAATATACGGAAACGAGACTCGGTAAACAATCAATACATCAACGGTTACTGTCGCAGGGATATCTAAGACCCCAATGAGAAGATCTGTTACGGCCATGCTGGATAGTAAAATGGTCCACTTCTTTCTTAAAATGTTCGTGTTCTGCATGGTAATGATAGCGAGAGTGTTTAAAAGTACGATACAAGGAGATGCAACAGATCGGATGATGACAAGAATATTCCAGCTGTAATCGTTCCCATCTTCGTTGAAGATCCATTTGAAATTTTCTCTTTCTGTGCAATAGAAAAGTGAATTTGGACTCGCCTTGCTAGCAGAGTCTTTGGTTGTTTCTGTACAGTTTAGGCACATGTCCATGAAATCGATGCTGTTTCTAGTCGTCCAAAAAATTTAACCGTTACCTATTTTTCATTCAGGCACTTTTCTTTCCAGGTGCAAAGGTTACCTTGCTCACTGAAAATATAATTCATGCAAATTACTTTTTTGCATATTTAACGATGATTAAGTAAACAATGACAATGGCTTTTCCACATCAGGAAATATAGTTTTCTCATATCATAGAAGAGATAAAGTGGGATTTAGGGTGCTATAAGTCGTAATTCAATTTGCTTAGTTTGGACACTCGTAAACTAGCGGGATTTTTACGAAGACTGAACTGCTCTTGATGCAGTGTGATGCGACGTTAGCCGGTGCACCAGTGGACTATAAAAAGAAAAGTAAAAAGTTTTACCCTGGATTTTTCATAATATAACTTGCGTCACGAGAGGGACAGAAATAAAAAAGTAGTTTCTCCACAACGAAACAGGTTTAAAATCGACTGATAGGTAATTATTTACATTTGAATAAGTCGCAGTGGTGGAGTATACTTGACCTAAATAAATTGCAGATGGTGTGGCCCTTAGAATTATAGCTAAACTACGCGAGCAGCACCGCAGTATCACTCATATTTTAAGATGGCAATGTATCATCGACTTATGAAAAAGGTTAGGCCTCCGGAAGAGTTCATGGATTCTAATGGGCATCGGGGGAGAAATACAAGAAAAATTTTCACGTGCTCATGTATGCTCCGGCATAAGTGAAAAGCTGTCGCCTCAAAGCTAACATCCTCCGACTTTAGCTTGGCCTCGAAATGTCAGCTTTTCAAAATTCTCTACCGCAGCTTATCACCTACATTCAATATCGATAGTAATGATTAGAACTCTCACCTTTAAACACAACTTATGGTTGAGGCTGGAAAAAATTTATGGCGGCAAATGAAAAGCGAAGAGATGTTCGATTATCAAATTGACATCGCTTAAAAACCCGGCAAAGCTTTTCAAACTGAATTGACGAATCAAACCGCTCAGTGAAAATTACTTTTATAGTTTTAATTCGTCTTAATAACGGTTTATGTAAAGACTGGACAATGATTCACATTTCTTTTTAAATTTGAAGCATAACTGATTCACCGTCCCGACACAGGCTAAATTTATTGCGGCAAATTAATAGTGCAGCAAACTGCCACTAGAATTAATAAATTTTTCGGCTCAGCGAACTTAAACTCTTCGGATTAAAGAATCTTATCATCCAGTTGATGTCAATTTTCAGGGTTAATATGTTTTTAAATACAGTTTAATCTAAAATATAAGTCAGTTCAAGAAAAGGCTTTCGAAATTCACTTGAATATGTCGCCGAGGCAAGTTTGATTCATTTCCTGACAAAAGGAAGGCAAATAATTAACCCATGTTGAGTTCGAATGGAGCTCTCTCCGAATTTCGAACATACATCCGTTTAAATTTTTTGTTAGTTTTGTTTAATGAGTGAGTAAAGCTGATACAAAAATCAACACAATAAGTAAATTGAGAATTTTTAGGTTCACTTATGCCTTTAAAGGTCATATCCGTAGAGCTTAACATTATTAATTTGACGTGAAGCTAAAGCAAGGCACTCAATTAATTGGATGGAAACGCATAACAACATCGACATTTGACATTCAATTTATAGAATTAACAATCCTAACAAAAACCTACACTTCCCTCATATCAGTAGTATCTTTATTCACTTATGATAAAACGAAAAAGCGTTGATCTATCTGAAAAATCGTTTTTGGACGTCGAAACAACCTTTGGCCAACCATTTCCTTCTTGCAACTTGCGAGTGTTTGCCCAGTGACGATCCCAGAAATCTTTGCGCAAGGAAAAGAATCCGGTTACTAACAATTAACCCATTCAATAACCGGCCACGTTAAAAGTCCCATTGAAATTTTCTTTTTCTACGAAAGAGAAAATCAAACTTATCTTGCCAGAAATGTTTCCGCTTTATACTTCACAAATTAAGGGCCTTTTATGAAACGGAAAGAGTATCAATTGTATCCTCATATTTCTAAACCATAAAATTCTTATCACCAGCTGCTATTTCTTTGGAAGGTCATGTGCTATCCAGGTACAATAACTTAGGTCAACCACTTCCATTTGCCGTGGTCACTAAAGCACAACTCGTGCAATTAACCTCATTACGTTCGTAGAAATACCGTTGAAATTACTTCTTTTAACTACTCTGTTAATAAAAGTGTTCAAAACTCCAAAAGATGGTTGATCATGTCAGTATATTCGGAAGAAAAAACAAATTTCTCATCTCCGAAATAGAGTTATCGTGTGTCAATTTAGAGAAAGGTAAAGTGCGAAAATCGACTGAGAGGTGATTATTGACATCAATTGCTAGAGAAGTCGAAAAGACCTTCACAAGTACATTAAAGCGCAGGTGATGTGCCCACCAGTACTACAATTAGTGGATGTAATTAAACTGCAACACAATGTCTGTTAGAAGGGTGGGCGCTTGGAGGTGTAATGGACTTGAAATGGCATCAAGGGAAAAGATAAAACTAGAAACTTTTCTAATGGCAACGATTATGGCATGCAGTAAAAATCGCTGCACGGAAGGTAAAAAATAGTCAGACGCTGTAGCTGTTACGGTAGCTACTAAAGACTGATCGACGTAAATGTTTTAAAAGCTAGAAATGTGACTTAAAATAAAGAAAACTGAAGTTGTAAAAAGGTGAATTTACTATTCATTATTTTTAATAGTTCTATTTTTTAACGTGTTTATCTTTTTATTATTATCTTTATTATTAAGATTATTTTTAATATTTGATTCATTTTCATTGTTTTTAATTGATTTTAATATTATTGATTGTTAATTTTTAATTTCTATTCCTTAACCATTTTTAATTTATTTTAAAAATATTTTAATCTTTTTTAGTAATTCACCAAGTATTTAATCAAGAGAATATATTCTCTTGCCGAACTCAGGATTTCCTTGTAACATCCCCTGCAAGCTGGGAAGTAGACACTGTTAGCTCTTAATTTGTTGTGTAAATACCGGTAGTTTAATTCAGATTCTTTCATCCCATTCTGAAAGGCACATTTTTTATCAGCAGAGTTTGGAGTCAGTGTATCGCTAATAAGGAAAATAAATAGTGGCTGTAAAGGATAGGACTGGACAGTGCTGTGTCAGTAAACAGAATAGATGTTTCCAGCACTCTGGAACGTATTTGGTTAACTTTTTTCCGCCAGAAATTGTTGTAAGAATCATTTCAAATTTTTAGCAGGTGCAAAATGGTCCGACAGCCGAAGGGTCTCCACTGCCTACCGGCCCCAAAAATGACAGCCTTGCACCTGTGAGCTGATCAAGTAATACCTTGAAAGACCCTGATCACAAAAGGGTTTCATCCCAAGGCACACATGTGTTAGACATGTTTCCCGTGTGAGTAGAAATTAGTGCATAGGGATCATACTATCAGACAGTAAACAGTTCCAGGATAATGAATAAATCTTTCATTTTATTTATTTTTATTGCTAATCTAAATAAACACTATAAATATATTTGTCAAAAGCTCAAAATTCTTATTTCTAATGATAAATAATAGACATAATTTGCTACAAATTTTAGAGAAATTGTACATAAAAAATGCTATATCATGAAGTTAGAAATGCATAAAAATTAGGGTAATGTTGCTTTTTTTATCTTTGTAATATATTTTTTTTGCCGTCAAGTAGGTTAATCTACACAAATCTTAGCTTACCCATTCACAAATAAACAACTCATCCCAAATCTAGACTGATTGACAATAACAATAAAATTCTTACTTCTAACAATAATATAAACATAATTTGCAATGAATTTTAGAGAAATTGTACATAAAAAATGCTATGTCATAAAGTAAGTAATTCATAAAAATTAGGGTTTTCTTCTATCTTTGTAATATATTATTTAGCCTTCACGTAGGTCAATCCACACAGATCTTCGCTTACCCATACACAAATAAAACACTCATCCTAAATCTAGACAGATTGACAATAACTAACAATAGCTAACGTTATATTCTTCCACAATAAGTGGAAATAAAAAAAGGAAAAAACAGTTGGCTCTCAAAAATCCAAACAAACAAAACAAACAAACGAACAAAAAACAAAACAAACAAACAAAGAAACGAAAACAAAAAACGGGGATCAATGAACGTGTGGGTGTAAGGCAGTGAAAATTGAACATGGAATTCATAAAAAATTGCATAAAGATCAAGGCCCAGTTGTTCAAAAGGCAGATAGTGTTAACCACTGAATAAATCGCTATCCAGCAAATAAGTGTTAATAAATGTACTATGCTATCCATCAGCAGTAATTTATCCTGTGGATAGCCTCATCTGCCCTTCACACAACTCGGGCCACATGATATAACAAGTATCCAATATTGTAACATTTACATAATTCATTGTCAGTCTTTACGATCTTTAAGCTTTTGAGTCAGCTTCATTGCACCCTTAACTATCTTGGTAAACCAATATAAGTTTATTATGTCCAGCACAATGCAGGTAGAAATCCAGAAAAAATTAATAAGTGCACCCAGCTGCAGTTGTTCTTCACTTCCCCAGACCAAATAACACTTGTAATAGTAAATGGGCATCATTAGTATACGGCAGAAGAAGAAAGAAGCACCCATAACATATCCATTGATGATGAAGCTGCTAGATGACCTGTGATGACCAACAGCATCAAAAAACCACCTTTGGGAAGCCAAGAAATTTAAAAATCAAAGAAAATATAACAAAGTGTTAAAAGATACACGAGTGTGCACCTAGAACACAACTCAAAGGTAGGTCCCTTGAAACTCAATCCTTGATCTCTGATTCTCAAAAAGTTCAAGGATTGAGGAGTTTTCCTGCCATTAATTTTTCACGATTTTGATAATCTCAAGTGAAACTTTGCTCAAATTACATATGTAGTTCTGCTGTTTTGAACAAAAGCCTCATGCATATTATTGTATTTACTGTAAACATGACCCTCTTTGTTATCTCACACCTGAATGTTGTTTTCACGGTGTTGAAGACATTCTTTGCCACTCTGCCATATCCATAATTTCCTTACTCAAACCTTGTAATAATTAGATGTTCTGATAAATTCTTTAAAGTATCAAGCCACAATCATTTTCCAATTTCCATTTTCCATTATATTTACTTATCTCATTACCACTAAAATTTTACAGTGTCTGGGTACACTGAAAAGAAAACTAAGTCACATGATAGCATGAGAGTGACATGTACAGGTACCTCTGTGTTTAGGGGAGTAAGACATGAAAATATGCAGAACACAGATCTGGTGAGAACTATAAATGTCATTGCAAAGTAATTCTCAAACAAACTAACCTCTGATTCACAAATGGGGTGGAGATCTCTGCAAGTTGACGAACATTAGCAAAGTAAGGCAAAACCCCACTGACCTACAAAGGAAAATTGATTCCTCAACCTAACTTGAGTATCAGAATTATTCACTTATCAGTATGAGACTTATAACTATGAAAACAGCCTTTATTATTTAGCTGCTATAGACTTAAAAAAGTTACTGTTAATAATTTATTATAACTATAATTGTAATGTTACTATCATTGCTGGTAGAGTGTTGGAGTATTTTCCATACATCTTTCTATTGTAGGGGACTAAATATCATAGTCACTAGTGACCACAGCTTGGTTGTTGTTTCCTTTGTTAATGAGCGGTACTGTATCTGTTCACATAAACAGTGTAAAACAGTCTTACCACAACAAAATAATATGCTGATATTGCCATGAGGTGGTGAACCAAAGTAAACAAATCTCCAATGTACTTGTAGGACCAGACTATGATAAGGAAATCTGAAATAATCAACAAGAAAAATTGAATAATTTTTAGACAGTAAATTTGAATTTTGGTGACAATTATGATACTTAGTTTGAAAAAATGTTTATCATCTGTAAAGTACATGAATATTTCTGATAGACTGATTGTTTATTTATGGCATACTAGGGATCACTTCACTTCAATTTGCACTTTATCTATCTTCTCATATACACAAAATACTCCTTTGACCTGCAGATAGCAGATGCTAGTTTGCGCAGGTCAATATGCTATGTAATAACTACATCTGAGGTTAAAGTTTTGAAATTCTGACATAATACCCTAATTTTTAGAAACTTGGAGTCCTATGGTGATTCCTTGGTAAAAATAATTGTGAATGCCAGCACCCCCTGTGGAACTCCGTGTTATCAAAGCTTTCATTGTGTCTCAAGCAAAAGTTGAATAATTATTGAACTTTATACTGTCTGACAAATTAGTAACCAATATTGAAAAAATTAATGATAAACATTTCATGTCAGATGAATCATCAGTGAGTGGGAAACTCTGAGAAGCTGGAAACATCAAAGATCAGCCAGCCTGCAGGAATAGGCTATCAGAGTGATAATTTTGTCTGCACTAAAAAAATGGGACATATTTACTTACAAATCTGTCAGAGAGCTTTTCAATGACCCTGATTTTGTTAGTTAGTTTGTTTATTTTTTTAATTTTACCAGCTATTCCACTTGTACCATTGCATTTTATAAAATGATATCTAAAGCATATATGTACTCAAAGGCTTATGATCCATCAAATATTTTTGCTTGCACACAATTGGCCTAAATGCATGTGACAGAAGCTCACAGTTTCCCGCCAGCTTCACTATCAGAAAACTGTTCGTGTTTTGGAACAGATAATGTCCATGGAAAAATATCTGTGCATATTTTTGCACCAAATAGAGGCTATTGTTTACATATACCTGCTAAAAGGTACCCCAATGTAATAGCTACTCCAACTCTTACTAACACACCATCATTTCTATAAAGAAAGGAAGACAACTGAAGTAAACATATTAAAGATGATGATCTACAAAACTAAATTAATACAGTTGAACCGTGACTGTTCAGACCTCAATTTCAAATCCAAATTTTTTTATCATTCCCACTTCCCTCTCTGCTCCCTTTTGTTTCCGCAGATATCAGTCATATTATCAGTCACATTCAAGATATATAACAACTTTTTCCATAAATCCAACTTCAAAGAATGATAGAACTTGGGATGTGCAATATGCTGTAGCAGCTTGAACAAACTGATTCACATCAGCATTTTAGGTTGTGAAACATTGTTGTAAAACACTCTTTGAAATACTTTGGCAAATTTTTATCAATGATGCACAATGATTTGAGAATGCACTTTTTTAAGAATGAAATTATTTTGTAATATTGTATACTGAATTCAGTTCTATTGGGGGTGGGGGGACTCATTGATATCCATACTTTGGATTGTTTGGAATCTCCATAATCTGGACCATTCACAAGTCCAGAAAACCTTGGTTTTCCTTCATATAATTTTAATCAATGGTAACTATTTTACAGATGTTTTTCATACACATTTTTGCTGATGGCCATTATTTCTATCAGTTCACACTATGATATGCACCCATGTTAAATAAAGTTCATTATTTCATCAGTTTACACTGTGCTATGAACCCTTGTTAAATAAAGTTCATCATCAATAAAAACTTGACAAAATCTGCTTACAAACAAATGGAACATACTTGATTGGATTGGAAGCTGTTTCCACATCAAATATGAAGCAATACAAACTGATTGTGCTGACAACCACTGCATGCAAATTTGAACCGATCCTGCAATAGAGGAAAAGCTTCTTGTTATAAACAGTTGAAAAATTCCCACTTACTATGTAGAGATTCATTTTACAATGTTGTTTACAAATTGATTTTGTTCTGACTGTGCCTCTCTCAGAAAACATACATAAGTAACATGTGAAATGCACAAGGGAAGTACTGATTATTATTTCCTTACAGGCTTACAATCTCTACATTCACTGTCTATGGTACAATTCTTCACATTTAATTGTTTACTTTTTCATTGCAAAATAAATTAACTACCTGTAAATGCTGACATGGTGAAAATATAATAAGCACTTAGCCTTAAATAAGTGCCCACTCTTAAGGTCCAAACATTTAATAAGCACCCAGGAAGCTTAACTCTTTCACTCCCAAGATCTCAATAGTAGTTCCCCTTACTGTTTTCCATACAATGCCTACATGTTAGTTTGAAGAACTTGGAATTAGATCAACTTATAATCCCCAAATTGATATTTTTCTTTATTCTCATCACATGTCTGCTTGAGTTTGTAGTGACATTGTAATGAGAAATTCTGTTTTGGTCACTCATGGGAGTGAAAGAGTTCATTGAATAAATTCAGTACAAATTCAAACCACTCAAAGGGAGTAGCAGGAGTCCTTAATGTGTCATTTCCACCTTGACCTACTGTGTAGACATTTTCTTGAATGATAATAAGACATTTGCCTGTAAATGAAGCCTTTTAAAGTTAAGAATACTGTGGAGATTGACTAGTCTAGAAAGCTCACTTGCATTATTATTTTGGATGGAGGTGGAAGAGAAGCAAAATGAATGAAAACAAGGGAAGGAAAAGCTGAACCAAGATAAAAAGTGGGAAGGGATTGAAGCTGGTAAAAAGTGGAGAGAGCTAGGGAAAAGTAGTTTTTGTCACAGACAATTTATAATCTGTTGAATACGTATTCCACAGTTTTGAATGACTTGTCCGATTGAAATGCAAGTTAGTGTGGATGTGGAGGAGCCATAAAAAACAAAACAAGTTGATAGGTTGATAGGGGTAGAAAAGAATCTGATCATAAAGAATTAATCCCATTACTTTCAAGATCTTATTGTAAATTCTCCCCTCTAGCTACTACAAATTCCCTTGTAAAATAGTTATGAGAAGTTGGCATTAGATCAAGTAACACTTTTTAGCTGATAAGCTTGAGTATTCTCATTATCTGTTTGCTGGATAATGTGTGGATATAATACCGAGAAGTTATATTTTAATCACTTTTTGGAGTTAAAGGATAAGGGTCAGGTACTTCAAGGGAAGGAAAGAGGATTACAGAAATGACAGAGGGTCTGATTGTGTCAATAATCATCATCACCTTGTGTCCCAGTCAGTTTTTTTGGCAACACTGAGCTCGCAGTATCCTGAGGAGATCCGTGCTGAGAATCTTGGGCTCACAAAATAAAATAAAAACAAGCAGAGTACAAAACTAGCTGCTGATGTATAGAAACAAAGACTGAAGTCCTTCAGCTCCCTCTTATGTTCACCAACATCTGAAAGAAAAGGGATTAAGAGCAATCAATACAGTCTGCCAGTCCCTCATTGACAACACTCAATGTGATTACAGTTTTGTTTTCCATTAGAAGGTTAAATTGACAATTCAATCCCAAGAAAGATTGTTTAACCGTTCTCCTAATATCGCACCATCCAACCTTCTTTACCCTACTGAAGGCGGTAAAATTTCCTCACAGCCCCATACAATTGTAAAAAAATCAGTTTTCCCAATGGCAATGTATTTTTTTTGTCATTGTTTTCTCAATCCAAGAACTGAATGCATAATGTAGTATGGTGCTGTGCGGAAATTTTACCCTGAAAGCCGACCACAAAAAGACGATCATTCAACTGACCCCATGGCGAAGAATGGAGGAGGGTACAAGGTTTACTCGAGCCCGTTGACGAGTGCTCCGATACTAAAGTTATTCAACGTCTCAATGTCCAATATATCAACAAATACGAGCGAATAAACACTCGAAGTGGGAGACCGCCCTCTAGAGCTTGCGCACTCGTGCGATCAATCAGGATGAAATTCCTTTACATCCCTCAGGCGCGACGCAAGATTTGAAGGACAACAAAGCGTACTAGCTTAAGAAAAGTGCTTCAACAAAGGAACACCTACCAAATCCATTCATCCTAAACGAATCCACTCATGAATATTTGGAGTGCTCACTTTGAAAAACAAAAGGTCATACACGACACGGTGTCCCGCCAGAATTCTTGAGCCTGCATACATGCAGCGGCAATACCCATCTCGCTCTACCTCTTCACTCCTGCAAAAATGTTCTACGTACTTTTTGTTGTAGTTCTTTTCTTAGTTCTCTTACTGATACTTCGCACTGTATATGTGCTGAAGAAAAAAAGAAATCAAGGTTCTTTGGACAGGAGAAAGTCAGCTAAAGTAATGGTGGTTGCCGGCTCAGGTACACTTATCCAGAAGTACCACAAGTGCTTTTCCTTCGCAAATATGAATGAGTAGCTAATTAGCAGAATTTTTGTTTTAATTTTTATTTATATTTAAAATGAACATGGATTCTAGAGATGAATGTGTCTGCATGTATGTGTATTTCGATCACAGCCAGCTTAAGCGTAATTTCTCCTTGGATTGATCATTTGATACAATGGTGGCAAGATTTCCGCACAGTCCCATATTTAGTATGCATTAATATTTCTTGGATAAAAAGAGCAATGGCAATAGGTTGCCTTTGTGACTACAGCTTTGTTTAGAGGTTGTACGGAAATCTACCCCATTCTCCTCAAAATTTGAGGATGAGAACTAAAAAATTACCTGATGGAAAATGTCCTCTTTTTCTTTATCGCCTCCCTTTCAAAGATATATTTTTATCAACATTAACAATACCTCCATTGTTATGAAATAGGTTGTTGTTCATCGTGGTAGCTGGATGATGATATAAATTTGTTCTGTTGTCTCACGACAAAGTCACTAGATGTAGCTGAAGATGCAATCTACATCTAGTAACTTGGTTGTGAGACAAATTTATATCATCATTACATCCATTGTTTTGATATAGCATCAGATTCTTATAAAAGGCCAAAAAAAAAAAGATGGCTCAGATGCTCTACTATTGTATTATAAATGATTCAAATACATTCATGATAAGTACTAAAAGTAAGAATTTAAGGGGTAAGTTTTAAAAAAACTGTGGTGGCCTGTATTGGTAAGGGATATTACAGGATAATTTGGCTTTATCTACCAAGTTGATAATGTAAATTAGTCACTGTAAAGATTTTCTAAAGCTGATGTTTCGAGTGCGATAATGAAGGGCTAACGCTCACAAAATCAGCTTTGTAAACTCTTTATGGAGGCCAGTTTAAATACATGAACTTTATCAACACAGTTGATAGGACCCTTTTATCTAGATGATTAAGCCTTCACTCTCCCTCTGTCTTCCAAATTGATCATGTTTTCATTTTTGTAGGTGGTCATACTTCAGAGATGCTCAGACTTATGGGCTCACTGTCTTCTTGTTATCAACCAAGGATCTATATTGTTGCTGAGACTGATAAAATGAGTGAAGACAAGATTAATAGTTTTGAAAAATCTAAGAAGAAGGAAGATGAGGATAAATCAGGGGTACATGTTAACACCTCTCCATAATTCTCTCTCTCTCTCTTCTTAAAGTTAAGTTTTCATATTTTTTTTTATTGAATGAAAATTGACACACATTTTTCTTTCCTAAGACTCTTTCATTTACTTCTTTTCACAGTTTAAAATAGTTAAAATTCCACGAAGTAGAGAAGTACGTCAATCATGGCTTTCTTCAATCTTTACAACTTTGAATGCCTTGACTTTTTCATTTCCTGTTGTATTGCAAGAGAAACCAGATTTGGTAAGTACATATAAATATTTCCTGCCATTGAATAAGATTTCCTGTTCAAGCAAAGAGGCTTTGTCACATTTGTCACTTCCTTCATTCCTGGCTGTAAATGCTCCTGATTTCAATGTGGTCTGTTTTGGCAGCAGTCCAGGCTTTCCCTGCTCTTGATTGAACCCTTTGACACTAACCAGCAGGTGTGATTAACATCTAAATTCTCCTTAAAATATCACCCTTTGAATCACATTAAGGTCACAAGAATAAAGGAAATGATCACCAACTAAAGAAGCTCTTGATTGTGAAACAGATTCTCCTTGTCAACACCTTAGGAAATGTATAGAGAAAAGTGTGGAGAATATGCATACTGATGCTTGGGTGTAAAAGGTTAACAATCAAGCTATCCAGTATGTTTGAATATTCTTCTTATTGTAATGTGCATAGAGGAACCACTGAGTGCCTCTGTCTCAGATTTTTTTTCTTTGTAGATTCTTTGTAATGGTCCAGGAACATGCATTCCAATTAATGTAGCAGCATTTGTGTTAAAAGTAAGAAAATTTTATTTAACCTCTACTTATGTTATTTGTCAATAAGAGGATGTAATTTTTGTGATAACAAGTAATTTATACTTTCTCTTGGAAATTCTTGAATGTAGTGAAATGTTGAGTAGGAAGCAGTGAATGAAAAATTTTTTTTTTAACATTTAGTAGTCAGCATACAACTAAACATTGTTTTGGACTGATAGTAAAATCATCTTGGTTTTGTGTTTTTGTTTGTTTTTTTCCAGATTTTTGGTGTAAGGGATATTACGATGGTGTTTGTTGAGAGCATTTGCAGAGTAAAGACATTATCACTATCTGGGAAAATCATGTACTGCTTTGCAGATTATTTTATTGTTCAATGGCAACAGCTCCAGACAATTTTTCCCAAGTCCATTTACCTTGGACGGCTGGTGTAGTAGTGTGAAGCCTTCATTTAACAAAAGGCCGGGACTTGTGATGACAGTACCATACTCGTAACAGAATTGTACAAATTAAATTATATTTATAAGTTGCTAAAAAATGGAAACTGTCAGTAGTAAATTTATTGGTGAATTGTAATATTTGAAAAAGCTAATACCAATAGGGGAAAATAAACTTATGCTAATGCTGTTGTACTTGATGCACTTTAGGGTCACTTGGTAAGCCTCAGTGTATCCCTTTTCACTCCTCTGCGCCCAAAAGTTGGCAGGCAGGATTCTGGGTTGAAACACAGCAGGGTCACAGTTTTGTATTCTTGAGTATATTTGAATCACACAGTACCTCTCTTTATGCAGAAGTGTAAATGGGTTCCTCAACTTTGCTGATACATTGAGGCCACTTTATTGGACATTTTTGAACTAATATCTTCATTGACTCAGTAATTATAACAAAACTATTATCTGATAAGAAGCAACAGGCTCCCTAAGAACAATTGTGATTAAAATGGATTATGAGAAAAGAAAAGCTAACAAATTGGGGAAATTTATCCATTCATTCCTCGAGCTAGTAGTGTGACATGTCAATTTTTCACGTTTCTAAACTGAAAAATAAAAGAAAATCTTTGAAAGGATTGAAAGGGAAAGGGAAAGAAAAGGACAGAGCCTAAGAAAGAGCGTCATGAAAAATTTTATTTTTCCTTCACTCCAATCCACTGTTGAAAACGGAAGCCACTTTATCCTATAAGCTTTTGTTTGCGTGACTGACCGGAAATGCCTAATCTCTGAGGATGCGGTCCCTTCCAAATTTGGCAGATGATCGATGACGTATAGCTTCCCTCTCAACTTCAGCGGCTGAAAGAAGTTGCTGACCAAGCGGTGTTGAATCAAATAATTTTTTTATACATTGCCTCCCCATAAACACCACAAGACGGCGTCTATTGGTAAGTAAGTGAGTGTAGATCTATTAGCACCGGTAATGATGCGTGTGTGAGTTTTGGCTTGTTTACGTGATCGCCACAGCTGGGTTTATGAATTGGCACCGTAGCAGGAATAGAAATTGGGAAAGCTTTAAAATATTGAAAGCTAACTTCAGCGTAATGTTCCGCTAGTGTGTTACTATGGGCATTTCGTTTTCGAAACGTACAGATGCAATTAATTTCTTTAATTATGTGTTTAAGATGGCTGTCGTATTTTTCGCCTTAAAATAAGCTTGTCAATCTAAAATATTTTTTGAAGTAGATAGTCTAAGCAAGCTTGTGGTCTTAAAACTGAACCGGGTTTGTCGCTCAAAGTGATGGATCAACGTTATATTTGAACTCTATATCTAACAGCCTACCCACAACAAAGAGTGTTTGTGTCTGAAATTGTTGCACAATCGCTTGCTTAATTTATCATCAGTTCTGTGTGAGCGTTTGTCGTATTTCGATATGATTACTGTGTGAATTAACACAGTTGGTGGTCTGATCACGTTTAAAGTAGATTTTTGAGAATAATTTCGATAGGCCATTAATTTAGCTAAATCCTTACTCTATGTTTATTGTATTCCATTAACATACCCTTTTTTATCTGAATACGAAATTATTATTTTTTTTTAAGTACGAAAATATTTGTGTTTTTTTTAATCTGGGATAAATTTAAACTTGCATTCCGCACCAACAAGCATTTCCGCTGCAATTGGCCGTGATCACGAATTTAGTGAAATCAAAATCACGAACCTGCCCTGGTCAGCGAACAATAAAATTTTTTTTGTAGTTCACCATTTATTGATTCTTAAAGTTCTACATATGATAATTGAGATCTGCTACTCTCTACACTTAAAGACAGGCTAGTCATCTTTTAACTTTATACAATTTGCAAGTATAAACTTGCCCACCATTCATGATAAAGAACACTTGACAACAAATTTTTCTGTTCAAGAGATGTGTAGATCTTGGCATATTTCCACGTGCCAATTGCATTTCAATATTTTATAACCTGTAAATTTGAATAAGCTGATTGTATTTGCAAATTATCTGTATTTGCTGAAATATTTACGATTTTTGGTGTTCATAAGAGGTCAGTTCCTAAAGAGTCCACAATCCCCTTGATAGCAACAGGCAATGTTTAGATCCAAAGGTTTGTATTTTTGACATTTACAGAAATCCATCGACCTGTATGTTGATCTTTAAACAAACAAATGTTAAGTAAACATTTCAAATAAGATCACAGCTGTAAGTTCAGCTTGTATTGATTGAGGGTAAGATTCTGTCAATGCTAATGAACTACTTTAAGGTTTTAACTATCCACAAGAAAATATATCATGTTTTTCTGTTGGATTAAACTATTTCTTAATCTTAGTACTCTCAACAAAATAGAGAAGTGATAATTTTGTCAGAAATTACATCTGTGTTAAGTATGTTTTTGAAGAAGTATTCGTGACTAAACATTACAGTGAGCAAGACTTCAATACCTATTTGATATTTCTCTTCAAACTGTAGGCTTTATTAGTTTAGAGTATTATTTCTTTGTTTCTCAGATGCTCTGAACACAACTCTTAAATTTCTAGCAAGTGTAAATAATAACAAAGACATAGTTAAGATCATTTTCTTTAACCCTTAAGCCTCTAAGAGTGACTAGCATCTAATTTTTCCTTACAATATCACCACTGAATCACACATTAATGTCATGAGAATAAAGGAAATGATCACCAACTAAAGAAACTCTTTGACTGTAAGACAAATTCTCCTTATCAGCACCTTAGTAAATGTACAGAGAGGGGTATGGAGAATACAAATACTGATGTTAGGGTGTAAAGGGTTTAATGGGGATCCTCAGTCTTAGTTGTGCATGTTTTTCTCTTCTTCTCCCAGAAAGAATTAAAGTGGGCTCAAATTTTTCTGTTTTTCGTTTTGTTTAAGAAGCAGGGGATATAGCATTACAGGCCCAAATTCAGGGTAGTTAGGGTGTATAAACCTGGAAATATTTTGTTCTTTCTCTAAATACTAAATTTATATTATTATATATGAGTCACAATTTCCAACTCTATTTCATTGCATTTCTCCTTCTAAAGACTTCATTTCTTGTCACCTTTTTGGAGCTTTTTTGATGAAAATTTCACTGTAACTTGCAAAATAACAATCCCTATTATAATTATTTTATTTATATTTGTCTATTTGGGGAACCCTCGTCCAAAAACTAAAATGCAGTTTAAATGGTCACACTGTAAAAAGATGAAGCTAATGATGTGGATTGAGTAAAAAACAACAACAAGGCATGCAACAACAGCAACAACATCAGAAAAAAAATTAAATAATGTTATGATGAAATCACTTGAAATCATGTACATGCCTTATCGAAAAACCAAAATTATACAGAGTGATCATATTATTTTCTTAATTATATCATGATATTTCTACTACTTATTTTGATTGGTTTTAATGATTTATTGAAGGACAGACATATTTAGCAACTTTTGCTTCTTTATGATGAGGCAAATAGAATCTATGTTACAGTGGGTTTGTGCAGTAACAGATCACAAAGGATGTGAAAATGTGCTAAGAGTATCAGTGACACCCAGCTGTGCCTGGCATGTGCCACTATTTTGTTTGTACTATATTTTGATGTCATCAGGGCTGTGATCTATTTCAGAACATACGCATATATGGTAAGACTGAATTAATTTCCTAAACACATACACTATCAAAAAAACTCTATTTTTCATTGCCTACATACTGTACTGTAGATTACACCTTTTCTCTAGATAGATTGTGCCTGATCTTTCCTTCTTTTCCCTCTACTCTGTAGATTCCCGTCCTCTTCACAGAGGCTCCCCAATGGCTTCACCCCACAGAAACTCTCCTGTATCCTTTGCACATAGCCCTTACCAAAGTGAAAGTGACAGCAGCATTGCTAGACGACAGTATCTTTTTGCTGATGTTGCGCACAGCAAGGATCTGGTCACTGCCCTGAAGTCATTGCGTGGAGACGAGGACTTGTGTGATGTAGTACTGAAGGTGGGCAGTACCAGTATATCAGCTCACAGAGTTATCCTGGCTGCAAGTAGTCCATATTTCAAAGCTATGTTTACTGGTGAGTCATGCTTAATACGGTAAATTTTGCTATTGAAGGTTTCAATTTAAGGTCATCTGCTTCCTCTAAGTCACTACATACTTCACACATCTTCTTTGCTGGGCAAGGTGCCAGAGTTGCTAATAAACCTTCCACTGTGTTCTCTCAGGAAATTGAAATAGCTTTGCTTGCCTTATTAACTGGGAACTTGATCTCCAAATTATTGCTTTATTTTGCCTTAAGAAATAGACTGAATAAATGAAAGGGGTTTAAGGGAACAAAAGATATTGTTCAGCTGTGTTCCAACTGTCATCAGGTAACTTGGGTAATTCACTGTTCAGTTGTTTAATAATTGCATATACAAGGTATTTCTCATAATTTTCTTGGAATGCATGCCCTCTTGCTGCCCTCAAGATTCTGGCAGTCCTTTAGAGCCCCCTTGTAAAGTGGTCTTGTTTTATCTTTGGCAAACTCCTATTTGTATATATGTAGGTTATAACATGATTTTGATTTCAATTAGTGCAAATAAACAAGTAAATTTTTCAGAGACAACAAAATTGCACAACCCCTTGGGTAAGTGCAATTTGTAGTCTTTGAAAATTACAATTGCTTATTTACACCAAATTGCAAGAGAAATCATATTATTACATGTTTATAATGTACACAAGAAAACAACACAGAATATTAAGACAGATGAAATTTTTGAAAGTGTGGGTGTGCTATTTGTAATTTACTCTTATGTTACAGCTTTGCACTTGTGTTACATAAGAATGTAATCCTTTCCAGTCAATCAGAATTGCATAATTTTTTTAATGTACATCGTTACAAAACTTAAATTTGAAGGTGCTGGTTATGCAGCCATAACTTCCCTTGTTCTGAATTTAGATTCTGGCCAAAAATATTAGTGATCTTGTTTGATGTGCAGAAAAAGTTTTTATTAGATTACTTGTTGTGTGAGGGATGAATTTGTGGCCAAGGTCAACAGAGCTAGTTAAAAGCAGTTGGAATATCTTCATGTACTTGTAGCTTTACAGGAGAAAGAAAAAATGGAATTTCTTCTTCAGTTGATGAAAATAAGTCAATAATTCCTGTAGGTTTTTTGGCATTTTTTTTTCATCTTTGTGAATTTATCCGAAAAAATTTCAAAGATTACATGTGCAATACCTGTACATTAGAATCTTCAAAACTGTAATTTTGTTGACTTCATGTAAAAATCAGAAACCTCTCTCCTGCATGTATGTGCTTGTTACAGGGGGGAAACTTCTAGCCTATAGTGCAGGCATCTTGTTAGAGCGAGCTAACGTTATAAGCTCGCAATCATTTATCCGAAAGCCCATGTATAATTTGGAGTTAGAGTGGACGGTAGGGGCAGTAACATTCACTTACCCACCCCCACCCCTCTCCTCATTTTTGACCATCGACCACCCCCCTTGGTATTAATTTCTTTCTCTTCCCAATCTTCTGCTTCCATTAAATTCAAAGATGTAGGCCATAACCTTTGTTAAGAAAATACCGAGCCCTCGCTCGCCAAAGTTACGCCTGCTGCGCAAGCTAATGCACTTCAACTTCAGATAATTCTGATTTGACCCTTTAACCCCAAAGAGTGACCAGCTTCTAATTTCTCCTTACAGTATCACCCTTAAGTCACACATGAAGGTCATGAGAATAAAGGAAATGACCAATAACCAGAGAAGCTTTTGATTTTTCAACAAATTCTCCTTGTCAACACTTTAGGAAATGTAAACAGGACAGTATGGAGAATATGCATACTGATGTTATGGTGTGGAGGGTTTATTACTACATGTGAATTGTGGAACTGCTACTAAATTAGTGCTTGTCACTAAGTGCAGTTTTCTGTGACAGGGTTTCCTCATTCACTCCGACGAAGGGTCATTGCTTGAAACGTCTGCTTTGAAACTCTTTGCGGTGGCCAATTTATCTGATCAACTCAGTTCATAAAACCAAAATTATCTTGTTATACTCCTCCACCGACGCAGCACCACAGTTTCTTGAGACACTTATCCACATTATTTATTAGCTTGGAGTTGTTTGCTTCAGTTTGATGTAATTTGGTGTAGTTCAGTGCTACAGGGTAATTTAATATTATCAACTGAGTTGATAACGTAAATTGGCCACCGTGGAGAGTTTAAAAGCTGACATTTCGAGCGTTAGCCCTTTGTCATATCGATAGTTAATCATGGTTAGTTTGTTTTTCAAAGGTTGCTGTAGTTTGTTGTGGTTGCTTTAGTTCAGAGAATAACAACATAATTTTAGGTTTATCAACTGAGTTGATCAACGTAAAATGGCCACCGTAAAGAGTTTCAAAGCAGACGTTTCTAGCGTTAGTCCTTCGTGGGAGCGAATGACCAATTCGGTGGCCAATTTACGTTATCTAGTTACCTTGTTATACTCTCCCACCGTCGCAGCACCACATTTTTTGTTTAATTGTTTTTTTTTAACTTAGCCCTTTATTCATTTGAAATTCCCATTGTTCATGCATTCACAGGAGACCTTTCAGAGAGTCGACAAAGCACAGTCACTTTACAAGAACTTGATGAAGGTGCCATGGAGGCCATAGTGGACTTCTTCTATAGTGGCGAAATCGATATCTCAGAGAACAATGTCCAGGAGCTTTTACCAGTGGCTTGTCTTCTACAAGTGCAGTCCGTACAAAAAGCTTGTTGTGATTTCCTGGAAAGACAGCTGAGCACAGAGAATTGCCTTGGTGAGTTTTTATACAAGAGTATCATTAGTGACATGGAAAACATTTTGCTTGCCTTAAAAAAATTGGCCTGGGAGAGTTTGAGTTGTCGTTTTGTTGGAATGATAGAAACATTCTGCAAACATGTGGGTTTCATGCTTAATGTTGAGATCTTTAACCTTGTACACCCTCACATCAGAATGCATATTCTCCATACTGTTCTCCATACATTTCCAAAGAGGCTGACAAGGAGAATTTGTTTAACAATCAAGAGCTGCTTGAGTTGGTGATCATCTCCTTAATATGACTTTATGTTTGATTCAGGGGTGATATGGTAAGGAGAAATTAGATGCCAGTCACTCTTAGGGGCCAAACTTTTTCTTCAATTAGCTACCACTGAGAGTCAAATCTCCACCGGTGACGATTTGATTCTGACGTTATGTGTAGCTTGGCGTATGAAGCTTAAATCAAATGAAAGCTAAGATGTAGTATATTGCGACATGAAACGCGCATACAAATACAGCGAAGTTTACAGAAACGGACTTGGCGTCCTCTCTATGTTTTATGAGCACCAAGAATGTTGACTCAATTTTTAACATGAGTGTCGTTTTTTAAGAACCCAATTCATAATCAAACCTCTGTATATTTATTAGCTCGGATGCAATTGGATGATCGACCACAATGAAAATTTCCCGAATTTAGATGGCAAAGAAAATGTCGGACTAAGCGCGCAATGCCTTGTGGTTGACTAGGATCCTTTAACATCAATCGTATGCAAGTTCTCCATAATGTTCTCCATACATTTCACGTGGCTCTTGCAATGAGAATTTGTTTAACAATCAAGAGCTTCTTGATTTTGTAACTATTACCTTTAATGGGAGAAATTAGATGTTTATCACTCTTAAAGGGTTCAGGGAACGAACCGAATCAGAGGAAACTAATGACACAAATTCTATCTTCGTTGTTGGCTCTTAGGGATCAGCGCCTTTGCGGATCGTCATAATTGTACAGATTTGATGACGTCCTCCGAATCGTTTGCCCGATATTACTTCCTTGATGTTGTTCAGAGTGAAGAGTTCATGGAAATATCCTCCAAGCAGCTTACACGACTTTTGCGTGATGATACGTTGAACACTCAGTCTGAAGAGAGAGTCTTTGAGGCTGTTTTAGCTTGGATCAAATTTGATTTGGATGGGAGACAGGTGTGTACATTTATATGACTTGCTTTAAGGTTAAAGTTGCTTGGTAACTTTTGTAAACTGTAGTCAGAGCTAGATTGTTTGAATTCTGAATAGCACCCTAACATCAGTATGCATATTCTCGGCTAATGAGCATGTTGATATATTTGCATGCATGTTGTTGAGAAATTCGTGTGTCGTTTAAAAGTTGCCGCAGTTTGAATTGTAAACACAAAAGTAAGCAAAATAGGCCATGTTCAATAGTTTGTGGCTTATTCCGTGTTATATGAAGAGTAAAATAAGAAGTAATCGCAACTTGACAATTTACATTTTTTCCCTCTGCAGGCAGTTTGCTTGTTTTTTAGATCGAAATGTGATATATTTTCGACTGGCAGTTGTGATTACTTAAGTTTTGGCCTATGACACAATCGAAAAGTATTGTCTCTTTCTAAGAAGCACATGTTAATCCAGATCAGATAAAAAATAATTGGTCTTCGTTACAGAGTACAGACATGAATGTAACAGTAAATGTGAGCATTAAGTACATAACATGAATCAATACCTATAAGTTGTAATAGTCGGTAATCGGGGTTGTTCCTTTGTCTTTTCGTTTTGATTTTTAGAAATTTGCCGCTGAAATCCTGAGCAATGTGCGGTTTCCTACGCTGTCACCGGAATTCTTAATGGATAGAGTTGCAACAGAGGAAATTGTTAGAAACAATAGGGCTTGCAGGTAAAATCCATCTTTTTACGTAGAGTATTCTTCATAAAAAGTATGATGTAAACATCTGTTGGACAAGTACCTCACGAAATTCGAACCATAGCCTAGGACTAGGCCCTCATTAACAGCGCTACACTACGCGCGTTTCTCCGCCCGCGGGAAGATTTAAGAAGAGAAGGGATTGGTTTGCTGGGGGTCTGGCACTAACTATGGTTTACTGTCAGTCCTCTCGACGGCTCGCATTGCTCAAGGCCTCATACTTTCCCGCGGGCGAGAAAACGCTCGAGCCGCATCGATAATAATTAACAATTATTCCACGAGTGTGCGTTGGATATGAGTTGATGGATAGCGGGTCGGGTTGGCTGTAATCATCTTATATCCAATAAGCGGACTTCTTCTATATGAAAACCTGCTATGTACAGCTGTTTCGAGAAAAGTTATCAGGAAGAAAGGTATATTTAAGAAAATGAACGACACTTTTAATATAAAGTAGTAACAGAACAATGTATGCATTTACAATAATGTTACTATTTTTATTTCAAAAGTGTCTTTCATTTTCTTAAATTCGTTACATTTCTGCTTCTATCCAGAGAAAAAAGGTTTACAAGTGCACGCGACAACACTGAAAGGTATTGTAAGTAGTTTTCAGGTCACGGTTCCTTGACCTCAAGATTTGAAGGAAATTTGAGAAAATGTCCCTGTAACGACGGGACATCGCGAGTTTAAAGAATTTAAACATTCATTTATTCGATTTTTGAAATTTACTGATTACCGTTTACCCAGATTACCTTTGCATATTTTCGAGTGCACTTTTGTCCTTTTTTCCGTCGACCTTTCTCGAAACAGCTTTATACATCGTAAATGTGCGTCATTAAATACGAAGTATGCATCGTAGGACATCTATGAACAACGCTTTTTCAGAGGCTCATTTTCTTTGCATTTATTATTCGTCGAAATTTTATTCAGTAACCATAATTTCCTTTAGAGGAGGTACACCATAGAAAATTACGAGCCAATTTCAATCGCTAAACCGGTTTGCGTTGAATTGCGTCTCAAAGGCGCAGGTTTTTGACGAGTGTTGGTCGCTATGACAAACGCGGTCTCATCCAAAGACTTCGATCTCGTCAGCTTGAGATGAGATGCCTTTGTTAAGTCTTTGTTATCATTTGTTAATTGTATTGTCTTCTCGGTCGGTTTTTCTCTTTTTTCTATTGAAGCACGTTCAATCTGCACCGTGACAGTTCGAGTGTCAGGTTGAAATACGTCATATAAGTTTTTATAGCTTGTTAAATGCGGATATGACATTCTTCTTTCGATTACTGCCATATCTTGTCCTCTACGCACGATGGATGGACGAATCCAGTATCCACGTGTCTCCGCTGCCCAAGATTGTGACCGCACGAAGCGTTTAGCTCTTTTGGTGTCAGAAAGCTCACCCATACTTACAGACTCAGAGAATTCATGGGGCCGCCTCGCGTGACGACCTGTGTGAACCTTTGACTGAATTTCGTGAGGTTTTCTGAAGTTAAGTAGGTCGTCTACAGCCTCCCTGTGTCTTCTGTGTCTATAGAAATAAAGCGTAGGATTTACGATAGAGTTCAGTTGAAAGACAATTTCTGCCCATCGGAACACGGAGTTCGCCCGCATAAAAGGCGAAATTGGCGAAAAAACGTGTGCGATGATCAGAGGTACACTCAAAATTAGAAGGTCAGCTGTTAAGAGAAACACAGTGAAGGCAATTCTGCTTTCTTGCCTGGCCTTGATCAGAGCATCTACTTGGCTGATTTGGCGTCGGTTCCCTTTTCTTATTTCAATATAAATCTTGAAGTAAAAATACAGTTTCAGAATCTCGCCAATGAACCATACAATGCTGAAGACGATGTCCAGAACGTGAAAGACCTGATCAGAAACACCAGCTGCTTGTAATGCGATATACAATGTAGGTGCTGTGAAGGCTGCTATCCAAGCGAGTACCGCGAATCTCTTTAAGCGTCGTTTTGTAACTATACAGTTGTACTCCATACATTTTACAATCGCAACATACCTCTCCCAACCTAATAAAATTAAGTGATAGTACGAAGCAGCATAACCACTGTACATGACTAAGACAGTTAAGTCAACTATAGAGCATGTAATATTCCGCTCCAATACAGTTCCTTGTAGGATTATCGCATCAGTAGTAATGGCCAGTGGCGTAGTAACTGCTCCCTCTAGGAGATAAGTGGCGGCCAAACTAGTGATTAGAATGTTACATTTCTTTCGGCGTAAATCGTTAGTTTTCAGGATTGCTACGATCACTAAGATGTTCAAAAAAATGGTAAATAGACAAGTGACGGCGGCGACGGCGATTGCAAGCTGAAGGGAAGTTTTTTCCTCCAAGTCCCAGACGTAATGCGGTGCACTTGGACAAATGAATACTGTTCGGGGGACGTTTACGAGCGAATTTCCAGCGATACTGGCATTCATATTGATGACCACTCAGTGCTGACGGCTAGGTACTTTGCAGCAAGCTCTAAAGCATTCGTTGCTTGTCGCAACTGATTGCGAGAGAACTTTTGTTGAGAAGGCTTTTTCAAGTCTCATTTCCGACGACCAAGATCGAAGGTGTTGGAAAGAAATTTCCTCTCGAGGATGTTGTCGCGTTTTATATGCAAGAAAGAATAATGCTCCGGCGATGAGAAGTTTGCTGCCAATTAAACAATTTCATTTAAGAGTTTCTTCCTTCCCTCTTAAGTGTTTTTTTAGATTATTTTTTTACGTAAAAAAAAGAAAATCAGGTCTTGCTCATTTTCAGTGAAATCCTACAAAAATATTGGTAAATTTCTCATCAGTTAAAAACTGACGAGAAATTGATAATGTACAATTTCGGTTAGCAGCAATGGCCAGTAGCGTAGAAACTGCTCCCACTAGAACTAGGAGATCATTAGCGGCCAAACTAGTGATCAGAGTGTTGCATTTCTTTCGGTGTAAATCGTTGGTTTTCCGGGAAATTGGTTCCTCTAAGTCCTAGAAAAACTGCGATACACCATAACAAGCCAACTCTGATCGGGAGGTGTTAATGAGAGAATCTCCATAGATCTCATTCTCGTGTTGACCGCGAGAACGGAACCTGAAGGATTCATAGCTTATTGGAAAATTGTTGCAAAATCAGCTGTTTACTCTTTTTGAAAAATCCCTTTCAAAAGAACCATTTGCGAAGACGGAAGTCACAGATGTTTTCGGTGAAATTTTCTTGGAAGTGAATGAAATGCTCGCTCATCGATGAGAAAATTACAACATTGGTGAAGCTAATCAGCGTAAGAATTTTTCGTAGTTTTCTTTAAAAAAGGGATTTTATGCTCAAAAGGCAAATAAGATTCTACTCACCAACCCCTTAATAAAGAGTGTATTTCAGTGATTTCATTAAATTCATTGTCTTCACTCCAGAGAAACAAATCGGGAAGACTTTTGTAAAAAGCGTCCTTGCATATATCTTAACGAAAATTTTATCGTATTTGAATAAAGGAAATATACACTTGCGGCACTTGTGTAAAGTTTCGAACATCAACGGAAGGTCTCCCACTATTTCTGGGGGATTTACACACTATAAAAATTCATATTCTTTATCGATTCGTTTAAAATGTTGAATTAATTAGAGTTCAGTAGCGCTGTGAAAAATTGGCTTTCACCTGATGTTCGATTTAAAACACGCCACAATTATTAGTCACACCTCAGCTCATTATCCGTTTCTTTAGGATGTGAACGACAGAGCAATAACATGCACATTCTCCCGCGATGATAGGTTTATTGTTTGGGATTTATTTATTATTTCTGCAAATAAATAAATAAACCATTTCACTTCCAAAATCTGACTCAGTACTTTATTATACGACAGTTTTGGTCAACATGGCGAGCAGGAAAAAGATTTTGTTTTAAAGATGCAGCCAAAGTCGGAAATTTGGCGACTTGTGCTTGGTGGTAGCTATAGGAAGTTAAGTGGTCCGTAAATAGTGGAACGTAAAGATGCGAAATAATCCTTTTTAAAATATGTTTTTCTATTACGACTGTGTAACACTAGTACAAAGTGGGTCGCCGCTCTCGTTCAAGAGAGAAAGAGGTCGGATGTGCCCCTCTGGCGCGCTATTCATGGGCGAAAACTATGCGCATTAAGCAAGCGCTATTTGGTAACAAGGAAAAACGGTGAGGAATTGACAATTTAACCGATTTTGTATCTTGATCAACAGTGATCTCCTGCTGGAAGCTGCCGAATGCCTTCTCCTCCCGAAAAGGAAATCACAGATACATAGTCATAGAGTTGTGCCCAGGCGACCCACCACAGTAAACCACGTACTGTATGCTATTGGTGGAATGAGCCGCAGAGAGGCCAGTAAAAGTGGGGAAAAGTATGACCCACGAGAGAGAAAATGGAAAACTATCGGTAAAGTTTATAGCTCCTATTTCTTTCTTTCTTTCTTTCTCCGTCCCTCCCTACTTTTCTGTCTATCCGTCTGTCTGTATGTCTTGTCTTAATCCCCTCTGGCATTAATTAGAATCAAACTAAAAAAAAAAAAAAGTAAATACGAAATATTTTCCGAGTGTTTACACATCAAAACTCACATTTTCCAAAAAAAATTAAAATGTTTATCCTTTTTCGCCTCCTGTGTACTGTACATGGTTCTGGACTGTACAAGTCTCATAATGTGAGGTGGCCTCAAAACAGCTTCTTCATGATTTGTTTATCGTGGAAAATTGTGCTAGGTATAATTTTCCAACTTCGTAATTTGCGGTCCTTGTCGTTGTCCTCCATCCTCGACCGACATGGCTCCCTTTTGCTCCCCTGTTTGTTTGTTCGTCTGGTTATTAAACGCATTCATTTGATATTTTGTGGTTTCTTTCGAATGGAAGTTAGCTGTCTGGTAATAGATTAAGGCTTCTTTAAAACCTCGTCACTTTGGAGAGCTCAACAAGTATTTTTCTGGTCTTCTTCTCTTAGGTGACATGAACATTTGCCGCTGGGGTGCTGCGGTAGGTGCTTTAGGTCCATTTCTTTACATCTGTGGTGGCAGCGATGATGCATCGCGACTGGAGACAGTGGAAAGGTTCGATCCATTTTCTAATGTCTGGGTACCGTCTGTCCCAATGTCGTCCAGTCGTAATGGTGTTGGTGTAACGGCAGGAAATGGGAGAATTTACGCTATAGGTGGGTTCTATAGAGGAATCAAGGTTGACCTCTTACAACTGGTTCCGGTTGTTCGAAGGTTGGATGACGCTTTCCACTAGATAAATCTTTATCAGGTGGATAGGGCAGTACGTTTTGGTAACACTTATCTGTTGGATAGCGATTTATCTGTTGGATAGTGTTATCTGTCCTTTGAACAACTCGTCTCTGATTGATAACGTTAAAGATTAAGAATCGCGTCTGGCTATTCTGTTGTTACGCAGACAGTGAGTGTACACCACATGAATATGTTTAGAATCTAGCCCAGCGATGTGTGCTTCGTGTAATCTATTGTGTCGCTTGGAAAGGTGAGAAACGCTGTGCTCTTATAGTCAGTGCGCTGGGCTTCAGGTCGAGAGGTGAGGGTTTTGGGTCAAGAGGTGAGGGCCTCTCTCCACCTGCAGGTTTCAGTATAGGCGGATGCCAGGAAAGTGTTATTGAAAGCTGACGAATTTTTGGGGGTAAGGTAACCTGTTTTGAACTGTTATTCCATTCAGGGGAGAGTCGCAATGCTGCGCAAACAAAATAAGCTTATTCCAGTTGGACGATTGGGCTTGAAGGCTTGAAATGTGTCTCTTGAGAAGTGCCATCGCTTTTTTTTCGGGCTCTTTCTTTTTTTTTCGTCATCAGTTACTTGATTTCCCAAGCCTGTAACCACCCTATTCTTCCAAGATTGTGAGAATGTTACAAAACTTTACTTGGTACGTTTTTCATAAATTCTTGTGAACGTCTATATTTTGCGTTTCTAGGTGGTTTTGATGGCTCGATGCCGCTGAACACAGCCGAGTATTATGACCCCAAGAATGGAAAGTGGATGGAGATTGCTCGTATGAACCAGTGTCGGTTTGGTGTGGGGTGTGCTGTAATGAATGATGTGGTGTATGCTGTTGGAGGCTCCGATGGAACAAATCTTAGAACTGTGGAAAGATATGAACCCGTCACAAACACATGGATGATGGTCGCATCCATGAGTACAGCAAGGTGGGTTTGATAACTTGATTTAGCTCACATATTTTAAAACAGTATTCGTCAAATAAAGTATAGAATGAACATTAGTTAAATTATCTTGCCTGGGAACAAAAATGGCGTTTATTCCGCACTACTATTAAGTCGTCCGTTTCGTTCCCAAACTGTCTTTCGCACGAGTGACAATTTCGCAGTGTATTAGATTTGAATACCGTGACATATTATGAAACGTTCCCATTTACATGTTACGTATAGGAAATCGTATGAACGCGAGTGCATTTCGTGATTTATGGGCACGAGTGATGTTTTGAAAGTTCTCAAAATTGCACGAGCCCGTAGGCGAGTGCAATTTGAGAACTTTCAAAACATCACGAGTGACCATAAATCACGAAATGCACGAGCAGGTTCATACGATTTTTTATTTATTATATTCTCGACAAAATTACTCCATCGCGCTACTCTGCACGCCTTACGTACTACAAAAAACACTTCAATGGGTTCCAAAATGCTCACATGTTTTATTTGAACCAATCAAAAATGTAATGTTGTGACAGGTAAATCAAGCGTGGAGTTCTTGAAAGTTTCACAGAAAATATTACAAGCCGAACTCAAAAGCTAAATTGGCGCTTCCCCGGTGTTTCCATGGCAACATGCACTCTATAACCTCTATTGCACTCTATAACCTATTTATGCATTCATCATTGACCAATCAGAAACGCGATATTTTGTTGAGTATATAATAATGATTGTTACGTAGACATTCGGTATTACGAGAAAAATGCTCAATGGCCTTCTTATTGATCAGTCGACCTAGTTGGTTTATTCATCAGAGTTAGTCACTATATCATGCCACAATTGTGGCATTACTTCAATCATTACATGCTGGATTATATCCCCCACCCCTCCTAACTCCAGCCCCCCCCCCCTACCGAATCCCACCCCACCCCCAAGAGATACTCGAAACCACATTCCAGGAGGAAAGTTTTCATACCATAAGGAAAGCATTGGCTAACATACAGCGTGTAAACGTTTTCTTTATCACTCCTCGCATATATGTTATCTAGTTACTTGTTAGAAGATAACGGTGCATCTCGTATCTTTTCTGTAGAAAACAAGTGGGCGTGGCTACTTTAGGAGGATACCTTTACGCCATCGGAGGTTGTGATCACGGTCACAGGTATGACACAGTGGAGAGATACGATCCTGGCAAAGATGAGTGGGTGCCTGTGGCATCGATGAGTACTCCTCGCAGTGGATGTGGAGTAGGAGTCCTGGACGGCTTTATTTATGTGGTTGGAGGATACGATGGGACTTCGTATCTTAGTTCAGTTGAAAGGTAAGTTTGTTTGAGTAAGACTAGTTGACCAATTAATTGAATTTTTTTTATCTATAACATAAAACTTCCTGACGGCAAGCACGGATGATTTGAATAAAGCCAGGCGAAGTCCATTCTGATAGTTTGTTACTAATCTATTCATGAAGGAAGTAACCACGCATAGAGAGAATTACCACGCTCAGCTCTAGTTCTATTTCGCCAAATTGCATTAGTCATCCCAGTTTCAATAAAATTCTGATTTAGTGAAAGCAAAATATATCCACATACTAATATATATTACACTAATACTAATATATATTACATGGTATTGCATCTTTCTCATAATGAAAAGCTACAGTAATTGATTTTTTTTTTACTTCTTATTGGAAATGTTGCATCGTATCAAGCGGTCGAGATGGGTTAGGACAAGAATCCTGGTAATATACATTTCATTCTCTTGTTTGCCTGTGTTAAAACTAACACTCCACATCTTCTTCATATACTGTCAGATACGACCCTTTATCAAATGAATGGCACCAAGCACCACCTTTGAGTCAGCCAAGGGACTGTGTGGCAGTTTGTGTGGCAAGTTGTAAAAGGACTTTTCACAATAAAAGACTTTTTGATTCGACGTCAGCAAATGCAAGACCGCATACATAAAAACGTTCTTTTAAACCTGGCTTCAGGTACATTCAAAGATAATGGGTTTGTTTTACCTGACGTTTGTTCCTCACAAACGAAGAAAGCCTTGAGTTACGGTCTCAGTGGTGATGGGAGAGTCACGTGGTACATATGATCGAAGTGCAGGTGTAATAACATTGAGTGAAAAATACATGGCTCAGAGGAGCTGAGAGAACCACAGACGCAAAAGAAAGAGAAAATGGATTAACTTTAACAGAGAATAGCGTAATGAATTGAAAGTCAGTGTGTAGACGCAATGGTTGTTCTGACCCATACTGTTAGGAAACATTCATCTCTGAGACTAATCTCGGTACTCGTTTCGTACGAAGCGACTCAATAACTTCTGATACTGTATGTGGCGCAATCGTACTAAAAATATATGCAATTTACCGTAACATAAATTCAAGCAATTTGACTTGAGGTAAAACAAAAAAATGAAAGAGAAAAAGTCTTTCCTCCCTAAAGTCTTCGTTTTGTTTGTTCGTGTAGTACAGAGTATTTTCCAATTGTAGATTTTATAAATTGGTATTGTGACTTGTGTCGAGTAAAGACAGATAGTGTGCATAACGTTGACTACAGTTTCGTAGTTTCAGAAATATTATGACGATTATGATTTATCTTACGTCGAACAATATTGTAGAAAAATTATTACAGGGGAGAAAGTGACGTCGTTTTAGAGCCATGAGAAGTTTTCTGAATCAATTTGAGGAAAGTTGCTTTCAAGCTTTTCTCTCTTTTCGGGGAAGGAATTTATAACTATCAATCATCAAAAATGTATGTTGTGAATTGCATTGTAGGAAAACAATACTAGCTTTATATTTAAACGACTTCGATGAAAAACAATTGAATGAAGACGTGCAGGAAGGACCAGATTCTGCCTTAATTGATAAGAATCTTTTTCTGTAGAGAGAATGGAGTTTATGCTCATCCATTATAGACCTCACGCAGTGTGTCTCAAGAAGAATTGCTTCGTGACAGACGTTAATCTAATTTATGTTTAGGATTACAGACAGGACAAATCAATAGAAGATTGTAATAAGTAGCAGAATGAATAATACCGTTTAAATAGGTTGTAGATAGATAGTGCACATTCGTTTGAAAAGAACCCTATTGAACAAGTTTCATTGAAACGCAAATATTATTGTTAGATATTTATCCATGAAATACAAATTTATTTTATGATATTGTACTGAAATTGTTTGTTTTACCTCACACAACGAGAGATTTATTGAATGTAGCTACCTGACTAAACACCTCACCTACACCCATAAGATGTTAGCTAAATAGAATAACATATCATGTGCATAGGTGTTGACGCATGACACAATCGATCTCAAGGTATATCAGCCTGATGGGATCTCCGGTAAGCGGTAGAGTTTAGGTGGCTATTTGTGTCGAGATTTAATTCTGACGTAAACGGCCTCTGATAGATGTCCACTCCGCTTGAAGGTTGGAGTTTTAACAGACAACTTCCAGACGGTTTGTCGCTGTCCATGCGTGCAATATCTACTGATAATGTATGCGAACTAACAAAAAGGATCGCCGAAAAAATGTTACATTTCTCTCTAAGTCAGCTCGTTTACATTCAATGCGCCCCCAACCAGAGAGAGTAGTTGTTGTTTCCAGTTTTTAGCATTTGAAAATCCCTTTTCCAGTCTGTTTGCGGTCAATTTACTTCAGAGGGGTTGGAAACAGAGGTTTGCCAGTCTAGCGTTGACAAAAATAGGGGTGGAATGAGCAATTTAACACTTTTTCTTTAGGTGGAGGGGGGATGTTACTCACACCAATGACAATGTAGAATACTACGCACAATTCTAATCGGGAGTCTTTAGAACACCTTTTAAAATACTTGCAAAATGTGCGCACTAAATACTTAGTTATGGGTCTGTTAGGAATAACTCAGGTTTTTGAATTTCGAAAGTGATCTAAACCTCGATTTCAGCCCCTTACCTCAACCCATACAAATGATTATGACGAAGGCATGACTAAGGATAATTTTAATCAAATCTGTCAGATGTAGGTAGAAACGGATGCGTTTTAAGATTGCAAACTGATAACTGAAATTTAAGATACCCGGGAACACGACCTCGAGGAGTGACACTTATTTTGATTCTGAAAAATTACTTTTCACGAGTATGCTAATACTATTACTGCTACTATGTTTATTTCATTAATAATGAAGAAGAAAGAGGAAAATGATCTTTAAAAGCTCTTGAGACGTTGCCTAGAGAAGACATTAGTAATTAATATCTTATAATATGGTATACTACACTAACTAAAAGAGCACAATTATGTTTGATTTCAAAAACACTGTAGAAAACTTTACTATGTTTGTGGTTTAGAGCAATTTTCAATAGATTGTGGAAACTCCTTACCCAAAGTAATCACAACAGCTAACCAGAGCAAGAAAAATATTACGAGGAGCCAATGAGAGGTCGAAGTAACAAGAAGCTAACTGTCTAAAGTACTGGAAAACGCCTGGGATCAAGTTAGTTTGAATCCGATTGGTTGAGAAAGTAGTGCGAGTTCTCTGGATCAATCACTTAACGAAGTAAAGTAACACCAAAGCAGTCCTGGATGATTTTTGACACTCAATTGGAAATTTCTATATTAGAAAATTACATATTTACACCCAGCTACCGAAAGATCCTCACACTACTCGAGCACCCGAGCAAAATTGGAATAGAGAAAAAAAAAACAAATGGAAAAATACAAATAATGTATAAATTTAATTAAAACAAAAAATTGAAATAAGAAAAGCGATCTGTCAGAAATAGTCACAACTTATGAAAGGGATGTTCATTCCTGCAATAAATGTTTCCGTTTCAAGTGATGGCAGTAAAATAACTCTTTAGCTGTGTAATTGTTTCTGATCGTCTTCATGGACTGCACGGAGAAGACTGGCACACTTCCTCAAAGTTTCCTGTTACCTCTGCATTCAGTTTTGTGTTTCTTCCAGTGCTCTCTCTGGCAAGTTTTACCACAATAGAGCACATTTTTACATCCAAGGTACCTTTTTAAAGTCCCGCTCTTTGAATATCTTGATCCATTATAATGAAATGGGTCGAGGAAGCCTGCAGAATGTTCGGAAGAAACGGATCTGCCTTCTAACGAAGAGGATTCATCCATATGGCCAGGTTCAGCAGAACTAAGTAGAGGACTTTCCATAGCAAGGGCTGCTATAAAAAAAAAAAAAAAAAAATTACAATCTATATTCTTTTTGTCTAGACCAAAGTATAGATGCGGTACTAAAGAAGATATGAAATCACTCATTGAGTAATATTGGACGAATCAATTTTGAGGTGAGTGCGCTCATCACGACTTTTCTCCGGCTATCCTGACACTTTTGACACGCGCGTTAGCTGCAATCCACTTGTATTTAAATCAGTCCTCATATCTTAGGGTCGCTGTGTCACTTAACAATAAAATCCTCAAAATATTTATTTTCCTTCCTTAACCTCTGAATATGTTGAGAGCCGATTAGAAAAACCTGGAAAAAAAAAAAAAACAGGTGTGCACACTGTTTTGAGTACCCGCAATGTCGAGTAAAATTGTACCGATACCCAGAGTCCTTTGCGTGAAAAAGTTGTTGAATGTACTCAACACATTGTAACGAGAGTCGGATTCTCTCACTAGGTAACTTACCAGCCATACTTTTGATGCTTTCTCGTGGAAACAACGGGGATATGTAAGAATTCTTCCACACAGCATAGCCACCATCTTGAGGAACTCGGGCTGCATTTGTGTACATCATTTTACGGAATAAGACCTTCTCCTGTTAAAATAACGAGGCATGACATAATCCAATTCATAATTTCAACTAAGAAAAACTGTACCGATGTGTAAGAAGGACGACGTATAACCTTAATTTCAATTTCTTTTTAAATTTAATACTATTATAATATTCTATATCAATATCTTTATCATCATCGTCCTTCTTATCTTATTCTTTATGGTTATCATTACCATTCTCGTTACAATTACTATTATCAGTATTTTTACTATCATTATTAGCGTCATTTTTATCATTATTTTCAACATAAGTGTACCCATCTATTTGAGTTCGAAACAATCACTGGCCACGTTCTTCCTTTTTTGCCCTTACAAATATAATGGAAGCGACAGCAGAAGACAGGAGTCATACTATACCTCACAAAAATTGTTTCGTCAACATCAACTTCCTCTTACCTCTTGGCCAGCTACCAGTCTGTTGACTTTGTGAAGGAAAATTCGGTTGAAGTATTCTGCCAATAGTTGAGTATTTCCCGGATTCTTGCGAATCAGGTCCGCAAACCGCTGACAATCACAGAAAAAAACCTTAGCCAAAGGTAAATTCTTCCACTTGAACAGTTTTTCCACTTTGATAACGAAACCTTTCTTCTTAAGCATGTCCTCCGCTGAGTCATATGGTTCTTCGATGATTCCTCGTTCGTCAACATAATGTACTTTGGCAATCTTTGACGTTAAACGGAAACTTTCTATCATTACAATTATATCAGATTAGCCCACATATAATCAGAGCAATTGTTCCCCAGAATATATAATATGTGACAGAATCCCCTTTTATATCGACTTACAATTAAGTCAGTGTTGTAATACCAAAACCAACGTACTCACAAAGACCAATCAGAGGAAAGGAAATACCCTTCAGAACCTCTGAGAACTTAAATTAAAACCAAGTGAAATGCCCAAAGTGCAAGAAAACTCGGGCTAAACAAGTCGCAATAGGTTTTCGTTTTGCATCTGATTCGTTAGGAGAATAGCCCAAGTTTTTTGGACCAATCACTGAGCAAAGCTAGGCAAAACCAATGCAATCTCCGGTTACGATTTTAAGTTCTTGGTTGCTCTATAGTAATTCGCTTGGTCCAATATGCTACTGAAGGAAGACGTGAACCACTTTTTGATTACTAAGTGTATGCATTGGAAATGCACGTGAAAAAATGTGTTCCTGCAGGCCTACCTCAGGCTCCTTCACATGATGATGTATAATGTCTGCAATGGATTCCCTGAGGTCAAAAAACGGCGGACCACCATCTCTTCGTAATTTCACTTCCAGATCAAGCCTAGGGCGAAACATTTTGCCAAGCATTGTAGAACAGCTATTACAATAAAAAAATTAATACATCAAAACGTAACATTATTATAAATGACCTGAAGCTTTAGAGGGAATTTAAAGGAGGACAGCGCCTACAGTTAACTTACATACATCTTTTCTTTAATACCAGATAAAGGTATTATCACCAATGCAAACCTGTCCTGCAGAAGGATTAATGTTTGCCTCCAGCTCATGATTTACAGACTTTTTCAGTCTTCTCTCACCGTCTTGCTTAGGTTATTACGGCGGTAAACCGATAAAAGAGTGCGGTCTATTGCTTAAAGATCCAACTCATTGATTTTATCCCTCCCTTAAATATTGTCCAGAATCACTAGAAGCATAGTACTTCTTGGTTATATTTCAGTTTTGTTCCCTTATGAAAAATCCTGGCTGATCCCATTTTGTACATACCCTATATCAGTAAGTTGACTATTCCACCCTTGCATAGCATGGAGAGGCAATGGAGCTAAGTTTCGTATTACAAGTTCTCCCACTGTTCCATCGCTTCGCTTAGAAATGTTGCAAAATACTTTCCCGACTTTGCCTGAAATTTGGAACTTGGATGAGTTGATGTCGACAAAGCATGAAAAATACATGCTGAGTGGGTCACTGTAAAAAAAATAAAAAAATAAAAAAACAATAAGATAAATAGAGAAAAATGCATGGGCGTGCATAGAGAAATTCAGCTCAGCTCGATATCTCACTTGTAAGCTGTCGAGTTGAACACGAGAAGAGGAATTCCATATCTACAAGCAACCATGCATTATTTTTTTTATCCTACAAACACAATAGCCCTTTCGTTACAAGAAAAGTCGAGTGTACATATAAATTAAAAAAGAATAAGATTGATAATCTCCAAAAAATTCGCCCAAGATGGAAAAATGCGTCAAATCAATACAAAAAACAAACAAACAAATAACAAAAAAAAAACAAACAAACAAACAAAAAAAAAAAAATGGGCGTAACTTTCAACCCAAAAAATTTCTCAGTAAGTCACTTTTTCCTTACCGACAGAAGATATATTTTCAGGAACTGTGGCAAATCTTTCAGTTGTGGATTTTCGTGCTCAGACGCGAGAAATGCCACTATCAAAGCCACTGAATACGTAACTTTCGATTTTTCTTTTCGTATTTTGGTTCTCTTCCCCTCGTAGGAAATTTTGAACGTCACAGTCAGTAAAAAATACGAATTTTTCAGTGTTTTAGCTGCCAAATTTCGACAAACTACCTTGGATTGAGAGTGGTGAAGACTTGATAAAGTGGCGCGAAAGGCGAGTGATGTGGCAGCAGCTGATTGGCGATATCACATACGCACAAAATGTTCGTATTTTTTCACGTGTGTTATTACGGCTTTTCTCAGGGCTTGAAATCCTCGTAAAACACCGCAGTTTCTATGATAACTAAATTTTTGACCTTGAGGGCAAACTTATAAATGCTGATTGGCTGATACAGGGGGATCAATTTCGGTAATTGCCCAGGCAAATTTAATTAAAATTGGCTTGAATTTTCCTGAAAGTATAATGATTTCATTAATGGTGAATATATATTTTTTTAGCAGGGCTAGTTTCTTTGCTTGAGTGATGTTGTACAAATATAAAATTTTATTCAGCTGAATTGGGCGTCTTTTAGTTCATTGACGCTGACAGGACACTGAAATGGCTTGGTACGAAATTTCACAATAACGTGCGTTAATAAAAGAATCTTAATTTCTTTTAGTTAACGATACATAGACACCCCTGCATTTGTTTTTGACTTTGCAATTTGAAAATGAATTTTTCACATTCCAAACTCTCCGCCTTTCGACATCTGTGCATAGCTCGTGACTCGTGACGAGAAGATCATTTAGAGCATTTTTTGAAATCAATAATTTAGAGTTATCAGTAAATCTTTTTTAATCAATAAAAAGCTTAAGCTATTCAGTAAAAATTTTCCGAATCTCATAACACCGCAACATACTCATAACATAGTGGTGCTTGATGATCACTGCTGAAGTTAGTGCTACCCACCCTGTAGCCCCCTCGAAGTCTATTTGGACTACGGTTGGAGACTCATCTGGTTGGCTGACCTTCATTGCCTTCGCCTTGCAGATGGCGAAGTCTAGTATCTCAAGTTCAGCCGAATAAGAATGTATGCTCTCTTCCACTTTTATTACCTATCAAAAAAATGAGAAGACAATGAAATAAGATATTACATACATAATAATAAACATGGAAAAATTACTCAGTTCTGATTGCTTAAGATAAATGCAATTTTCAGGTAACTCAGTGCAGAAGAGGGTTAATTCAGTGCAGAAGAGGGTTAATTCAGTGCAAAGAGAATAACAAGTCAGACATTCTGATTGGTCTATAATAAAAGAAACTCACAGATAGCCAATCAAATGCGAGCCTTGGATGTTGCAACAAAATTTGAAAGTTGAAAATTTGCGAGCGAAACAATGGCCGACGTTTTAAGTAGGTTTTCTTTCACCACCGCAGCTGAAAAACAGCTCAAACACCGAGACCATTGTAAAAAGCAGTACTTTTTGGTTGTCGGTTGGAAAAAGTGGTGTTTAAAGAAGGGAATTGCCAAGGAAATCGAAAATTACGAGCCGACCCAGCTTAACACTGCTGGAGCGATCCGAAATTAAAAACAAACATGGTTAAACCTCGGAAACGACGATTCCATTTCATCGACAGTGATACGGACACAGACCGAACAATTCCTTGAACTGTTTAGCCGGACTTTGAATTTTTTTGCGCTTAAAAGATGTGAAGATATCATTGCATATTATTGTTTTGATGGTAAGCGGTTGTTTTGACCGTACGCACGGTTTGAATAAATTATTTCTGCACTTGATGCGCGCGCTTTGCTTATGCTTAATTATGATAAGTCATCTCGTATTTTTTATGTATACTTTTAACACGTAATCACATGATTTTTCTCGTGCAATTTGGATGTGTTAATTTTTTTAAAGACCACAAATTGAACTCGCCCTACGGGCTCGTGCAATTTTGTTAGTCTTTACAAAAATTTGCTCGTGCTTATATATTCCAAATTGCACTCGAAATCATGTGATTACCTTTACGAAACGACTAGATTAAACGTACATGGTCACAGGGTTCTATTGAGACGTTTAAATCGGATACCACCTTAATACTACCGGGTTTCATCGCACGTTGACGAGATCAACAACTGGTTTAAGCGGGTTTTTATGCTGCGAATTATGTGCTTATCTAGTATACTTGTAATTCGCTACGATGACAAAATTTTTTACAAAAATTCCATTTTGTACTCCTGCTTTCAGTTCTGGTTCTCACACGTTTATTGCGGAACTGGCCTCTGGAAGATGTACTGGCTTTGGCGATCTTATTGCTCTTTGCTGTAGCTATAGTGCAAGTGCGCAAATGAGCATCCCATGGACGCCAAGTCAAGAATTGTTAATAAGTTAACAATATGCAATGCACCTTTTACCTTGAGTACTTGGCATTTTTCATTGGATTCCATTACGGTGAATGTCTGTCTTGCAAACAAACCAAATGTTTCCACAGGATCAACCCGTTGAACACTCTTCACAGTCTCGTCTGCTAGACTCACTGGTTCACAAGTTATGACCTTTGTTAATTCTCTGGATGATATCCATATCTTGGATGAACAGTGAAGCTCATTCCAGTCTTCTTCGCGTAGATGGAAGGTCACCACTTGGGTTTTATCATCATATCGTAAGCTGTTGGGAATTTCTGAAGGCTGCGAGGCGAGGGACCATGTGAATAGAAAGATGAAATGAATGAATACATACATGAATACAGAAAGTAATCAACAAATAAGTAATTGTGCGTATAATGTGCGCATATTCTTATCGTTAAATTGTCGAGCGTTTTCCTTTATTATTTGCGAGAGGAAAGGTATACGTATTAAGAGCTTATGAGTAAACAGAATTATTTTATTTTCTCACTTGTAAGGGAGCTTCCTGATCACTGCTGCTATCCCTCCTAATGTAAATCATCGGCTTTGGTGTTCCCTTATACCAAGGCACGACTGCAATCTTGATGTTAACTTTTATTTCAACAATGGGCTCTGTAGTGGTAGAAGAATAAAATGATTTATTTAGTTGAAACAATAGGCCCTCTAGAATTTGTTTAGCTCCTAGTGTGTGCTGTTGGAGATTTATTTACTGCAAGTTCTGTGAAAGAGAGGTATACTCTAGAAACTATATTAATCGCATCTCCGTCATTAAAAAGCATATCTGTATAAAAATCCACGAGTTAGCGCGGGTTAAGATGCTATAGAGTAATCTAATAGTTTTAAATTTTTTTACTCATACGGGCTAAAAATTTGACTATGGACGCCGCCATTTGGAAATAACTTGATAACCTGGCTACCCCAGAAAAACCACATCGGGTTTCATAAACAGCTCCTGCTCTAGATCTGGATCTTAGAAAATCACCAACCAGATTAGTTGATAGTGACTGTTTCGATTAGATCTGGGTATTTCGAGTAGATCGCATAGTTTTCTTTGCAAGGCATAGATACAGCAGAGGAGATATTGCTGCTTGTAATAATGATGGTTCGTAACTAAACCTTCACCATGTCCTTACCTGGTGTTCTCCCCAACGATGCCTTTAACAAATTCCAAGATAGTCCGTACCTCCTCTTAAAGTCACCTGGTAGCTCATCTTCAAGAATGTCAAATATCTCGGCGGCTAAAACGCAAATAACCAACCCAAATTACTCGTCAATATTTCTTTAGATTTCTTCTGTCCAATTTCTGCTATTAAGACAAGTGTAGATAAGATGCGGGGGCACTTTATCCCTTCCTGGTTATTAGTAAAATCAATATCAACGAGCCAAACACAAAGTGTAATATAATTATTAGGAATAGCCCATAGCTTGAGGAAGGACATAGGTTGTTACCAGGCCCTTCAGCGAAACTGAACATTACAAACTCAGGCACTGTTGTTTACAATTATGATAATGATAAAAGAAGTGATTATAATGATTATATGAAATGATCATGGAATAATTTGTTCTCCATACTGAATATATATTTCTTACAAGGCGAGCGAATATATTTCTTACAGGGCGAGCGTTATCATTTGGTATGTCAACATTGCAAAAAATTAAGAGAACCAGATTGAGAATTGGAACTCGTGGTAGTTTCCTAGGGTTTCGATCTGTGTTTTCAGTGCTCGAACGCCGTGAATACGCATACGCTACAGGCTAACAGCTAACTAAAAAATTGATATGACCTCCTTCCTTGAAGAGTTGTTGTGCCTGATGAATAATTCGAAGCATGGTCAAAGGCGAAGGTGAAGTGACGCCGATGTAATGAATCACCTCTTTCGTTAGGTTGAAGCAACGCTCTGTGAGACTCAGTAACGCCTGGACAACATCAGTGGTTTTAGCTGAAATTGCAAGAGGTATTTATAAAATTACAGTTGTCACAAGGTGAGGTTAACTTGCTACAGTAACATGCATCTGCAGACAGACCGGAACTTGTCGTGGCTCTTTTAGCGAGGCGACTCAGTATCTCCGTTCTTTCTTGTTAGGACTCCCATCCAACCACAAGTCCCCAGCAAAGATGGGACACTTGTTCAGTATGACAGGAGCTGGCTAAAAATTTGGCTCCAGTACGCCATAACTAACCTATTGTCAGTAAAGTCCTTTTAAGGTCCGCCTTGACCCAGCAAAGAGTCTCTTCTGTAGATTCCAAGTGGTCCGGAAGTTTTCTACACCAAACATAACAAAGCAAAAGAAAACAACAAGAAAAACAAACAAACATTAATACCACGTGGTAAAACGGAAGCCTCAGTCATAGACCTTAATCCCTGCTGCATGCGAGCTAACTGAAGATTTACAAGTGGATTGGCGTGCATTTAAATTTGAAGATCCACCCTTATGAAAATTGCTTGTCATAGGTTAAAGGACACTCAATGGGCCTCCTAACATTAAATTTGATTCTCTATTAATACTCTGCGTAACAAAAAATCATAGCAATCATTCTTTTGTTTGGGTATTGAAAACTGCAAATTGAGGAAAACTGCATCGATGTTATATGAAAGGATACAATGTTTGATACTAGGAAGTGTTTACCAGGATTTGAGCTGAGACGCTCTGATTCTATTCCCCTCCCCCCCTTACCCCCCCCACCCCACCGTTGACAAAAATTAAAACGACCATATGTTGTGCCTTAAATGTTTTTAAGGATGGTTTCTAGGCTGCCACGGTCAAACCAGGCCAGCAATGACTTGTAATAAACGTGACCGCACAACTAGTCCAGCAGACTGCATCTGAATGTTATGTTTAATTCATTTCATCGGCTTAGCATACTTGCTTCCCAATTCAATGTCAACAGCTAGTTTCAAGCCCAGAACAGTGGGGAGAAGTTGGAAAGGAACACCAACACATTTGTTGTAATACTCCTCTATACTGTCACATTCGCCGCACCATAACATGCTTGATGTGAACAACAGAGAAGCAGTTGGCCTGATTTAAATATAAAAATAAAGAAAACAGAAATTACCAAGATGTCCAAATACCCCTTGTGTATCAGCATTTCCAATTATAAACTAGTTAATCCATACGCCGTCATGAACTGACTTCGGATCCATCTAATGGGGACTTATTTTTCTACTTCTGGAGGTCGCAAATCTCGCTGATAATGCTTTTAACTCTTATGTACAGTTCGAATGAATTGCTTACTCCTCCTAAACCTCACTTTAGAAAGAAGACGCAATGCTAAAACATCCAATACGCACCAGGACTTTAGTTTACTGTCTCTACGCACTGGACATTTTACTTTTTTGTTTTTGCTTTGCTTGTTTTTTTTGTTTGTTTTTTCATAAGGGGAAAGCGAAGGAGGGTTCTGGTCGCTGTTTGGTTCGCATATTGCCTTTTGCTCACGAAAAATGAAACAAATCCCCCTCTTTCAGTGTGCATTGGTCACTTGTGAGTAAGGTTGATGTTTTGGGGAACAGCGATGAGATTTGTTCTTTTCATTAATATAAAACTGACTTTGGCAATAAGAAACTACACTAAGAAACTGCAATGCTTTACACACCAAGCTAAAAATAACTTCATTTAAATCGACATATCCCAGCCAAGGCCCTGAATTCCCCTTACTGTCCCATCATGACCTCATGGATAACAAGAATTAAAGGAGTTCTCCTCAAAAATCCGAAAAAAGGTCAAAGGTTAATGAGGACTGACAAGATGACTTACACTTTTAACCTTGGGCCACAGCAGACAAGGACATTCAGCAAACCAGTATGATCGCTGAGATTACTTGTATCGATAACGTCGAATAACACCTCTGGAGGAAAGCCAATCGTACACAAAGCGAGGGCATCGCCGGTCCACAGGGTAACCTACAAAACAAGAGTAGGTGAAAGATGAAGTTTGTCAGTGAAGGACGCACACTTACTCTGAAAAAAGCACTCCGAGTGCTCCCAATTGCAGCAAATGAAACTTTGACATTATTAACATACAATATACGGCAACAGCTAGCTATCTATAGCTCATCCAGAGTGTTCACTTGACTCTCGCGAGACTGTAAAATACTTTCGGAATATTTATTAAATTAAAAGGTAAATGTTGGCTGGATCCATCAGCTACAGGTATTTGGTCTGCAATGCGAGGTATCACGCGCAGTTGAGAACTTAATGGATCTTGAAAGCGTATACAGCGAGCTAGATAAGGAACGGACCATTAGGTTAAGGCCTCTAGAAGACCATTTGATAGTACGACCTATAGAGCGAAAGAGTTCACTTAGAGCTCAAGAGATCTGGAACAAGTGGTGCTATGCCGCTATGCCGCTATACCGCTATGCAGTTCTTTAGGCATTCTCGCCCGTGCAACGCACATGCAAACGCAATGTTCAATACAAACCCAGTATATAAAAAGTATATAAAAACGTTCCGCAAGGTAAGAAATTAGATGAATTTACAAAATATAGAAAAAAATTGTTCCAAGCCACCTGGGCTAGATTTGAAAACAAGAGGGCGTCTACCTCGGAATATATCAGACAAGAAATAGGTGGGGACTGTTATGAAGTATTTCCTAATATCGACCGCGTCATTTTTTTGTTTGCGATCGTCAAGTGAACGTCTTTTCCAGTTGCATTAGCCATTGTGTTTCAGACTGTGTCGCACCCGTGACTTGGCCACACTGTTACAAGCGTCTTTAGCAAAGAATGAGAAAACGACCATTAACCTCGGGCAATGATCGTTAGAAAAACGTCAAGTGAGTTGCACTACGTTCTTATTCATTGATTTAGCTAATCACAACGTACCATTCTCCAAGCTTACTTAGTTATGAGCGTATTGGCGTATCTGCGAAAACACAATTCACCTTCAAAGTTGCTTTGTGATTCTTATTTTGCTCCTGATATCTTTTTACCCACACTGCCAGCTTTTCCTTGCAAACATCTGCACATGATTTACCTTGTTCGAGGTCTTTCCTATAAGAGAAAAAAACTTTTTCTTGCAATTTCATAAATGAGTACGAATGGCAGCTTTAGAAGCTTTTTACGTTGGCCAAGTTACACTATTAACTCCGTTGATAAAGTCAAATTAACTTGTTATACTCCCCACCAACACAACAAGAAAGCTTTTTAGAAAGTTACTGCCTTTATTGATGAATTATGTATAATGTGGGTTTATACTTACCAATGTCTATTATCATTACTAATTTGGAATTCAATTTTCACGAGTCACTTAATTCAAAGAACGCAATGCTTCGTTTCCATGTTAAAAATTTGTCTAGTTGTCAAATAGATGACAAAAATCAAAAACGCGTAAAAAAGATCACAGACAAGCAGATGGTTTCACCAAATAGGTACACCAAAGCTTAAATTGATATGCAGGTTTCCGCAGCAGTAAATTACCTCGATTTCAATAGATATATAATCTATACATTGGCTCATTTGCAATTTTACCACCTGCTCAAATAAAATCGTGAAACACTATATATTTGACGGACACTCAAAAGAGCTTAAAGTCAACGTGTTTGGAGACAGGCCTTTCAAATTAAGTTTTACAACCTAGAATTGAATTCAGTCGCGAATCAGTTTATAAAATGATTCACATTGCACTCGTGAAGGAAAATAGATTTAAATAAATACGAAACTCAAAATGTCCGCGGGAATCGTTGACGGAGCATTGTTTGGCGTCAATACTCCGAGCGGAAGATTAACAGTGAATGGTGCAGTTGGTTGAGCGTTAACATACATTTGGCTTATTTCAATGAGAAAAGAAGGCCCTATAGTTATTTACCTTTCCAATGGTGGATAACCCACAAACGCACACGAACCATAATGCTGTCTCCACTTGTGAACAAATGGACGAATCAAAGTTGGATTTGTTTTCTCCGACTCATCATTCGTGGAACCTTCTCTATACCAGTGTTGTATTTCCGTGTAGAGTGGATTTGTTGCGGCAGGCTCCACAAAATTGTCTAGTTTCTCTTTATAGATCTCCATTACCATATGAGTTAGTATAGACCGGCACTGAGCGAGCATGTCCTCTATCAGGTTGTTTCTTTCCTCTTTAACACTTTTCACTTCGAGGTCGAGATGTCTCCAGTCTTTCCATATATCCCGACATTCCTGCAGAACGCTATTATCTTGAAACTTTAAGATACTTTCGTCGCTGTCAAAATCCCTCTCCAACAGTTCAGTGAGTACTTTTCGCAGTCGATCAAAGTCGGCCACTGACAGCGCCAGGTTATACCAAATGTTCCACAAGAAGTCTACATCAGCAGGGACATCAGGATTTATCGCACTAGCAACTTCTATGAGGACAGCATTGCGAGCAATCACTGACGGATCATAATCATTCAAATGGAAACTTAAACTCTTCGGACGCTCGTGCGGTTTTCTTAGGGATAGTTCAGACAAACTGCATAAAAAATTTCTAACATCACCGCATGCTAGAAGCAATACGTCTACCTGTTTGTCGTTCGATGTGCCCAACACTTCAGTGATATCTCGGGCTGGAGTGTTTCCCATTGCGTACGTGTACAAACCCTTCGGGTAGAGTGTTATTCCCATTGGATTATGAAAACTTAAGTTAGGAACACCTTGCTTGTCGTATTTTGTCATGTTGATGGTGAGCGATGCAAGATAAACTGCGACAAATGTTGTCTCTTAGTGTTGTAAAATAATTTTTCCTAATTTTGATTCTGAGAATCACCGAAACGAGACTAACTCTGAGAATCTAGCTCGAGAGAGACTTGGGTTCCATGAAAACAGTACCGGAAGTAACCGGAAGTAAGATTGGCTGTATGGATTTATTCTATCCTTGAAAGTTATCTAACAAGGAATTTTTCAGTGAGATATTCAAACTCAGTTTGTATTTTTTATTTGATCTATATTTGCTGTTTTTACACATCTATTCCATTTTTTTTCTACTTTTTAACACTAAGTCGCATTTTGTTTTTGTCGAACCCAGACCAACGCGCATAGTATTTGCAGAATTTTCCTTCTTTTGTTACGATCATTTTGCAAAGAATTTCAAACTGATTCTTGCCAGGAACGTATTTCGACGTATTCCATAAAAAAATGTAATTTCAACGTGACATAAGACGGCCGCACTACTATTAACTCGTCCGTTTCGTTCGCAAAACTGTATTTCGCATGAGGGACAATTTCCCAGTGTATTAGATTTGATTACAGTGGCAGTATATAAAAATTCTAACATTTACATGTTGCTGATTGTTACATAGAGTGGACATATTCGGTATTACGTGAAAAAATGCTCAATGACCTTCTTATTGATGAGTCGACTTAGTTGGTTTATTCATCAGAGTAAGTCACTATATAATGCCACAATGTTTGAAAAAAAGGGAAAAAAACTGCGTATAAAAAATTTCATGATGAAGTAGAGAGATTTTTTTAACTCTTGAGAGCTTGACAAGCAATACCACATGAAGGCGCTGCTCAGTATGCTCAATCACAATGGGGGTTTCATGCAGTAGATTGAAGAGTGAGGATCCTTGTGCGGCATAGCTAACACTTCTATAAGTAAGTGTTGCCAAGTGGCATTATTTCAATCATTACATGCTGGGATATACCCCTTCCCCGCCCCGGAATCCCAACTTCCCCTTCGAGATTCTCGAAGCCACATTCTAGGAGGAAAGTTTCAATACCATAAGGAAAGGATTCTAGTTGGCAGTACTTGGTAAAGATACAGCGTGTAAACCTTTTCCTTATCAGTCCTCGCATAAATATTATCGAGTTACTTATGAAAACATAAAAGTACATCTCGTATCTTTTCTTTAGGAAACAAGTAGAAGTGGCTACTTTAGGAGGGTATCTTTGCGCCATCGGAGGTTATGATCACGGTCACAGGTATGACACAGTAAAGAGTACGATCCTGGTAAGGCTGAGTAGTTGCCTGTGGCACGGATGAGTATGTGGTTGGACGATACAATGTGACTTCGTATCTTAGTTCAGTTGAGAGGTAAGTTTGTTTGAGTAAGACTTGTTGAACAATTAATTGATTTTTTGATCTATAACATAAAACTTCTCGACGGCAAACACGGATGATTTGAATAAAGCCAGGCGAAGTTCGTTCTGAATTGAAAATGTAAAGCGTTGATAGTTGGTTACAAATCCATTCATAAAGGTAGTAGCCACGCATAGAGATAATTATCACGCTTAGCTCTTGCTCTATTTCGCCAAATAGCATCAGTTATCCCGGTCTCAATGAAGCCCTGATTTAGTGAAAGCAAACATATCCTCACAGTAAGTTTAGAATCTTATGGCTCTTAGTCTATTGGTAACATGGTATTGCATTTTCCAAATAAAGAAAAGCAACAATGATCGATTTTTTTTACTTGCTATTGGAAATGTTGCATCGTATCAGACGATCAAAACGGGACAGGACGAGAATCCTGATAATGTACATTTCACTCTCTTGTTTGCTCGTGTAAAACTAAAACTCCATATCCTCTTTACATACTGTTAGATACGACCCTTAGGGAAACATTCATCCATAAGACAAACTTTGTACTCACTTTTACAAACCGACTCGATATCTTTTAACAGACGTTTATGTGGCGCAATCATGCAAAAAATATGTGCATTACACCTCAACATAAGTTCAAGAAACTTGATATGAGGTGAAACAAGAAAATGATAAAGAAAAAGTCTTTCCTCCCTAAAGTCTTCGTTTTGTTTGTTCGTGCGTTACAGAGTCTTTTTCAATTACGGATTTTATAAATTTGGCGTTGTGACTTGTATCGAGTAAAGACAGATAGGTGTGCATAACATTGACTACAATTTCGTAGTTTCAGAAACAGTATGACGATTATAATTTATGTTAATTGGAAAAATATCGTAAATAGTGTCGATAACATAATCATCAACAAAAAAAATTATACAAGGGGAGAAAGTGACGCCGTTTTAGAGCGATGAGAAGTTTTCTGAATCAATTTGAGAAAAGTTGCTTTCAAACTTTTCTCTCTTTTCGGGAAAGAAATTATTGATAACTATCAATCATCAAAAATGTGTGTTGTTAATTGCCTCGTAAAGAATATAGCTTTATATTTAAACGACTTCGATGAAAAAAAACTTATGAAGACGTGCAGGAAAGACCAGATTCTACCTTAATTAATAAGAATCTTTTTCTGTGGTGGAAATGGAGATTTACGCTTATTGAAAATCATCCATTATAGCCCTCACGCAGTGTCTCAAGAAAGAATTGCTTCGTGACAGAAGTTAACTTAATTTATGTTTAGGATTACAGACAGGACAAATCAATAGAAGATTGTAAGAAGTAGCAGAATGAACAATACCGTTTAAATAGGTTGTAGATAGATAGTGCACATTCGTTTGAAAAGAACCCTATTGAACAAGTTTCATCGAAACGCAAAGATTATTGTTAGATATTCATCCATGCAATACAGATTTATTTTATGATGTTGTACTGTTGTACTGAAATTGTTTGTTTTACCTCACACAACGAGAGATTTATTGAATGGAGCTTCCTCACATAATACCTCACCTACACCCATAAGATGTTGGCTAAATAGGATAACATATCATGTACATAGGTGTTTACGCATGACACAATCGATCTTAAGGTACATCAGCCTAATGAGGTCTTCGGTAAGCCGTATAGTTTAGGTGACCGTGACTATTTGTATCGAGGTTTAATTCAGACGTAAACGGCCTCTGATAGATTTCCGCCTCGCGGACGTCTACAAACAATTCCAACGAAGGCAAGTACATGGCGCTATCGACATTGCTGATCTCAGCATTATGCAGGACGCGTGTCATATATGAACTTCGCAATGACCTTGCTCGCCATAAAGTCTATAACTCAGTGGTAGAGCATCGGAGAGCGGGATCTAAAGGTCTGAGGTTCGATTCCTTATGGGAATTCAGAAATTTTGCATTGTCCCACGCTCGTGACGAGACGATAAAAAAATATTTCTCTATTTCTTTAGCGAGCTTAAAACCTACTATTTTTCTTATCATATTCATTAAGGATAATTTTTATCGAAACTGTCAGGAGGATGCGTCTCAAGATTGCAAAATGATAACTGAAATTTAAGATGCTCGGGAACACGACTTGGAGGAGTGACACTTCATTTTCAGATTTAGACCAAACATTCATGCATGTTGTTGATTCTTGTACTTATTTTGATTCTGAAAAGTTACATTTTATGCTTGTGCCATCACTGTTATTGCTACAATTTTTATGTTATTAATAATAAAAAAAATACGGACAGAAAAAATGATTTTTGAAAGTTCTTGAAATGTGGCCTGCAAGGACACTATGAATATCTTGTAGTATGGTATACTACCCTAATTAAGAGCACACAATTGATTTCGAAGACACTGTGGAAACTTTTATTATAACTGTATATTTAGAGAGATTTTGAATAGTGTGGTAACACCTCACCCATGGCAATCACAACAGCTAGGAAAATATCACGAGGAGCCAATGAGAAGTCGCAGTAAAAAGAAGCAAACTGGTCGTAGCGCAGGAAAACACCTGGGACTAAGTCGCGATTGGTTTTAGTTTTGACTCTGATTGGTTGAGAAAGTGGTGCGAGTTCTCTGGACCAATCACATAACGAAGTACAGTAAAACCAAAGCAGTCCTGGATTACTTTTGATACATTATTAAAAAATGACATATTTACACCCAGCTACCGAAAAATCCTCACACTACTCGAGCATCCGAGCAAAATTAGGATAGAGAAGAAAACAAATGCAAAAATGAAAAACAAAAACTAATGCAAAAATGAAAAACAAAAACTAATGCAAAAATGGAAAAACAAAAACTAATGCAAAAATTTAATACAAAAGAAACAAATAAGAGAAGCGATCTGTCAGAAATAGACACAACTTATGAATGGGATGTTTATTCCTGCAATCAATTTTTCCGTTTTTTCCGTCTCGAGTTTTTCCTCAAAGTTTCCTGTTACCTCTGCATTCAGTTTTGTGTTTCTTCCAGTGCCCTTTCTGACATGTTTTACCACAATAGAACACTTTTTTACATCCAAGGCACCGTTTTAAAGTCCCGCTCTTTGAATGGCAAAAGGCGCACTCTTGATTCATGTGGGAAGCTAAACCATGAAATGGGTCGAGGAAGCTTGCAGAATGTTCAGAAGAAACGGATCTACCTTCAAACGAAGAGGATTCATCCATATGGCCAGGTTCCGCAGAACTAAGTAGAGGACTTTCCATACCATGTTTTCTTTTCCCAAGAGCTGCTATACCGAAAAAAAAAATAATACTCTATATTCTTTTTGCCTGAATCAAAGTAAAGATGCGTTATTTAAGAAGATATGAAATCATTTATTAATTAATACTGGACGAATCAAGTTTGGCGTGGGTGCGTTCGAGACGATTTTTCACCGGCTACTTTGACACTTTTGACAGGTGCGTTAGCCGCAATCCTCTTGTGTTTAAATCAGTCCTCCTATCTTAGGGTCGCTGTGTCGCTTAGCAATAACATCCTCGACATATTTTTTTCCATCCTTAAAACTCTGAATATGTTGTGAGCTGATTATAAAAACCTGAAAAAAAAAACAGGTGTGCACATTGCATTGAGTACCCGCATTGTCGAGTAAAATTGTACCAATACCAAGAGTCCTTTGCACGAAAAAGGGGTGTAGAGAACACCTATAACGTTTGGTGCCTTGTATCTGGCGAGGTTGAGCGTACTTAACACATTATAATGAGAATCGGGTTCTCTCATTAGTTAACTTACTAAGAGCACTTTTAATGCTTTCTCGCGGAAACAACGGGGATATGTAAGAATTCTTCCACACAACATAGTGATCATCTTGAGGAACTCGAGCTGCATTTGTGTACATCATTTTACGAAATAGGACCTTCTCCTGTTAAAAAAATGAGGCATAATTTAATCCATTTCATAATTTCAACTAAAAGAAAAGACTGCATCGATGTGTAAGAAGAATGACGTGAAACCTTAATTCCAATTCTTTTCAAACTTAATACTATTATAATATTCTACATCACCATTTTTATCATCATTATCCTCTTATCTTATTCTATATTGTTATCATTACCATTCTTGTTACAAGTACTATCAGCGATATTATTATTACTATTATTATTGACGTTATTGTTAACATTATTCATCATCATCGTACCCATCCATTTGAATTCGAAACAATCGTTGGCCACATATATTACCTTTTCACCCTTACACATGGAATGGAAGAGACAGCAGAAGACAGGAACAATACAATACCTCACAGAAATTGTTTCTTCAGCATCAATTACCTCTTACCTCTTGGTCAGCTACAAATCTGTTGACTTTATGAAGAAAAATTCGGTTGCAGTATTCTGCCAATAGTTGAGTATTTCCCGGATTCTTGCGAATCAGGTCCGCAAACCGTTGACAGTCACAGAAAAAAACCTTAGCCACAGGTAAATTCTTCCACTTGAACAGTTTTTCCACTTTGATAACGAAGCCTTTCTTCTTCAGCATGTTTTCCGCTGAGCCATATGGTTCTTGGACGATTCCTCGTTCGTCAACGTAATGTACCTTGGGAATCTTTGGCGTTAAACGAAAACTTTCTATCATTACAATTACATCAAAATGTGCCCACATATAATCAGAGCAACTGTTCCCTAGAATGAACAATGATTGTGACCATCAAGAATGAGCCCTTTTATTGCTTCTAAAATTAAATTGGTTATCTCATCTATATTTTGTTGCCATGTGATATTGTCAGTGCGGTCACCCTTTAACTTGTCTTGGCAAACTTCCAAACCTCACAATTCAAAGGCGCAAGCACGATTTACAGAGAAAAAAAATTCGATGTCACACCAAAAAATATCACAACTTTTCGCTTTCATCTTCGCGTGTGAGGTTTTCGAACTGTCCAGAGCCAAAAAGCAAAACGAAGTTGAAACAAATTCTAGACCGTCAAACGCTCGCTTTTTTCGCACGCAACAATTCCAAAGTGCAAGAAAACGCTGGCAAACAAGTCGCGATTGGTTTTTTTTGAATGGTCGAATCTCAAAGCAAAGTTAACCAAAACCAATGCAATCTCCGATCACCTTCGATGTTAAATTTTTAATTGCTCCATAGCAATTCGCTAAGGCCGTGGAGTCATTCAAAAGAATGTAGGATTATCCAATATGCTACTGACGGATGATGTGAACCACACCCTGATTTCTAAATGTATGCATTAGAAATGAGAGAGAAAATGTGTTTCCTGCATGCCTACCTCAGGCTCCTTCACGTGCTCATGTATAATGTTTGCAATGGATTCCCTGAGGTCAAAAAACGGCGGACCACTATCTCTTCGTAATTTCAGTTCCAGATCAAGCTTAGTGCGAAACATTCTGCCGAGCATTCTAGAACAGCGACAACAATGAGAGAAAATTAATACATCAAAACATAACATTCTTGTAACACATAAAATACAGGAGGACAGCGCCTACAGTTAACTTGCAGATGTCTCTTCTTTAGAATCAAATAAAGGTAGCATCATCGATGCAAACCTGTCCTGTAGTTAGCAGAAGGATTATTTTTTTTCCTCCAGCTCGTGACTCAGAAACATTTCGAGTCTTCTCTTCACGTCTTGCTTTGGTCATTACGACGGTAAACCGATAAAAGAGTGCGGTCTATTGCTTTAAGATCCAACCCCTTGATTTTATCTCTCCCTTAAAACTTTTTCCATAATCATTAGAGGTATAGTACCCCTTGGTTGTTCTCTTATGAAAAATCCTTTTTTGTACATACCTTATATCGGTGAGTTCACTATCCCACTCTGGCATGGCATGAAGAGGCAGTGGAGCTAAATTTTGTATTACAAGCTCTCCCACTGTTCCATCGCTTCGCTTAGAAATGTCACAGAATATTTTCCCGACTTTGCGTGAAATTTGGAACTTGGATAAGTTGATATCGACAAAGCATGAAAAATACATGCTGAGTGGGTCACTGTAAAAAAGCAGGTAAATAGAGATTAATACATGGCCGTACGTATATAGGGAATTTCCCTTCGAGCGCTCAGCTCGATATCTCAATCGTAAGCTATCGAGTTGAACACGTTTATTTGCCACATTAAGGAATTAAAGGGCTATAAATTAACAATCAACAAATAATTAACACTACTACTACTATAGAGACAATGAAAATATCATAAACAATTTTTTTTACATATTCACATATTTACTAGCGAATGAAATAAAGGAACCTGAACTCTGGGTCCGGCAACAACTCCTATCAGCGTAAACAATATTTCTATTGTTGCCGCTGGCCCGCAATTTGTAACTATGACCACTAGATGCTGTTCTCGGCTTGAGGAAGTTAATGGGGTGGTCTTTTTGAGTCATCTTCTGAATATATTTACAGCAGAGCTGAGTTCGTCTTTCTTTCAAGCTGCTAAGGTTGGTAGTATTAAGGGCATCTAAGTAACTATGGCACGGATAGATAATATGTAGTGCCCTTTTTTTAATTGACTCCAGCTTATTTGAAAGAAATTCAGGGATATCTTGCCAGACTTGTACGCCATGGAGATATCATTTAGAGCCTTTTTTAAAATCAATAATTTAGAGTTATCAATAAATCTTGTTCAATCAATTAAAGGCTTAAATAATCCGGTAAAAATTTTCCGAATCTCATAACACCGGAACATACTCGTAACACAGTAGTGCTTCACCCTTTAACTCCCAAGATCTTGTTGTTAATTTTTCCCTATGGCTGCTAAACATTTTCCTGTAAATTAGTTGTAAGAGTTTGGTGTTCAATCAGGATGACGACTTTTACCTGATAGGTTTGAATATTCACATCATCTGTTTTGCTTGAAAATGTTTGGAAATTTTGGGGAGAAGTTACTTGTTAATCACTTCTGGGAGTTAAAGGGTTAATGATTACTGCTGAAGTTAGTGCTACCTACCCTGTGGCCCCCTCGAAGTTTATTTGGACTCCCGTTGGAGACTCATCTGGTTGGCTGACCTTCATTGCCTTCGCTTTGCAGATGGCGGAGTCTCGTATCTCAAGTTCTGCAGAATAAGAATGTATGCTCTCTTCAACTTTTATTACCTATCAAGAAAATAACAAGACAATGAAATTAGGGATCAAACACGAACACGACTAGATTAAACGTACATGGTCACAGGGTTCTGTCGAGACGTTTTAATCGGATACCACCTTAATACTACCAGTTTTCATCGCACGTCGACGAGATCAGCAACTGGTTTAACGCGGATTTTTTTATGCAGTGAATTATGTGCTTATCTACTGTACTTGTACTTCGCTACGATGACAAAATTTTCTAAAATTTCCATTTTGCACTCCTGCTTTCAGTTCTGGTGTCCAAAATCCTTACACGTTTATTACAGAACTGGCTTCTGAAAGATGTACTGGGTTTGGGGATCTTATTGCACTTTGCTGTAGCTATTATCCATGGACGCCAAGTCAAGAATTGGTAATAAGTTAGCGATATACAATACACCTTTTACCTTAAGTACTTGGCATTTTTCGTTGGATTCCATCACGGTGAAAGTCTGCCTTGCAAACAAACCAAATGTTTCCACAGGATCAACCCGTTGAACACTCTTCACAGTATCGTCTGCTAGACTCACTGGCTCACAAGTTATGACCTTTATTAATTCTCTGGATGATATCCATATCTTGGATGAACAGTGAAGCTCATTCCAGTCTTCTTCGCGTAGATGGAAAGTCACCACTTGGGTTTTATCATCATATCGTAAGCTGTTGTGAATTACTGAAGGCTGCGAGGCTAGACTCATAGCGAGGGACCACTTGAATAGAAATATGAAATGCATGAATACATAGGTGAATAAAGAAAGTAATCAACAAATAAGTAACTGTGCGCATAATGTGCGCATATTCTTATCATTAAATTGTCGTGCGTTCCCCTTTATTATTTGCCAGAGGAAAGGTATACGTATTAAGAGCTTATGAGTAAACAGAGTTATTTTATTTTCTCACTTGTAAGGGAGCTTCCTCAGCACTGTTGCGATCCCTCCTAATGTAAATCATCGGCTTTGGTGTTCCCTTATACCAGGGCACGACTGCAATCTTGATGTTAACTTTTATTTCAACAATGGGCTCTGTAGTTGTAGAAGAATGAAATGATTTAATTGCTTGAAATAAAAAAAACCCTCTAGAATTTGTCTAGCTCCTAGTGCTCTCGGAGTTTCATTCACAGCAAGTTCTTTCAAATAGAGGTATGCTCCAGAAACTGTATTAATTGCATCTCCGTCATTAATATAATATATAAAATATATATAAAATATATGAATATAAATATATAAATATATAAAATATTTAAAAATACATAAAAATCCACGAGCTGGCGCAGGTTAAGATGCTATAGAGTAATCTAATCCCTTTAAACTTTTTTTTTACTCGTACATGCTAAAAGATTTGACTGTGGACGCCGCTATTTGGAAAATAACTATGAAACCCGGCAACCCAAACAGACCACGTAGTTTGGTTTCACGAACAGCTCTTGCCCTAGATCTGGATCTGAGAGAATCAGCAACTAGATTATGATTTGAGGTGATAGTGCCTTTTTGGGGTAGATCCGAGTATTTCGAGTAGGTTGCATACTTTTCTTTGCAAGGCATAGATACAGCAGAGGAGATATTACTGCTTATAATAATGATGGTTCAGTTTTGTAACTAAATCTTCACGATGTCTTTACCTGGTGTTCTTCCCAACGATGCCTTTAACAAATTCCAGGATAGTCCGTACCTCCTCTTAAAGTCAGCTGGTAGCTTATTCTCAAGAATGTCAAATATCTCAGCGGCTAGAACGCAAATAACCAACCCAAATCGCTTGTCAATATTTCATGTTCAAAAAACTAGGATATTACATCCATTCTTATTCATCTTGAGTTCCCCAAATCAATAGCGTACAGATTTACTTTGTCCATTTTCTGGTATTAAGACAAGTGTGGATAAAATGCGAGGGTGTTTTATCTTCCCTTCCCGATCATTAGGAAAGTCAGTATCAACGAGCCAAAATTGTAAATACAAAGTGTAATATAATTATCAGGAATAGCCCACAGCTTGAGGGTTGTTACCGGGCCCTTCAGCGAAACTGAATATTACAAACTCAGGCACTGTTACTTACATTTCTAATAATGATAAAAGAAATGAATATAACAATAATAGGAAATGATTATGGAACAATTAGTTCTCTATATTGAATGAGCAAACTTTTCCTGCGGCGCAAGCGTTTTTTTTACAGGGCGAGTGTTATCATTTCGTATGCGAATATTGCGGAAAATTAAGAGAACTGGATTAAGAATTGGAACTCGTGATATTTTCTCAGGGTTTTCTTGGATACAAAACGTCTAATCGATCTGTATTTCCAGTGCTCGAACGCTATGAATACGCTGCATGCTAACAGATAAATTAAAAAATCGATATGACCTCCTTCTTTGAAGAGTGGTTGTGCCTGATGAATAATTCGAAGCAAGGTCAGAGGCGAAGGTGAAGTGACGCCAATGGAATGAAACATCTCGTTCGCTAGATTGAAGCAACGCTCTGTGAGACTCAGTAGCGCTTGAACAACGTCAGGGGTTTTATCTGAAATTGCAAGAAGTATTTGTAAAATTGCAGTTGTCACAAGGTGAGATTAACTGGCTACAGTATCACGCACTTTCAGACGGACTGGAACTTGCCTTGGCTCTTTCAGCGAAGAGACTGCATCCTTCCTGGCTAGAATTCCCATCAAAGCACGAGTACCTCCCCTCCCGCTCCGCCTTCCACCCTTCTCCTAGCAGTTTTTGGCTGTTTCAATTGTTTTATATTCCCAAGTAAAGATGGAGCACTTGTTCAGTATGACAGAAGCTGTGTGAAAATGTTGTCTTTAGTACGCCTCAACTAACCTATTGTCAGTAAAGTCCTTTTAAGGTCCGCCTTGACCCAGCAAAGAGTCTCTTCTGTAGCTTCCAGTTTGTCCGGAAGTTTTCTACACCAAAAAAAAACAAAGCAAAAGAAAATAACAAGAAAAATAAACAAACAAATGAATATTAATGCCACGTGGTACAACGGAAGCCTCAGTCAAAGACCTTAATCCCTATCACTTGGCAGCTGACTTTGCAAGCAAAATGACATACAATTTAATTTTGAAGAAAAATTGCTTTTCGTAGGATAAAGGACAGGCTCAATTGGCCTTCTGACATGAAATTTCCGTTAATGCTTCGCACGATAAAAAAATCATAGCAATCATTCTTTCGTTTGGGTATTGCCAAATCAGCAAATTGAGGAAAACCGCATCGGTGGTATATGAAAGGATGTAACATTTGATATACCTTGAAATCTCCCCTCCCCCTTGCCTCCCCCACTCCATCGTTGAAGAGAATTCATATGGCCGTATGCCGAGCCTTAAATGTTTCAAAAGATGGTTTCAAAGCTGCCACAGTAAAACAGGCCATCAATGACTTGTAATATACATGACCACACAACTAGTCCGGTAGACTGCATCTGAATGTTATGTTTAATTCATTTCATTAGCTTAGCATACTTGCTTCCCAATTCGAGATCAACAGCCAGCTTCAAGCCAAGAACTGTCGGGAGAAGTTGCAACGGGACGCCAACACATTTGTTGTAATACTCCTCTATACTGTCACATTCGCCGCACCATAACATGCTTGATGTGAACAACAGAGAAGCAGTTGGCCTGTTATAAATATAGAAATTATGAAAACAGGAATTACTCAGATTTCTAAATACCCCTTGTGTATAGCAATTACAATTATAAACTAGTTTTAAATTCATACTCCATCATGAGCTGACTTCGGATCCATTTAAAGGGATCACTGATCGGGCTTTTAACTCTTATGTACAATTCGAATGAACAGTTTGCTCCGCCTGAACCTCGCTTTAGAAAGAAGACGAAAGGGTCAAACATCCATTACGCATCAAGATTTTAGTTCAGTGTCTCTACGCACTGGAAATTTTGCTTTTTCGCTTTGGTTTTACTCGTTTTGTTGTTGTTGTTGTTGTTGTTTTGAGAAGGATGCTCTTTCGCTCGCTGTATGTTTCGCATATGGCCTCTTTCTCACGGAGAATGAAAGACATTGTCTTCTTCAGTGAGCATTAATCGCCTGCTACTAAGATTGATGTATTGGGAAACAGCGATGGGAGTTGTTCTTTTAATAACAAACTTATTTCGGCAATAAGGAACTACACTCGGAAACCACAATTCTTTCCACCTCATGCTAGAAATAACTTAATTTAAATCGACATATCCCGGCCAACGCCCTGATTTCCCCTCATTGTCCCATCATGATCTCTTGGATGACAAGAATTAAAGGAGTTCTCCTTAACAACCCGAAAAAGGTCAACAGTCACTGTGGTCACGGCAACGATAACAATGGTAGTGAGGACTGACAAGATGACTTACACTTTTAACCTCGGGCCACAGCAGACAACGACATTCAACAAACCAATGTGATCGCTGAGATTACTTGTATCGATAACGTCGAATAACATGTCTGGCGGAAAGCCACTTGTACACAAAGCCAGGGCATCGCCGGTCCACAGGGTAACCTACAAAACAACATTAGGTGAAAGATGATGTTATTCAACGAATAACACACACATACTCCGATTGCTCCCAATTGGAGAAAATGAAATTTGACATTATTAGTATACAGTACACGGTAACAGCTAACGATCGATATTTCATCCACAGTGTTCACTTGACGCTACGCGAGACTGAAAAATACTTTTCGGCATATTTATTAGATTGAAAAGTAAATGTTGGGTGGATCGACAGCTATTAGTATTTTGTTAGTAGTTCGAGGATCGAGCCACACGCTGTAGGGAACTTGATGGATCTTGAAATCGTACATACAAGGCTAGATGAAGAACGGGCCATGAGGTTCAGACCTCCAGATGACCGTAAAGAGCGAAAGAGTTCACACGGAGCTAAAGAAATCTGGAACTACAGTGTAATGGTGCTATGCCGCTATGCAGTTCTTTAGGTATTCTAGCCCGTGTAACACACATGCAAACGCAAGGAAGATAAATTGAGGCTACCTCAACGGTAAGTACTAAAACAAGGAACGACCTAAAACCACCTACAACCACCTACAACCATCTACAACCACCTCAAAAACATCTACAGCCACTCGCAAACTATCTAAAACCATCTAAAACAAGGCATAAATGTCTAAAATAAGGCGAAACGACAACATGTCACGTACACGAAATACGAGAATCGAACGAAACCTCTACCTCCCCCTGAAATCTTACTCTCCCTGGTCCCATGTATAATTAACCATCTCACGAAATGAAATGCGATAGCATGCTAATTATTTTATATTCCCTCAGCAAAAGACTTAAAGAACTTTGCAAAATGAAGTAACATGTTACAAAAAATAATAAATAGGGAATAATACATGGGCGCGCGTAGATATGGAATTAATCTTCGAGTGTTTAACTCGAAAGCTCACGAGTGAGCGCAGTGAACGATTGAGATGTCGAGTTGAACACGAGAAGAGAAATTCCATATCTACAAGCAACCATGTATTATTTTGTTTATCATATAAACACAATAGCCCTTTTCTGGGAAGAAAATCCGACCTCATTAATGAATGCAAATAAATGAATCGACAATCCTCGAATAACAATCGTAGAGTGCGTTGGCGCTGACTCTTAAGATGGAAAATGCTTTGAATTATGATTACAAAAACTTCCATATATACGCGCGCCTATGTATGATTCCCAATGTATTATTATTTGTAACATGTTACTTCATTTTGTAAAGTTCTTTAAGTCTTTTGCTGAGGGAAAATTAAATAATTAGTATGCTATCGCATTTCATTTCGTGAGATGGTTGATTATACATGGGACCAGGGAGAGTAAGATTTCAAGGGGAGGTAGAGGTTTCGTTCGATTCTCGTATTTCGTGTACGTGACATGTTGTCGTTTCGCCTTATTTTAGACATTTATGCCTTGTTTTAGATGGTTTTAGATAGTTTGCGAGTGGTTGTAGATGTTTTTGAGGTGGTTGTAGGTAGTTGTTGAAATTTTTGAGGTGGTTGTAGATGGCTGTAGGTGGTGGTAGGTGGTGGTAGGTGGTTTTAGGTAGTTTTAGATGGTTTTAAGTCGTTCCTTGTTTTAGTACTTACGCTACCTCAACGTGTAGAAGTGCAATTGTGACCTTATCTTTAATTTGTTGTTCGCATTTGACACGTGTGAACCGGAACAACAAGAAAGCATATAAAAACATTCCGCACGGTAAAAACTAGATAAATTAACAAAATATAGAAAAGATAAAATTTTTTCTAGGTTACCAAGGTTGGATTTGAAAACAAGAGGGCGTCAACCTCAGATAAATAGGTAGAGACTGATATGAAGTATTTTCTAAATACGACCGCACCATGTTTTTGTCCGCGATCGTCAAGTGAACGTCTTTTTCATTTGCATTAGCCATTGCGTTTCAGACTGTGGCGCACCCGTTATTTGGCCATACTGTTGCAAGCTTCTTGTGCAAAGAATGAGAAAATAACCATTAAGCGCGGGCTATGATTGCTAAAAAAACGTCAAATGGGTTGTATTGCATTCCTTATTTGTTTATTTAGCCAATCACAGCGTACCATTCTCCAAGCTTACTTAGTTATGAGCGTATATACTGGCGTATCTGCGAAACATAATTCACCTTCAGAGTTGCTTGATAATTCTTATTTTGCTCCTGATATCTTTTTACCCAGACTGCCAGTTTTTCCTTGCAAACATCTGCACATGATTTACCTTGTTCGAGGTCTTTCCTAGAAGAGAAAAATGCGTTTCGTTACAATTGCATAAATGACTAAGCGGACATATGCGAAATGTGCAAGCGATCGAATTTCAAGAACTGCAGACCAAGATGCTGGCTAACCCGATGTAAAGCAGACATACTTGATGTAATAACTTTAGAAGTATACGCGTATGCAAGACAAACATGAGCGATCCTCATTTTTATTTCCGAGAGAGTGACAACAGTTTTACCACAAAAGAGACGAACACAATCTTTTCAAACCCCTTACTTCGGGTCACTCTACTTACGTTATGTCATATAATGACAAAAATATTCACAATTTTAACTTTTGGCTAAGTCATAAAGTTTCTAACTTTCATTTATTTTTGTTTGCTGGCTAAGATAAAATTTTCCATTCCGTTTGTTAAAACAAGACTGGAAAATAGTCAATCTGAATCTTACATGCATGTATATAGGATAATTTGGTTTAATCAGCTGAGTTGACATTGTAAAATAGCCACTGTAAAGATTTCGACAGAACAAATAGCGAAAGGCTACCGCCCGAAATGCCCGCGTGTTTGGAGATTGGCCTTTAAGATGACGTTTCAGTTCCTAGAATGGAATTTATTGGACTCGCACAGGAAAATGCTTGAAATGCATACAAAATTCAAAACCTGAAAAAAATTCATGCTGTGCTTACAGATAGCCGTTTTTATTTCATATGAATGTATTACTTATGTCAGTTCGAGTCGTTGACTAATTTCACGAACGTTTCTGGACGGCAAATCTCCGAGCAGAAGATTAACAGTGAAAGGTTCAGTTGGTTGAACCTTAACATACATTTGGCTTACGTAAACGAGACGAGAAGGCCCTATAGTTAGTTACCTTTCCAATGGTGGATAACCCACAAACGCACAGGAACTGTAATGCTGCCTCCACTTGTGAACAAATGGACGAATCAAAGTTGGATTTATCTTCTCCGACTCATCATTCGTGGAACCTTCTCTAAACCAGTGTTGTATTTCCGTGTAGAGTGGATTTGTCGCGGCAGGTTTAACAAAATTGTCTAGTTTCTCTTCATAGATCTCCATCACCATATGAGTTAGTATAGACAGGCACTGAGAATTCTCACAGAACCGTTTACTTCTTTTCGTGTCCTCTAACAGGTTGTTTCTTTCCTCTTTAACGCTTTTAACTTCGAGATCGAGTTGTCTCCAGTCTTTCCATATATCCCGACATTCCTGCAGAACGCCGCCATCTTGAAACTTAAAATTACTTTCGTCGCTGTCAAAATCCCTCTCCAACAGTTCAGTGAGTACTTTTCGCAGTCGATCAAAGTCGGCCACTGACAGCGCCAGGTTATACCAAATGTTCCACAAGAAGTTTACATCAGCAGGGACATCAGGATTTATCACACCAGCAACTTCTAGCAGAACAGCATCGCGAGCAATCACTGACGGATCATAATCATTCAAATGGAAACTTAAACTCTTCGGACGCTCGTGCGGTTTTTTCAGGGATAATTCAGACAAACTGCATAGAAAATTCCTAACATCACCGCATGCCAAAAGCAACACGTCTACATGTTTGTCGTTTGATGTGCCCAACAGTTCAGTGATATCTCGGGCTGGAGTGTTTCCCATTGCGTACGTGTACAAACCTTCTGGGTAAAGTGTTATTCCCATCGGATTATGAAAACTTAAGTTAGGAACACCTTGCCTGTCGTATTTTGTCATGTTGATAGTTAGCGATGCAAGATAAACTGCAACAAATTTTGTCTCTTAGTGTTTTAAAATAAGTTTTCTAATTTCTTTTCTGAGAATTACGGAAACGAGACAAATTCTGAGAATCTAGCTTGAGAGAGACCTGGGTTCCATAAAGACATTACCGGAAGTAACCGGAAGTAAGATTGGCCGTGAGAATTTATTCTATTCTTGAAAGTAATCAAACAAGGAAGTTTTCAGCAAGACATAATTACAACTTGGTTTTCCTCTCTTCTTTGATCTATATTTGCTGTTTTTACACATCATTTTCTTTTCTTTTTTTTTTTAACTTTAACTTTTTAACACTAAGTCGCATTTTTTTTGGTCGAACCCAGACCACCGCGGACAGTATTCGCAGAATTTGCCTTCTTTTGTTCCGACCATTTTTCGAAGAATTTCAAACTGATTCTTGCCAGGACTTATTTCGACGTATTCCATAAAGTTATTCGATTTCAACATGGCAAAATACGGCCGGCAAGGCGTCCCAGAGTTAAGTTTTCATAATCCAGCAGGAATGATTCTGTATCCTAGAGGTTTACAGACTTATGCTATGGGGAATACGAGGGCCAGAGACGTAACCGAACTACTGGGGACCTCGAGAGGACAACATCTAGATTTGCTGCTGCTTGGTTCTGGCGATATAAGGAATTTTTTGTTTACTGTATCCGAGCTATCTATACGGAAACCTCATGAGAGTCCAAAAAGTTTAAGTTTCCATATAAACGACTACGATCCATCGGTGATTGCTCGCAATGCTGTCCTCATACAAGTCGCTAGTGAAATAAATCCGGATATCCCAGCGGATGTAGACTTCTTGTGGAATATCTGGTATAATCTGGCTCTTTCCCACGACAACTTTTATCGACTGCAACAAGTACTACGTCGATTAATCGAAAAAAAATTTGACAGCGCAGAGAGCATATTGAAGTTCGACGACATCGCTATTCTCCGGGAATGTTGTGCTATTTGGAAGGATTGGATGGCTCTTGATCTTGACGTGAGAAAAATTAAAGATGATCGAAACAGACTGATTAAAAGTAAAATGCAAGAACTAAAATTTGACGTGGATGGTCAGTGTATGGGTGTACTATCAGAGATGATGATGGGACTTAGTCAAGAAGCAGACACACAATTTTTCAAGGCAACCCATGCGAATCCATTCTATACGGAAATAAAACACTGGTTTTGCGAAGGTTCCACTTCGGAGGAATTCGAAAGGACAAATCCAACCTTGATTCGTCCATTTGATCATGAATGGAGATTACACTATAATTCTTGTGTGTTTGAAAGTTACTTGCCAATCGAAAGGTAAGCATATATTTACATTAAAATATTACTTCGCGAGAATGCCTATTGTTCTCGCGACATTTGCTTGCAGTAACAAAAGAGTGAAGAGCTCCGGCGAAGGGCTAACGCTCTATATGTCAGCTTTAGAAATTCTTAACGGTGGCCAGTTTTAATTGTTAAGTCAGTCGATAAGACCAAGTTATTCTCTAAATTTAATTTGGCTATATAAACCGTTTTCTGTTCAATACTAAGGGAAAAGAAATACGGAAACGTATATGATGTTTAAATCAGTTTTCTTTAATATTCAGAATGCTTACTTTAATTGGCTTATCTGATTTCAAGCGTCAATATTTCTGGATTTCGTTCTTTGTCTAGGGACCAGCTCTTACGATGTAAATCTCTGACAGCAGCTTGTAAAGAAAATTTAAAATTGATGCTGAAAGGTTTCCAGCGGCAAAGGAAGAATAATCAAACAACTTTGAAGGTTAGATTACACAGTTTTCGTCAGTCTGAAGCGAATTTTCAATGAGTCAACCGGAAATTTTCCCTTTGGAATAGCTTCCATCAAAACTGTGAACTCCTCAGGTCATATAGTTCAAATTTTTAAAAATTGTTTTTCTCCAAGCACGCCTGAGTCATCCATCAAGTAAAATCTTCCTTTTCTTTAAATCACCAGAGTTTTTTCACCGAGTATGTCAGCATCATTCACAAGTTAACATTTTCCTTTCCTTAAATCACCAAACTTACATGTAAAATTTACCATCTTAATTTACATCGCCATTGTGCATAAGCATCACATATTGACAGTCTTATCCTGGCAGTATGCAGGAAGTTTGTGACCATGGATCTAGTTAAATGGAATAGTTTGCTGTGAGTCCTCTGTAACTCAGTTGTGTGGCGTCCGAAGGTTTGAATCTTGGTGGAAGGCTTAGGCCATTTTACATTAACTCCATGGAAGATAAATAGTGAGGAACAGTTACCAAATAGCACCTAAGAATGGAGACGAATTACGGCTCCGTAACGGAAAACGATTTCAGTCCGTGAGATGAGGAAATATAAGTTTGTCAGTGCAAGGAGCATTACTATCTTTCTTGCTAGGTTACTCTGTGGACAGGCGATGCACTTGCTTTGTGTACAAGTGGCTTTCCTCCAAAGATGTTATTCGACGTTATCGATACCAGTAATGTCTCTGATCACATTGGCTTGCTGAATGTTCTTGTTTGCTGTGCCCCGAGATTGAAAAAGTACGTTAATTGTCATAAAAAGCATACTTTATGGATTGAACTGGTCAAACCATCACGTTTAATCAAATTATAAAATGATAAAAAATTAAACTCCCTTTTGCAGGCCAAACAGATCTCTCATGTTTACATCAAGCATGCTGTGGGGCGGAGGTTGTGAAAGCCATGGAGGCCCGCATGACCGAAAGGGCTATAATCATCATTGTACCCAACAAGCGCGAGTGGAATAACTGTTTTATTAAAAACGCCCAAAATATTGATAAATCTTCACAACCTCATTTGGTAAGAACAAACAGAAAGTTATAATGTACAAAAATACCTCCGGTTTATTAGGACTAAAATATGGACGGACATTTGTCCGCAGACATTATCTGTTCCAAGATGAGATCAGTTTTCCGAGAGTGGAACTCGAGAAAAACCGTAAGCTTCGAGGAAAAGATAATGCTCAAGGACAAATATGTGAGAACATTTTCGCGCAAAATAGACGTTACTGTGTTTATTCTTCAAATATATCGCACTGCAGGTAAAAAAAAATGTTTTGGACAGCTTCCTGTTTCCTGCGCGGGGTGTTTTCTGGGCTTGAAACTAGCTGTTGACATTGAATTGGGAAGCAGGTAGGCACTTTGGGTTTAAAAAAAATTTCCTCGCTTTCAATTTAGAAAGTTGTTTAGAAGTTTATCCTTTAAACTCAACACCCATCATGTCATCATAATCATCATCATCATCATCATTATCAATTCCGTTATTACCAATGTTTGTAGTCTTCTTCCGTCCATTCTCTCCGCTAACCTGTTGGTCTTCTATCGTGATCTTTTCTCTTCGCCCTTCTTCATCAGCAATTAAGCTATGATTATTTAACTCGCATTCTTCTCACTGAAACAGCAAACTTCCGGACAGAATGGAAACTTCAGAGGAGATTCTTTGCTGGGTGAAAGCAGACATTAAGAGGACTCTGTTGACAATAGGTTGGTTCAACGTTAAGAATGATTAAATAAAAAGCAATTTCTGACCGAATAACTATAATTTTCCTCTTGTGAGTAATCGCTATGCTGTTTTTGAGCACTTGCAAGCTTTTGTTTCATTCAATTTTCACATTCAACATATTCAAAGTATTGTATTATTTAATACGCAGAGATGAGATGTCTTGTAATCGCAGAAGTGCTCATTTCCTTTCCCATTTACTAAAGGAAGAACGAAGTGTATGATTACTTTTAAACTTACGTTCTGTATCTAAAATTGCAGACAAAACCAGTGACTTTGTTCAAGGCCTTTTTCGGCTCGCTGAACGGTGCTTTGATTTGCTGAATGAACAAACAAAACCACTGGTAGATGGACAGCACCTCCTTGTGAGTCAGGTGTTTGGCGCAACCTTGTCGTCACCTCTTACACTCCTTCGAATTATTCATCAGATACAACCAGTTATTAAAGGAGGAGGTTAGAACAATCATCGATCGATTGTCCGACATAACCCAGACTCTCTTTCTTTTTGCTTTTCTACATTTTGCGATTGGTTTAAAATTCCAGTTAACCGACTACTAAATCAAATAAATGCAAAACGGGAAGCTGTCACGACTTGATCTCTTATGTTTAAGTGCATTCGTCGTCGGTAAATTTGAGTTTCTAATGACCTCTCTGATTTTCTCTTTGAGGTCGTTTGATTGGTAGATGTGGTCATTTTAATGCTGTTTGTTAAAGCTCTTATTGGGAAAGTGCTCCGTTTTGAACTTTTGGAATAAGATTTGAAACAAAGAAACAAGAAGCATGAAATAGAAAATAAAACACGGGAAAGGTAATTCTGCCCTTCCCTTACACTTTTGGACGGTAGTTTTCCCTTTTCACGCTCTTTTCATAACTTTGTTTTTTTGGTTTTCGGTAATGCACGGAATTTTGTTTTGAATATTGTATTATGCAGTGTTTCAAACTCCTTTCTTTGCTTATTTATCTGCCGATTAAAACTAATTTGAGTTTTCTCGTTAATTGCTTTTCCAGCCGACCGAATATTTGAGCTTCTCGAAACTCTTCTGCCGCCTGATTTCCACCAAAAGCATGGTCTGTCTTGGAATTTTCTCAAAGCATCGCTTGGGAATGAACGAGGTATTTTTGTTGCCATAGACTCCTTAGATTTTTACCGTTGTCGCACTCTTGAAGAGAATAATATATATTGACCGAAAGTTTTTGAGCTTAAGATAAAAATCCCTAAAGTGATATTTGCTTTCATTATAATAGTAAACTTGCCTTTTTGTTTCCGCTGTTAATGTTATTGTTTTTGTGACTTTCACAAATTTTCCTATAGGGCCTGTAGTTGAAGTAAAGGTTAACTGTAACATAACGGTAGCCTCTTGGTACAAGGGAACACCAATTCCGATGATTTGCTTTGTGAAACCAAGCATGATTCATCAGGCTAAGGCACAGGTCAGTTATTTAAATAACTATCTTAGTAAACGAGTTTTGTTCGAGTACTGCAATTGTGGCGGACCAAATTCTTAGAAGCAGGGCACAATAAATACATTCCAACTTGCTGCCTCGAAAAGAAACCAAGTGGCAATACCAACAGCCATGCGCTTTAGCAAGCCTGATAATTAAAAACAACCAGCAGCGACAAGGCTAACTGACAACAAAAAAAATAATAAGGACGAGACAAACGAGACTTGCTGTTCGCAATAATTTTCATATGTGCTGTGGGAAATTATTCTTGAGTCAATTCTTACGATGTCTTAATTTTAAGGCTACATAAGTTTCTTTGGAAATCTCTTGACATTTACAGTCTGCCGTTTGACCGTTCCGCTTGTGTGTGATGGACTGCAACTTAATTTATTTTGGTGTAAGTTTAGTGTTTATTTTGACCTAGTTTCGACCGCGTAACCTTCAAGGACAAGTGTCGATTCGCTTTTGCCGTGACTCACATGATCGTATGCCCAAACAACGGACTCAAACACTTTTTCAGAATGTGTTCCCTAGATTGATGGGTAGAAAAATAAGTGGTACTTTATAACAAGTACTTATTACTAATTCAAAGGCCATCTTTGTTTTCAAGATGCTCTCTGGTCAGGCAAAATGCACTGAAACGACGTTTCCATCAATTTACAACAGCTTACGTTACGATGACCAAGCCAACATTGTGACTTTCCATATTAGTGAGAAGGACTGGCACGAGTTGCAGTCAAATGCGTTCATGTGGATATCCTCAAGTGACATGAACCCTGTCATAAATCGTGACCTATTGTTTCTCGGAGGGGAAACCATTGAAAGAAACCAACGCGTTGATCCGGTCGAGATATTTGGCTTATTTTCAGTGCAGGCTTTTACTGTGATCGAAACAAATGCAAACTGCCAAGTACTGAAGGTAGCGTTACAGTTAAAACTCCTGCAATTTCATTCGAAAAATCCAGAATAGGAAAATTGAGAAGGGTACTATTAGTCTCCTTTCGTTTGTAACAGTTACAGAAACTCCAGTTCATGATCATCTTACGATAAGTTGTACTTCAGGGAGAAAAAACAAATTATAAAGAATGAAATTTGAGTTGAGGCTGGATAATTATAAAATTTTACACGGGATCAACTTGGACTATTAATTCTTTTCGTCCTAAATTTCTGAATTCGCAACAGTTTAGTGGATTGTTAAACTGCTGTGTGGATAAATCTTTTTAATAACTAATCAAAGTTACGACAAAATTTCCGAACGTGATTGGTAATCACCAGCCCGATTTGAGCACTATCAGGACATTGTACGCTTTAATAATGGTAATAGTACCGAGAGGAGGCCAATTCGGTTTATAATCATACGAGGGATTCCAATTCTTGTATGTAATCATACTCGTGACTTGCAAATCAGACTTCCGTTTCGCTGTCGTCCGCTTTTGTTAATCACTCGTGTGATTACACACCGAATTGGACTCCACTCGGTCCTATTACCATTATAAATCGGCAACCTTATTGCGAAACAAATGGACGACTCAACGTTTTAAAAAGAAGATAATCTCCACAGGTTTCTCTTAGTTTAGTACTGTAATACCGTTGGTAGATATAGCTTCAAGTTAATAAATAGTAAGATGATACCCACAGCAGGATTGTTAAAACAATGATAAAGAGATTCATATTAGCTGTCTCCTTTTTTTGAGATCCACAAAGTCGAGGAGAGTAAGTTCTCATACTATGCAGAACTTGACATACCGGACTTAGAACAATGCAAAGTCAGCACAATGAAGGTTAGCTTTTCTCCACCTAAATGTCCGGTTGAACTCCAAATACACTTCGAAGGAGCTACAGGGTAAGGATGACTGCATTTGAAACATTGGTTTTATTTTACTTAAATGTAGCAGTTTAATGTTTCTCGTTGTATCCGATCGGAACGTTTTTAACTAAAAAAAATTAATCGAGCCTTTCAAAAAAGTAAATAGAAAGGCAATACAAGAAAATTCATGAGGATAAAAACAAGAAAAAAACTGCAATAAAGTTAAAAAACAACAACAACTGTCAACAAACAGGCAATCTAAAGTAGAGGCTGCGTTTAATTATCAGCTCTCTGACATCACAAACTGTAGCCCTTAAAAAGCGGCGATGATGAACCGCAGAACCGAGATCCTACGCTGTAGAATATGAAAAATTCTTGACAAAAAGCTGCGGCAAGTAGGTGGGTAGTTACATTTCGATTAGCTTCCTTTACAGAAACGCCTGCTCTATCAAGCATAAAGGTTTCTTGATATTTATTCTTACTTCAAGACAAATATTGCAGAAGTACTTATGACATACTGTAATGGAATTCTTCTTTTTAACAGAGATCCGCTGCAGATATACTTTTCATGTTCTGTGAATGAGAACTTGGCCAAGTTTCAGATTTCACGCAAGCGCAAAAAAGTACTTTGTCACATTCCTAAAAGAGAAGATGGAACAGTGGGAGAACTTGTAATACAGAACGTGGCTCCAGTTCCCTTTCATACCATGATATTATGGGATGGCAAACAGCATGACAAAAAGTAAGTCCGATCGCAACAGTATGCGTTACTAATACCGTTCAATGCATTAAGAAATGATGCAACCGATCAAACTGCCTGGAATAGATGTTTTTAACAATCATCTACCATCAGGTTGGAACTATGACTAAACTGTATGACCAACTTTTGGTGTCAAACGAAAATTTTTAGGGAAGAGCTCCCTGGGGCACCCCCAGGTTTCCGTGCGGAAATTAACGAAAGCCCGGCCTAAATCTGACAAGGCAAAATATTTAATCCAGTAATTTTTTTCCTTTCGGCCTAAATCTATCCATACTGATAAGATTGCAAGGAGCAATCTCTGCAAAATAGAACCGCATTTTGAGAGAATTGTACGAAGGAATGAAATAAGCTTGATGCACGATTAACCTTTTCCTCGCCTCTTCCCTTTCTTTCCTATTCCTCTGAACGGGAAAGGCATTTTGTTGTCGCATTTTCCCCAAGGAGAAAATTAACATTTGAAAATATTTAGGGAGAATACAAAGTTTTTGAAGGTTCTTTAAAAGAAGTGCGGCACGGGAAACGACGCCTAGGGGCAACAGAATAGAAAGTCAAACATACAAACGACTCGAAGTCTGTTTTCCGCGCCAAGTCCTGGCGGATGCGTAGACGTTATTCAGGTCTGTCGTTCGCATGTTGGAGCAGATAATGTCTGAGGACAAACATCTGTGTTTATTATATGGACGAGAGTGTTTTACCGAGAACTAAAATACTCGTCGAATCAATACGACCACTACATCTTGGAACCAAGTATCGTATTTTTTGTATGTAACACGAGGGGCGAAAACAAAAGTAATTCTTACTTGTTCTTACTTATTCTTACTAATGATTCAAGTCAGTGTCAGTAATCGAGTTTTCACCGAGCCTACAGAACTAATTCACATTTATTTTGGCCTAACTGACGGTGTTGCATTTAAACCTTTTTTTATATTTTGGGCAATAAGTATTTTGTTTCTATTTATACCATGTATTTAACTTTAAGTCACCTCGTTGTACTCGATTTCGTGTGCCCATATGGCAGCATTGATCCACCTTTTCAATCTCTAACTTGTATATTTATTGTCCATGCATAAAAAGAAAATTACAAGATATGAACTTTATGTTCTCGTGCTACGAATAATATCGTGAGATATTGTTCTAGCCACTCGAACACAGAATTCACATCTTCTCAACTCCGTGCAATATCCTCTACATATTTTCAAGCTAAATAGAGGATAATTCTTATTTATTTCAGAATGTTCAGAAAAATGTTTCGCACAAAACTTGATCTTGAGCTGAAGTCTCAAGGAAAAAGTGGTTCGCCGTTTTTTAACCTCAGGGAATCCATAACCATGATATTGAGCAAGCAATCAGACGAACCTTGGGTAAGCTCTGTACTTTTTCCTTTGCTAAAATTGTCTAACAAAGTCTAAGCTTTGTTATCACCTCTACCTTCATTTAGTGTTCGCGTTCATTAGACCTACTTTGATCTAGCGTCGAAAGTAATTGAATATTTGTTTGGTTTGCTTTACTAGATGCTGTGATTGATCTAAAAATTTTGCGCTTTTGCCTCAACAAATCTAATGAAAAATTATACACCATTCGCAGCATTTCAGTTCACTCGTTTTTCCTATGTGAGCATCCCGACACATCGGGGCGTTTACATATCCTTTAGACACTCCAAGCATTATTCTTGTTCTGGTTTTATTATGATCAGTTGAAAAGCGCTCTAATGTAAGCCTCAGGATTTATATGTTTTGCCTTACAAATGTTTCATGTAATGTCAAGCTCGAAGGGAAAGTATTTTTTTTAAAATAAATGTAGACTACAGTTCAGTGAGCCACCTTACATACTTGAGAAAAATTTGTTTTCGTCTCGTCACGAGCGTGGGACAAGCTTCTATTGTTACCTTTATGGCCCTTATCACTGCAAAACTCTTTTAGACGCCATTAGTGCATGTTGTTGATGAGCTTGGAATCATTGAGGAGCCTTACCAAACACAGGAAAACATGTTAAAGAAAAAGGGCTTTGTTATCAAAGTACAGGAGATGTACAAATGGAAGTTTCTTCCCGTTGCGAAAGTTGTATTCTGTGATTGTCAAAGGTTGGCTGACAAGCTTCAAAGTGATCCAACAGACGTCCATCTAATGGCGAATTTCTTTTCCAACACCTGGTTACACTTGGTGCATAGAATCTTGGCTGACGGTGAGGTCAGTTCAGCATAATTTTATTATCAATAGTGATCACAACTGAAAGAAAAACAGTTAAAAAGAAATTATAAGAACGTAAGCTTTCACTATATATTTGTTGGTTTGGATAGAAAATAAATAAATACATGACAAAATTCCGAGAACGTGAAAAACAGAAAGATTATATATTGTTAAAATACCCTCTTTTAATAGAACGCCAAAATTTCATGAAGTCGATTTCAACATGACTTTATTTACACAGGACCATGGACGTTTCATGCCCAAAATGCTTCATGCTTAAAAATTTTCTGCCTTCTAGAGAGGCGTAGCGGCTTGTCACTCATTAAACTCCTCTATAGCATTATTCTACATTTCTTTTTGTTGACAGGAGAAGACCCTATTTCATAAAATGCTCTACACAAATGCCGCAAGAGTAGATCAGGATAATGCATCTAGTGTTTGGAAGAATTCCTTTATTACTCTTTTGTTCCCTAGAGAAAGAACTCTTGACTTGTTTGGTAAGTTGAACTACACAAAACACCTTTTTTTTCATATGATTTACTATCCTCAGTGAACTTCAGCTTAGAAACTCTTTACGGTGGCCAATTTACATTATGAAAATAATTGATAGTACTTATAAACATAACTCCCATAATCAAATGCAAATGGTTTCTTTGTTTCAATGAATCTACATTGCTGCTAAGCTGAATTTCTCGTTTTATTGATTTATCTATCAATTCATACGTTTATTATTTAATTTTTTATCAGTGCCCATTCATTTGTTCATTCAAAGGAGCCCTTTTCTTTTTCCTTTTATGTTTCGCGGGAACAGCTGGATTGTTAAAAGGACAAATGAAAGACCTCCTTTTTAACCTGTGTTCGTTTCCTAATCAAGCAAGACAGCCCGAAGAGCACTCCACCCGAGACAGTTTCCCTGCATTCTTAGCGGACTTTGCACGCCAAATGGCTCATTTTAACACGGGGCCAAGAGATCATACATCAGGTTCTGACCTCTCAGAAAGGGGACCTCCTCTAAAGGAGGCAGAATGCGCCTTCTGCCATTCAAAGGAAGGCACTCTAAAGCGATGTCTTGGCTGCAAAAGGATCGTCTACTGCAGTAAAACTTGCCAGAAAAACCATTGGAGGGAACATAAACCAGACTGCCAAAGTATTTCTTAGATCATCAAACTGACAAGTTGTACCCCTCTTCGGTTCCTTTTCAAAGCCCAAAACTATCATCATTAGCCACGAAAGTTACCAAAATTAATTAAAAATCGATAAAGGCTAACAAAACAAAGCAAAACGATGAATAAATAGGAGGTAAAAGATAACCAAGTTCAAAATGTCGATCGAAAAATTCCTATTATCATCCCGTTACCTAATGACACACACACCCGGCTTTTGCGGACAAAATTTTATATGGTCATTCTGAGTGTTAACTCAATTTTCTGAAATTCTATTTGATACTTTAAAAACACTCTTTTTCGACACATCTGCAAAAGAACCGAGACATTTTTTCGATCTTACAAGGATAAAAGTCGATATCCTTAATCTTATCCCCTTTACTGGAGCCGGCTTCTGTAGATAGCGCAGCGTTGGCTGCATGATTGCCTCTTCGAGAGTAGAACTAACCTTCGCTCCGTAAAGCCAAATGTAACGTTATCTCCAATCAGAATGAACGGAGTCCACCAGCAAACTATGGTTAAGCCGATATTCCTCAGCCATTTCATGGCCGGGTGGAGACATACATTGTCACTAAATCCGTCAACAAGGTGTCTCTATAAACGCCTCATGAACTGCTCTGTTGCTTCGTTTTCAATTACCCACAGTGTCACCAACACTGATCGTGCACCAGATGCCTAGAACGCTCTAGTAATTCCGATGACTCCCTCGACTTTGATCTCTCTACGCCGCTGTGACAATAGTTGGGTAGCACCAATTTAGCTCTTACTTTAACTTCTGAAATATCAGAGATCCTCAAAAGGTAGCCTTCTTCATCTGGAGCACTTTTAACAGTAGGACAAGGCAAAACGGCGGTCTCTCCTGTGTCGGCGTTACCATGTGCAACGACACGAATCAGACTCACTGGATAAATTGCCGCTGTGACATTAGCTGAGTAGCACCAGTTTAGCTCGTACTTTAACTTCTGAAATATCAGAGATCCTCAAAAGGTAGCCTTCTTCATCTGAAGCACTTTTAACAGTAGGACAAGGCAAAAGGGCAATCTCGCCTGTGTCGGCGTTACCATGTGCAACGACACGAATTAGACTCACTGGATAAATCGCCTGAAGTACCACCTCTCTCGTGGCACGCTCTCCTAGCAAAGGTTAAACGCCCAGCAGTTGTCCGATCGTCTCTGCTTCCTTTCTTGCACCGAGAAATTCTATGAAGTTCGCGATTTTTCCCTTGTAACGCGCCTTGCCTACCTCAGGATCACCCACAAACAGTGCATCAGTCTGCCTTTGATATTCCGCCTGGCAGTCTTAAGCCAAGCCAAACTCAGGTCTCGTGTTAACCATACTTTCCGCTTTTGCCCTTTTGCTTATCGCTCCCTTGTTTTACACTCCGTTCTTGAGAACAGTTCAGAAAAAGCCTACTGAGTTTGTATGACTTGTGACAGTAATAAATATCAGTGTGGGCTTTAAGTCCACTAAGTTCCATTAGCAAGAGATAACCTCTTTGCCTTGTATCTTAGATCTTAGATTTAAGGGTGACTGAAATTTAAAGCTGCTATACAAACATGCACTTACACAAGCGCGTCAGCAGTATATGTTCTTTTCCGCCGTCGATCTTTATTCAATTTAAGCACTAGTCCGTGCTTTCCCATGGAGGTAATAGGTAAGTTTGTCACAACTAGACTTGTGATTGAGTATTTCACAAAGCTATGAAGTATTATCATCTCTGTTATATCCTGTCTATAACTATTTATATCTCGCTCTTTTCTTGGTCCACTTTTCGCCCTAAATGGAAATAACCGTGACAGTTACGCAAGTCACAACCAAATAATGTTGTCTGTTCTACAATGAGCGTAAAAACTAGTTGACACATTATGTCTGAACAGTCCTATTTATGTGTAGAACAACACTCTAGTGTCTACCACACTCTAAGTCATTGACAAGGCCCCAATCCCCATTCAATGTTGCTTCTACAGTACAGTATGTGGCTAAAAGGTTATGGAGTCACGATACAACACTTTTTTTGGTGAGGGGGAGGGGGGTAAATTGGGCGAAGAGGTCACCTCAACAACGGGAGAGGAGATAAAACCGAAGTAATAGGAAGTTGAAAAGGTCAATGTGTCAACAATTCTGTCGCCGACTGTGGGTCTAAATTTTTTCCAGAGCATTCAGGTGGTAATTACTTCACAGAATTAATTCAAAACGGAACTTCACGTCAGGATATATATTTCAGTAATTACTATAATTATGCGTATAAGGGAGGGCGCTCCTCTCCCTCTCTATCGTTCCTGGCTACGAATCATATTAATTTATGTAAAAGTTGACTATAAAAGCACTGAATAAATGAATTATGTGGGGTTGCTCGCTGCCTCTCTTTGATTGTCATCTTAATCTTGAATCATTAACTATTTTCCAGTAAACTCTTTTCCACGTTTAACGTGTCTCAGTAGTATGGATGGTAATTGCGGAGCAACTGGTCACGAAAACAATCCCAAGCCTGGTTTTTTTTCGAAAAAAGCTGAAAACGAGCGCGAGATTGCACTTTTAAGGTTGTAAACAATCATGAATTGAGTCACGCTTCTCCATCTTGTCCGCCATTTTGTTCTTCGTTGTTTTCTTCACCAGCAGGTTTTTTTTGTACTAGTTTCATTTTCATCTCCAAGATTGGCACAGGTAACGCAATGACCAAGGTGCCCACTAAACAACACACGCTTCCCATGATCTGGCCAATCGCTGTCTCCGGTGACATGTCACCATAGCTGTTAAGGAAGAAATTCGCACAATTAAATGATGCCGCGTGGAGAGTCTCCCTACTGAGTGAAGTACAAGTAAGTCATAAGGATGTTAGCATAAAGTTTACGGCAAACAGAAGAAATTAATTCTGAAATTTCTCGATTTCTACTCTCTCAAAAGAATATTTCGAAAACTCAATTTTTCAAAATTCATCGAAACTCTTTTCTCTTAGTGTCCGCCTAAAGCAGTTGGTAAGGAGCCCTTGTGTATCTTGTGTCGTAAACGTCACGCATATCAAAGCTTTTAATATTTCTCATAATTTATACAGGATGTAGTTATTAGGCTTATTCCCATCGGGACAAAGTAAAGCCAAGGGACTTTTCTCACGAAAGGTCTTATTTCAAAGGCAATCGCTCGATCTAAAGCTATTATTTCAGACCTGAATGAAGATATTTAGTCTCCCAGGATAACTTTATTTGGGCTCCCCAGCGTTTTGTTTTAGTATTTTCGTCGGAGGCGAAAACACGCCATATGTGACGTGACCAAAATTTGCAGCATTCGATCGATTGCGTGTAGATCTTCCCGAAAAAAACGGATGAGCTACGATAGCATTTTGATTTGGTAATCGATGATCGATATCTACTCTTTAACGATGGACTCACAAACAAAAATTACAAGTACGTGCTTCCAAAGTTTTTGAAATTATTGCTGCTCGTTCTCCCATTTTTTTGTAACAGTTGTTCAGTGATACTTATCTTGAAAGAAAGATTGAAAAGGAGTTCATCGAACGAATTACTTATTCCCTGATCGAAATTACCTCTTATTCGTGAAGAAAAGTCAAGGATGTTTTTAGAGGTTCTTCCCCATCCCTAGCCCTACAAACAAACCACAAAGAGCACTGACTTACCCAGTCGTTGTCATAGTAACAATAGCATACCACATACTGTCCGGGATGCTAGAGAAAGTTGTTCCCTTGACTTCTTTCTCAGCATAATACACAGCGGTGGCAAAAATAATAACACCCAGTCCAAACGAAAATAGAATAAATCCCAGCTCTGAGGATGAATTTTTTATCGATGAACCTAGCGCTTGAAGTCTCGTGGAATGCCGAGACATTTTAAACACGCGGAATACACGGAAGACACGAAGAATCGTTAAGGCATCGAAATCACCGGCGCTTTTTAACCCAATGTCGAGGTAGAATGGAATAACCGCCGCAAGATCTACGATACTTTGAAATTCTTTCACGAATTTGCACCTGTGAGGCGCAGCGAACAAGCGAAGTAAATACTCCAGTGTTAAGACCACAACACAAGTGCCGTCGACGTATTGAAAAGCTTGCTTGTATTCTTCACCACATGTTCTTCCACCGCAGGGTATCGTCTCTGTTATGGTTGTAACGATGCTTAAAATAATGGCGATTCCAATTATGTAGTACACAACTTTAGCTGTCTTTGAAGATTGCGGATTTTCAAACAACAACCAGAGTTGCTGTCTGCAGGTTCTACGCTGAGGAACACACTCATGGTGAATCGCTTCAACTTCTGACGGCAAATCTCTTCGACACACAGCAGAATTCGCGTCATGGTATTCCTCGAGACAACACAAACCCAAAGCATCAGTTGGAATACGAAAAAAATCAAGCTCGTCTTCGTAAAATTCGCCGCATTCTTCCAGAGAAAAATGAAGTTTACCATAACGATAATAGTTCAAAATGTGACGAAAAAAGCCAGGGTCCCGCTCAAAGAAGTATTCTTTTCGCTGTGAGTCGTAAAAGGATTCTCGGTCACTGCTTCCTAATAGAGTTGTAGGGTATTTCTTCAGAGTATAGTCCCAAGTTTCAAACTTCCTCCCACTCACATTGAGAACGATTCTCTTGTCCTTTAATTGCTTTCGATGAAGAATACTGAACGGTTTTTTCTTAAACACCGGCGAAATTCCAACAAGACCCACCTCTCCGAGGGGGAGCCAATTTTCCAAGTCATTCACGGGTTTGTCCTTGGAAGACATCGCGATTAGAGTTATCAGTAAATTTGATCAATTACGATTGCACGACAACTTAACTGTGTCGGCAAAATTGGCGTCTTCTAACTAAAGAAACCCGTAACATGCAGAGTTATCAAACAGAGACTCATTAACGTACACTAAATTGTTAATACGTACATAAACATCGGCGTAGATAATTGCGCCTAACAATGACATGGTGGACTGAGAGGCCCAATAAATCTTAACCGACAACAGCGTTACGCATTTGAGGGCTGGTAGAAAGTTCGCGATGAGGAATAAATAAGATACAATTCTAAGGGGGATTTAATCAAAGAGAAGCACCGCTTTGTGAATCTGTCTCGTTTGATTGTTTATGTATTTATAAGATGGATACGGGTACCTGCACCGTTTGCACCAAAAATTGTTAACCACGTGTAAAGAAATGGTGACAAACTTGTAAAAAAATTAAACAACACAAAACTGCAACACAACATCCCTAACAAAAAATATTGTATCTTGATATGATTTACGCGAGTTTCCATCTTCCTAATTATTACATTTTCTTCTCGGTTATTTCACCAATCAAAGTGTTCTTTTCGGTGAGCAAAAAATAAAGGAGAAAATTCTGACTTTTAAATTGGATAGATAATTGATCCTGAGTTTGTTCTTATCTGTGGTAACGTACAGCTTCACGCAAAATAAAATTGGGAAGAAGCAAGTTATACGAATTGATCTCTGTGTTTACAAACACCCCTGTGGATAAGCTTAGACGTTATAAATTACGAATTCAGCGAAAGAAAAGCGAGCATCCCACCTGCTTAAAGCGGTTCATTTAATATGCATTGTGCCGAGAACAGACCATATTATTTACGACTTCCGTTGTTGTGAAAATCTCTGTATGCTTGAAATAACGCAAATAAAAATACTGTCGAAAAAAAGCGTAATGTCAGGCCATCTTTTAAAACTCAGAAGGACATTATTTAAGCAACAGACTTCACTTTCTATAGGACTACCGACGTAATAACCCGAGTGTTCTGCCAACATCCCAAGCGGGTTATCTATCATGTTGATAGGTCGATAGGAAATGCAGTCTATTGCTTTCATACAATAAACTTAAAATGTTATAGTTTTCTATTTTTTTACCGGTGAAATAGGTTTTTGAACAATGAGGGCGCTCGCAGTATCTCGGGAATTTTATAAGTTACCTTCTTTGGGCTTAAAGGGCGACACGCGCCTTCCTATTGACTTGGAATGGCCCGCTTTGATCCCGAGAAATGAGGAAAAACGCTTGAAACTGGTCATTAATAATCTCCGTAATCTCTTTTAACCCTGATGTCGTTACGAGAAAGATAGTTTCTGGTAGTCTTGGTACCTTCAAAGACAAAACTTCTAAATATCAAGACATCTTTATTTTTACGCTTGTTCAAAAATTCGCAATAATGAAATGAATAACGAATATTAAGACCATAGATAGCATCTACTGATAACATAAATGCCTTTTATTCATAAAACTAATAACTCATATTATTCTGCGACAATCCAGCAACTTGGTGGTGTTTTTTGTTTTCGTAAGCCAAAGGGTAGAAGCATGAACTTACCGGGGGTCAATTACGAAGGAAAAGGGTACGGGGTACGGTCTCGTTTCTCGTTTTTATTCCATTCGCAATATGGACGATAGATGCTTTATGCAGCTTGTTTAAAAAACTCTGCACACAGTTTTAAAACAAAGTGACGTTTGATTCCAAATTTATCAAATTCGTCGTTTTCAGCTACTGTGGGAAAAGCTTTGGTTTACAACTTTCCGGCCAACGTTTTCTTCAACAAAAGATATCAATGGCACGTTTTTTCAGTCACTTCCATCGTCTCATACAAATTTACGAAGAAAAAAAAATCATGGTTAGTTTTCTAACCATGCTTCAATCTTTTCTTCACGTGTTTTTGGTCTCCTTTTGAAAGGATTTTTAAATTTTCTTTTCTTTTTGACGGCTCCTTGCGCCTGCTCTTCCTCACGTCTTTGATCCTCCATTTTTTGTTTTACGTCCCTGAAGATAGGGAAAAAAAAGGCATAGTTCAAAATAATTTTAATTCGTATGTAGCTCGCAAAATTTGTGCCTACAGAGATATTTCGATTGTTGCAGTAAGACTTGTTTCGATACATTAAGAAACTTAAAAATGACCACGCTTTGAGTATTTCAGACAGGCTTGAATCGCTCGCGCTGTGATAACAAAAGAATGAGTTGGGGGTGGGGGGAAGGGTATGGGGGTGCCATAAGATTATTGGAAACTCTCCAGCCACCGTTATTTCCTTTTGCAAGATCCTTTGAGTCCCACTTACTTGCGTTTATGTGGGTGTTTCTATCTGTAATTGCACGTTTTCCGAAAACCTACCTTGCGCTACGTGTCATATGATCGATTGATCAGGGAAAGTCGAAGGGAACTCTGGATGTAGTCTGTGTGTCTCAGTGATAATAATCCGACATTAAATAAATATGACACGTGCAATTGTCAAACAATAACGACCCTTTTGTTGGAAAATAATTCTTATTCCCCCACGCATCAATATCCCCTTTGGTTCTTTCTTCCAGTGATACTTACGCGGCAACTTGTAGCGCCACCATATCGATGTCAACAAAATCGTCTTCATTTTCTGAGTTTGATTCTTCCTCTTCAGCTAGAGTGTCAAGGATTCCTGATATGAATATAAAGAAGATATAAATATGTCTTTTAAATCGATTATGTTCTGAAAATATTTTAAGTATTCAAAGCGAAAAAAGTCGTCAAATTAATAGTGTGGTGTACTGCATGGAAAACACTCAAAGTAGGTTAAAAAAGTATTGCATGAGATCCTTAATCTCTTTTAAAATTACGCGGAAAGTGACCGTCGCATTGGTCTCTTTCTGTCACTCATGAAATAAATTCAAGAAATGAAAGGCCGAATGACATCTACAATTATCCGAAGACAGCAATCCCCATAAAATTGCAAGGAACAAATAACTTGTTAATAGATTCACCTGAAGTATGAATTGAGTGCGGTGGAACTGGATACAATTCTTCATCATGAAATGAATAAAAAACTTACTAAGTTTGGCTCTCAGTATGTCGAGCATTTCTTCATAATATGTGATACTATCTTTAAGATTTCCAACCACGTGATTTAAATTTCCCAAATTCGCCAATGCCTTTCCAATGCCATTTTGGTCATTTAGCTCCTTGGCAACCGCAAGCCTCTCCTTGTTGCAGTTAAGCGCTTCTTCGTAGTTCGTTTCAAGCTCATAAATGTTTCCAAGATTATTATAGATCTTTGCCAACGGTCGCTTTTCGTCTCGTTCCTTCGCTATGTTCAAAGCTGCTATAAAATGCTCTTTCGCCGTTTCTAAGTCACCAGTAATTTTATACAAACATCCTAGGTTACTTTGGGCTCTTCTCTCGCCCTTTTCATCCTTTAATTCTTGTGATAAGGAGAGATGTTTTCCATGGTATTCCTTCGAAGTTGCATAATTTCCCAGTTTATAATAGGCAAGGCCAAGAAAACTCAAGGCGTCCGCTTCGGCTTCTCGGTCATTTTCCTCGATGGCATCGGTAAGACAAGTCCTCAATTCTTTTATCTTCTCGTAAATCTCATCTTCAGACTCTTCGACAACTCTAAAATTTTTTGGATCGTTTTCTTCCATAAAACTTATTCTTTCACAAAATATTCATTGCTGTTCGCTTCATAATTCGAAATCACTTTGCGAATGCTTAAAAACAGACCTAAAGGGTCGTAAAATGCTTTATGTGAGTTGATATTTCTCAGCCAATCAAATTATTAGATTTCATCGTTTAGCAGGTGGTAAAGCCGAGCGTGTAGCATTTAATTGTGTCAGTCTACTACTTAGATTACCATATTCAAAACCAGACCGAAGTCAATACAGGTATCTCTTTAAACAGACACAGTGATAATTACTTTTTTTTCTCTTGACAGGGCAATGTAAGCGGCAGAAAAACTACGCTGATAGAAATCTTTCTCGGCTAAATACACTTAAATATCTATTTAACAGGTGAGGAATTTCCATAAGCAAAGAAGCAAAGTGAGAGCATGATGGAAAGAAAGTAATCCAAAAATTGAAGAAGTTGCAAAATTATAAGAGCATCATTATCAGAGAATACTAAGATATTTCCAATGAGTCTGATTAACAAGGTGCTGACCACTTAGTAACCATGTGAGATATTATGTTTGAATTCAAAGCTTTTAAATAATCTATACTAGACGAAACAAATTAACATCTTGCACTCACCACAAGCACTCAGGAGTCGTTCCCCATGGCCCTACAAAAGGGAAATTTTGCACTAACGAAAATTTATGACTAAATTGCTAATTCAAGTTTCCTTTCATCATTTTTCCCTCAAAGTATGAGTTGTTAGCAGCATTTTAAACTAAAACCAATACGCATAAAATCTATTAAACATATTGTTGCAAACTTTTCTTAAACTAAGGTATAGATGAAGAATGTATTCAAATCTAAAGGAGTTTATCCTTTCTTTAGTCAAACTTAACATTCGCAATATTTTTACCAAGAAGATCCTTCAAGTAATCAATACTTTTGATGATTATTTTCAGATTGTACCGTACTGAGTTTACAACACCACTAGTCAAAGAGGTTTCTAGAAAACTCACGCCACTATTTCAATCAACCAAATGCTAAATAAAACCGTTTTGTCGCGCTCCAAGCAGGTTGCCTGTTGTCACTTTGAGTCCTCTTTGGTGAACGATGGTTAATAATTAGCCTTTGTTCCGAGTAGTAGTTGGAGTTACTTTGGTGTCGGTTTTTGGCACTCAATTAAAAAAAATATTAAAAAAACAATAGGCTATTTGTGTCAAGTAAACAACTAAACAAGCTTGAAATAACCACACAAAAAGATGAATTGTCACTGGTAGTTGCCTCCGCGTAGTATTATTGCTGCGACTTGTCTTGAAAACAGTACAAGTGGAACGAATTGCGTTGTTCTATTGGCTGTGTTCTCTATGTGTGGCAAATATTACTACTATACGTCTGGGCAATTTTCTTATACCGAGCGGGTTTGTATTCCTCTCACACTAACGACCTAACTGCGCCCACTATGCAAGCTAAATATGAACAGACTTGGGGATAAGGGAAGCCCAAAGGCGATGTAAAAGGTGATGTATGTCAAGTCCACTCAACATACAGTATCCTTTTCTAATAATATAACAGGCTAATCTCTGTTATAAGATAATTTGGTTCTCTCAAATGAGTTCATAATTTAAATTGATCACCGAAAAGGGTTTCTAAAACTTCCGAGGCCAATTTATATTATCATTTTAATTAATGAAACCAAATTTCATTTACCTTGTAATACCCATCCATGAAGTCTGAGAAGAGACATTTTTAGAACCTTAAAGTAATATCATGTAGAGTGCCAAGGACCAAAGTCACCATTATAGACAAATTGTTCCAATGGAGCTTAATGTAGATTATGGAGCTCTTCAAATTAGTATCTTATTATGACAAAGCAAAAGATTTTGTGCAAACATTACGCGGTTACACGCTTTGTAGGTCTTGTCAATAGCTCAAGTTGCGAATTTAAAATTCATTTCGAAAAAAGATCGCAACAAAAAGGTATGAGCCATCAAACTTTCGTTCTTTTTCCCCCGTAACCTCACGAACAGGTCCCTTTATTTTATGTTGGCCTTCAAAGTTCAATTCAGTCGTTGGATATTTGCATCGAATGTGGAAGAAACGTTTGGTAGTAACTGATCTTAGCCCAACGGTCCTTACTTCCTGAACAAGAGTAGTATTGAAAGTGTAACCAATAAAAGGTGATTCATGCCTTTACACGGTGATTAAGTTGCACCGAGGAAGTAGTATAAGAGCGGAAATGTGTGTTGGACATACCGACTGCAATCGCCAATCGTTTATAATTCATTCTCAATTGCAACGAAAGGCAACAAGATTGAACTTGATAAATTCTACCAGCTAAGTATACCCTTCAGGACGTTAATAGTTAACATGCCTGCAAAGTACATGTACTACAATTTCAAGTAGAACATGCATAGAATAAAGTAAGGTGAAGATTACCTTCCCCCCCAAATATTAACAACAACAATCAAATATGCTATGGAAAGTACACGCGAGGAAGTTTGAATTATGCTCCACGAAAAGCTCGCCAGATAAAAATCTTCCGACGTAACCCCTTAATACAGCTGATAAATTATGAATTTGAATGTCAAGTTTAGCTTCTGAGACAATCAAAATAATAATAAAAAAAAGATTACTGCAATAAGTGTCCAGTTAACTTGCTGCAACGATTGCTAATGGTAAGGACGCCATTTTGAAAGTATGTCACTTACGAAGGCAGAGGACTCCTAAATTTTCATCATTCATCACCCACAGTACAGCATTAAAAAACATTATAACTAGATATCCTCATTTGTAGCGGCCTCAGGGTGCTTTTCTTTCCATTTAACCACGTCGTGGAGGTATTGTTCGTTCGCTTTTAGGCTTTCCATAAAGAATACTTCCTTTTCATCAGCCGACATTTCCTTCCATTTTTCACCCATTATCTTCGTTCGCTCAATCACAGACGAAGCGTTCACAGTTTCTGCGTTTTTCTTCACAAAAAGGAGAAAAGGAGATAGAGGCTTCTTTGGGTATTCTAGGAGTTCTTGCCTTGCATTTGCGAGTTGTCGTAATTTTGGACCTTGCAATTTCTCCAGAAGAACTCGCCTCTCGGTGTTCAGTCCTTTCCACAAATTCATGACTTCCCGTTTGTATTCCTCTTTCAAAACATCGTGTCTGTGTTTCAATTGCACTTTCTCAGCACTCGAAAGAGTCTTCCATTTCATGGACAAATGTGTCAAAATTTCAGTGGGACTTTTTCCTGAGGCAACATCACCTTGGACTTTGGAATAATGCTCTGACACAAATAAACCAAACAGTCCTGGAGGTTTGCTTGGAAGCTCTGGAAGCAAACCATCAACAATCGCTTTACATGCTCTCCTTTTACTTTCAAATGTAGTTTTCCTCTTGCTTGGCATTGTGTAAGGTATTTTGTCCGTATATTTATCGACAGCGAAACGTCTCGTGCCGCGAGATATCCAGTGAATAGCAACCGATGGCTTCTTTAGCGAGTGGTTGTAATTGATGATTGTACGAACCAATTTTGCTCTAGTGGTGAATAACTGTCGAATTGACCACCTTTCTGGTGCTTTACTTGTAAAACAGAGAGTTAAACTCATTTTAAGCTTAACTGAAACTTGTGTGCGAATATTTAGCTCATGCAATGAAATCGTCCCGCATCATTACGTCAAATCGACCAGCTAATTATGCGAATCAGTTTTTTTTTCAACGTAGTTACTGCCCAATGAGCTTTATCTTCATTGTTATTCAATAACTTATCAGTCTCAAAACATTCTTTATTTATCAGTATTCTATATTCTGATCTTATTTCTTTGTGAATACGAAGAATCTAGTTCGGATTAGTCTTCTCCATCTTTTCAACGTGTTCTTGCCGTAGAGAATTAATTTTATCTGGAGCATACAGTTGTTTTGAATTCCAACTTTTACACGCTGGCTACGATGTTTTATCGGCAGCAATAGAATAAGAGATAAAATGACGCTTTTCGAGCTCTTTGAAAGAACCACAGAAATTATTCTTTTGTTTGTGGCCATTATGCCTATCATCGCCTCCAGGCAAGTAAAATCTTCCCACGAAGATTTCATTGTCCAAGGGGTCGCATTCAGGTCACCAAATCAGGTATACAATCTAAATACTAAACTTGTTACGTGTCTGACGCTTGCAGAAGCAGGGAAAATTAAATACTTCTCATCTAGCTAGATGGAAACCGATTATCCCTGAAAATTCGTTAACCGATCTGAATCGGCGTCATCTTTATCATCTGATTAAACAACTGATCTGAGGTCTAGAGGTAAAAGTCGATAATCCTTGGCATTTTATCTACACTCCCAGACACAACTACTATCTCCCCCTCTCTGCCCCTCTCAATGTTGGTCTGCAAGTAGGAATAAGGACCATGAGTGGCCAAGGCAGAAATTGTTCTCACAATATCGATACAATATCAAGCAGACGAGAAATGAGAATAAAGAACAATATTAACCAGGGGATTATTAGTTGATCCAGTACCAAATTCTCTGATCTAACATCACAAGAATTATATAACAGACAATTAGGAGAATTACTAATGAGATATTAGGAGTGAAAGGGTTAAGAAGCAATTTTCACGTATACAAATACACTCGATTTCAAAAATCTTAACACCTAAAAAGCGTTAGCAATGAAAGATGAGACCCAAAAGCTTTATGGGTACACATGTACGTGAAAGTTACGATTAGGTGCACGTGGTTATTGATAGAAGTCATCCACGTTTTCCTGAGGAACAAAAATTATCATAACTAAATATTTTGCAAGTGTTAAGCGATGTTTATGTAGCTCTACAAACGTTTCCCTTTGAATTGTTGAGTCACACTTTCATGGATTATGCATATAAGGTGTCAACGTTTTGGCAATCGATTATATATAATTTTTTTAACGCGATGCATTTCCTTTTGATAAATCTCCCTTTACTTCGTGTGCACTCCCTCTCCTTCAGGGAAATAGTGTTATACGCAGAATGAAAGCAGTCTTCTGGTTTGCCACGTTTTCCCTCTCGACGTGACCTGTTAATGCATGACACATGAATATTTCTTATCAAAGATTTCTCTCTTGTATGTGCAATATAGCAAAAAAAAATGTGAATGGCTAATCTTCAGCGGTTTCTTCCCACGAATATAGTACATAACCGGTTATTAAACAAAGTCACCAACCCTTTTGACCGTCGTTATCATCTCTAAGATAGTAAAAACAAGAATAAATCGTGTTTTCTCCCATGGTCATCTTAAAAGTTAATTTCCCAAGATAAATATATGTTTCCAAAATAACAGAATATTATCGCCAACATTAGTTCTACGACCCTAGTTTTCAATTGATTGATCCTGGATTGCTTTGACTTTGTTTAACCTCGCTCTGTGATTAATCTAGAAAACTCACGCCACTATTTCAACCAATCAAATGCAAAATAAAATCGTTTTCTCGCGCTTCAAGCAGGTTGCCTGCGGTTTTCACTTGTAGTCCTCATTGGTTAACGATGGTTAATAATTAACCTTTGTTCCAATAGGAAGTTGCAGTTACTTTGGTGTCGGTTTTTCGAAACTCGATAGAAAAAAACAATAGGCTATTCGTGTCAAGTAAACAACTAAACAAGCTTAAAATAACCACAAAAAAAGATGGATTGTCACTGAAACTTGCCTCCCCGCAGTATAACAGCGACTTGTCTTGACTGAAACAGTACAAATGGAACGAATTACGTTGTTCTATCGGTTGTTTTCTCTATGTGTAACAAATATCGCTACTATACGTCTGGGAAATTTTCCTATAACGAGCGGGTTTGTACTCCTCTCACACTAGAGACCCAACTGCGCCCACAATGCAAGCTAAATTTGAACAGATTAATCTCTGTTATAAGTTAATTTGGTTCTCTCAAATGAGTTCATAATTTAAATCAACCACCGCAAAGGGTTTCTAAAGTTTCCGTGGCCAATTTATATTATCATTTCAATTAATAAAACCAAATTTCATGTACCTTGTAATACCCATCCATGGAGTATGTGAAGAGACATGTTTAGAACCTTAAAGTAATGTCATGTAAGTGTAAGAGCAAGGACAAAAGACACCATTATAGACAACTTGGTCCAATGGAGCTTGAAGTAGATTATGGAGCTCTTCAAATTAGCATCTTATCAATACAAAGCAAAACATTTAGTACGTACATTACGCGGTTACACACTGTGCAGGTTTTGTCAATAGCTCAAGTTGCGAATTTAAAACTCATTTCGGAAAAAAAGATCGCAACAAACTTTCGTTCTTTTTTTCCAGTAGCCTCACGAACGGGTCTCTTTATTTTATGTTGGCCTTCAAAGTTCCATTCAGTTGTTGGATATGTGGAAGAAACGTTTGGTAGTACTGATCGTAGCCAAATGGAACCTTTCTTTGTGAACAAAGATGATATTGAAAGTGCAACCAGTATAGGTGGTTTAGGCCTTAACACGGTGAGTAAGTTGCACTGAGGAAGTAGTTTAAGAGCGGAAATGTGTGTTAAACATACCGACTGCAATCGCCAATCGTTTATAATTCATCCTTAACTGCAACCGAGGCGACACGATTGAAGTTGATGAATTCTACAAGCGAAATATAACCTTCAGGATGTTGATAGTTAACATGCCTGCAGTGTACATATTCTATATTTTCAAGAGAAACATGCCTGAGATAAAGTTAGCCGAAAGTTGCCTTCTACTCAACCTTTAAAATATTAACAAACCATCAAATATGCTATGGACATTACACGCAAGGACGTTTGAATTATGCTCAATAAAAAGTTTGCCATACAAAAATCCTCCGGCGGAACCTCTTCATACAGCTGATAAATTATGAATTCGAATGTCAGGTTCAGCTTCTAAAACAATCAAAATAGAGGAAAGATTACTGCGATAGGTGTTCAGTTCACTTGCCGTAACGACTGCTAGCGGTAAGAACGCTATTTTGAAAGCAGGAGACTCTTAAATATTCATCATTCATCACTCACAGTACAGCACAAAAAAACATTATAACTAGATGTTCTCTTTTGAAGCGGCATCAGGGTGCTTTTCTTTCCATTTAACCACGTCATGGAAGTATTGTTCGTTCGCTTTTAGGCTTTCCATAAAGAATACCTCCTTTTCATTGGCCGACATTTCCTTCCATTTTTCACCCAATTTCTTCGTACGCTCAATCACAGACGAAGCGTTCACAATATCTGTGTTTTTCTGCACGAAAAGCAGAAAGGAAGATGGAGGCTTCTTTGGGTATCCTAGGAGTTCTTGCCTTGCATTTGCGAGTTGTCGTAATTTTGGACCTTGTAATTTCTCCAGAAGAACTCGCCTCTCGGTGTTCAGTCCTTTCCACAAATTCATGACTTCCCGTTTGTATTCCTCTTTCAAAACGTCGTGTCTATGTTTTAATTCCGCTTTCTCAGCACTCGAAAGAGTCTTCCATTTCATGGACAAATGTGTCAAACTTTCAGTGGGATTTTTTCCTGAAGCAACATCGCCTTGAACTTTGGAATAATTCTCTGACACAAATAAACCAAACAGTCCTGGAGGTTTGCTTGGAAGCTCTGGAAGCAAACCACCAACAGTCGCTTCTTCTTTTGTACATGCTCTCCTTTTACTTTCAAACGTAGTTTTGCTCTTGCTTGGCATTGCGTTGAGTATTTTGTCCGAATATTTATCGACAGCGAAACGTCTCGTGCCACGAGATATCCACCGAATAGCAACCGATGGATTTTTTGTCATAACCAAATTTACTGCCGAGTGGTTATAACTGATGAATGTACGAACCAATATCGCTCTAGCGGTGACTAACTGTCGAATGGACCACCTTTCTGGTGCTTTACTTGTAAAACAGCGAGTTAAACTCATTTTAAGCTTAACTGAAACTTGTGTGCGAATATTTAGCTCATGCAATGAAATAGTCAGGCATTATTGCGTCAATTTTCAAACAGACCAGCTAATTATGCGAATCAGTATACAGTTTTTTTACATAATTATTGCACTAGGAGGTTTATCTTTATTGTTATTTAATGACTTACTAGCCTCAAAACATTCTTTATTTATCAGTATTCTATATTCTGATCTTATTTCTTTGTGAATACGAAGAACCTACGAGGGATTAGTCTTTTCAATCTTTTTAACATGTTCTTGCTATGGGGAACTACGTTTTTCCGAAATTGCGTCTAATTCCAACTTTTACACAGAAATTATTGTTTTGTTTCTGGCCATTATGCCTATCATCGCCTCCAGGCAAGTAAAATCTTTTCAAGATTTTCAGATCACCAAATCAGGCATACAATTTGAATACTGAACTTGTTACGTGTTGTTACCTCTCGTCTAGCGAGATGGCAACCAATACAAAGTTATCCCTGAAAATTCGTTAACCGATCTAAATCGGCGTCATCTCTATCATCTGATTAAACAACCGATCTGAGGACTAGAGGTAAAAGTCGATAATCCATGGCATTTTAGCTACACTCCTAGACACAGTTTTTGATACAATTACTATCTCCCCCTCCCTGCCCCTCTCAATGTTGGTCTACAAGATGGAATAGGAACAAGGGTAATTATTGAACAAACTTGGAAGGGGGAGAGGGGTGAAAAAATATTATATATATATATATATATATATTATATATAATATATAACGTCCTCTACATTTTATGTGTGAGGACAACTCCTGACAACCAACGGTACCAAGGAAAGCTTTGGATGGAAAAATACCACTGTGGATTTTGTACTTGGCAAGCTTGCGCTTTCTAAAGGATAACCACACTTAGATCATAATTTTCCTTCATTGTTCAATTTTCAAAGTTCTCTCCATGTTATTTAATCATTTGAGTAGTGTTTTAAGAGTAGAAGAGAATGGTCTTCAAACTTCTTCCATCCAACTTAATTGCTCAGGGCCACAATTTGACCGGTGAAATAGTTTTGAGTCGCGCCTGTTCCGCCGGTGGTAATCCGCTGAAAAACTTGATCCCTGTCAAAAGTTCGATGTCACGAACTCTAGCCGTATTTTCAAGAAGATACTTGGAAGACGATTCATACTGCAAAAAGTAAGAAACGGAAATACGTTTCACAACAATAGAAGAACATTAAAATGAAATAGAAAAGGTTAAAAAAGAAACAATTCCTACACACGAGCTCCTTGTAGAGATAAATAATTTAATTTAATACCACGATGGATTTTCGACCTACATGTAAATGTAGCTACTAATTCAGCATTTTAAGGAAAACTTCTGGATGGTTGGATTCAATGAAGCGCTCTATTTCAATATTTTTTGGCGGCTTTTCATTAGGCCCTTAGGTGACCTGCGCAGAACTATAGAAGCTGATTCTCTTGAATCATCTTCTCTCGCCAGCCGTTAACAGAACAAAGTATTTGAAAATCAAGTAAACAAGGAACTGGAAATGAATGACTGACAACCTGTATTGAAATCAAGGCGGACAAAAACTATTGCACCACGCTTACCTTGAAACAGGGAAGCTTTGGCAAGTGAGGTAATACAAAAGAAATGACGCCAAGTCTTCCTTCACATCCGGGCACTTTGTAATACGGCTTCTTACTGGTGTCACACCGCATGATAATTTTATAGTAATGAGTAGGTATGGCCACTGAACTGGTGTCATTTTTGAGCCACCTTTGAAATAAAAACGGAAAGCGTAAAAAAAGATTATTTGGTTTTAACAACTGAGTTGATAATGTAAATTTGACACTGCAAAGAGTTTCAAAGCGGACCTTTCGAGCCTTAACTCTTGTCAGAGAATCGCTCTGACGAAAGGCAAACGCTCGATACGTCAGCTTTGAAACTCCTGATAGTGGCCGATTTACATGTATTTTATCAACTTAGTTGATAAAACCAAATCATTTTGTCAGACTCTCCGACAGACGCAGCCGCACAGTTTCGTTAGAAACCTACCCCCCCCCCCCCCATAAAAAAAGGACCGGACGAACTTTACCTTCTATCAGTATCGATTACTTGACGAAGTTTCTTCACTTACTAAGACATCCGACGTGGACCGTGGTACACGCCCCACCGCGTTATAAAGATAATTTTAGTTTGAGTACTAACCTTGTTATGCTCTCATCTTCATCTCGGAGTCCATCGGCATTCTCGTCGAATATTGAACCACTTATGACGTAAACATGTGAATAGTTTGCTGCAAGATCCCGGACCATATCTTCAGCCTTCAACCAAATACCTGACGAATACATGTACGATAAAATGTTAGCTGGATTTCGCAGAATGTTGAAAAACAACCACAGACAAGGATAAAATCAAACCATCAACACCTTTTAGTCAAAAACAAAATATGTTTTTTTCCGTCTCGTCCGGAACATCGCACGAAGAAAAAGGGCGACACTTACAAGGAATCGAACTCTAGAGCTTCGGACTCCGCTGTTTGATGTTGATCCTCAGCTACCGAGAACGTTCATCTTTCTCTATTTAATATGCAATCTCAAAATCAATAATCATTCAATTTACTCTTGTGACGTTCTTGAAATTGCTGATCCTGGTGTTAAGGATCCAAGGTGTGTAATGCATTGTTTCGTTCCATTATAGTTTATAGTATAATGTGTATCGTATCTTTGGGTATAAATGTTTTTGTTTTTTTTTTTTTACCCTTACCTGCGTTGAATCCATGGTATTGTGGTGCTATGTTAGATAAAAGATATGTATCCATCCATGCCTCATCATTTTCATTAGAAGAGTCAAAGTCACCATTCGGCGCCATGTGTCCGCGGTCAACACCCGAATACTTGTAGTGTTTGCAGAGCGAGGCCTGAGAATCGGTAAGGCGAGTATCTTTTCGGAAACAATCTCTTCGGGTTCCTGACTGTGAGGCTTTCTGGGTAAAAGAGAACATATAGTAACCTGTGAGACCCACACAAATTTCAGAGGGTTTCTTGTCCGTTGATAATCTCTGAGATGTCGCAATGACACTGTCACTGCCAGTGACGCGATTAAAAGGCTGTAGGCAGATAAGAGCTCTATCACACATCCTCCTAACGCGCTAACGTTTTCATGGCGGTTCCCAAATGTTTACTAATTACCTTCTCATCAAACTGAATGATCCTGGTTTTACGTACCTCTCCATCAAGTCTATAGGCCACCCACAAAGGTAAACGTAGAGAAGTGCTATAGCCTGTCACAAAACCCTTCTGCGCTAGAATACAACCCTCTCGACCAGCTCCACCCTCAGGTACTCCCCACGGGAGGTGTGTCGCCTGAAATTCAGATACTAGGATAAAAAAAAACAAACAAACATACATAAAACAGAATAAAAAACGAAAATAATATCAATGATAATTATAATAGTTCCTTATGAGAAAATAACTCGACTGTGGGCGTTTACTTGTGGATGAAATGTTAGTGTAGTTTACGACTAAGTCTAAGTCTAAGACTAAAATCTCCTTTCAGCAAAAACATTAAGAAGAGGAGGCTGCGTGGCCGAAGAATGTGAGCGATGTAGACTTGTAATCCGAAGGACCTTAATGCCACAAGTCCAGCTCTTCTTTCTTAAAGGCAGTTTCGATTTAAAGTCTCTCAGCTCTGTAAAAAAAGACCTAACTGGTTTGCCTTATGCCGATTTAAAAGTTACTTCTGCTTATTATAAAACCGTTCTTTTGGTATAAGTAACCACGTTATCTGCAGCAAATTTTGCAATGGATGGCAAAAAGTAAATTTAAATTTGTTGTCTTCAAGAATTTTAGACTAATATTGAAAGTAAACTATCGCAAATGTTTAAATTACTTCTTTTTTCATAAAAAGTTGTAGTCAAAATGGTCTGCGCAAAGTCTCTAAAAGATGCAAACAAGTACGTATAACCAAAAATATGTCTTTACTCTCTTGGTCTGACATGTCTAGCTTCTTGTCACTTAGAATAACTTCTGCTCTTTTATCCTATTCAACAAACAAAGAGAAAAAAGGACATTACCACAGGAACGTGAATTGCTCCTCCCAAAAATTGTATTCAGTTTACCACATGTACTAACAGGCCTTAATTCATGTTGTGCTTCTCGCAATTACCACTACACTTTGCATAAAATCATTATCTCAGTTTAAGCTTTGACCAGATAAAGTTAACAGATCAGCATCAAATTCAAATGTAAAAGCGAATTTATGGTGACATTGATGAATTGAAAAATTCAGATGAATCACCAGTTAATAAAACGAGAGATATCCACTTTAAAAGGATAAACAGGTAGGAACCCTTGAAACGAATTAGCTATACATTTTCTACTCCTCCCCCTATTTTTGCTCTTTTGATGTACTCTAAAATTCATTGGACAAATAAGTTCTTCAGAACAGATGAGTGTAATACCTTCTAGAAAAATCGGTGAGTCATTCGCTACTGATCATACTTCTCAAGTTATAAACTGCATTTAATTGCAGTTATATTGAAATAGAATGCGATTGCAGTTATACTGCAACCGCATTCTATTGCAACTATAGGAAAAAAAAACAGCATTTCACCACTTACACAAAATTTACAAATGCACTGACTGCAGTTGTCAAAACCTGCAGGTTTTCGGCAGATGTCAGTTCTCATTAACTTTCCGTCGGACTCAGTCTCAAGGACATCAATATCGACACTTGGATCCAGTAGATGCCGCAAGCTACCAGGTGTTCCATCGTTCGGGGCTGGCTTGAGCCCGAGTATATCTGAGAACGAATAGAGACTGATTTTTTCAGAAATAGAATGTAAAGACTTCCTTCCAGGAACCAATTTCGTTCTATTTTGCTGCAAATTTTTAGTACGTCTCCTCGCTAGAGTCTCCACGATCAAGCATCGCTTCAAAGCGAGCCGTGATTCAGAGAGTAACTCAAAGGACAGTGGAGGATTTTGTCGTGGCTCGCTCAAACCTCAGCAGAGTGTGAAAAAGCAGCATCGGTTTCCTAGAAAAACCGTGTTATTCAACGAGGTGTTGTAAGAGGGGGGGAGGGGGGGGGGGAATTTAGACTTTCTAGAGGCGCCAGGAGTAAACAGTGATCTACATTCCTTCACCTTTTGAGGTCAATTCCCGACTTCATTTCTCAGTTAGCCGAGGAGAAATTTATTGTCATTTTGAAGCCAATTGTCGACTTCATTTTTCTGTAAGCCGAGGAGAAAACGTAGCCAAGATTTAATTGCGAGATTAAAACGGACACCGTGTCGCTTTTTTAACGAAAATTCTTTTGTAAACGCCCATTTTGCTGTCTTCTATATCCTGACGTCATTAACCATTTCACGTATTTCGTGATTGTACAAAAGTAGTTATTTCTGGATATTTCTAGAACATTCTACCGGGTTATATAATTATGATGTAACTCTACAAGAATAGTTTCGTTGTAAGCTTCCAGAAAGTTCTAGAATACTTTGTAATTATATTTATTATATCACCCCTTCGAACTCGCTCGCGCAATCCCATAGAAAACTACAGTGAAAGCTGACGTGTGTAGGGCCGGACAGGCTGATCAGAGCTGGAAGCTGCGCATCTCGATAGGTAGCCTATATTCTACTTTAAAAAAGTTGATCTCTCGACCACTGACAATTCGCCAACTAGTGCACTAACGGATTACCGCGATCAGAGGTCAAACGAATTTAGCAAACGGCAACCAAAAACTCGCCAAACAACGTTTGAGCAAACAAAAAGCTTAGACCAAACTCTAGTGAGGTAACCTTGATAAGGCGAGTTGGTTTTAGCTTGACGTGTTAAGACATCTAAGTGCTTGAAAACGAAAAGCAAATTACCTGCCATCATGCCGTAAAGTTCCGTACTGAGGAAATGATCTACTACTTCTCCTTTCTTGAAAGCGGGACCATGAGCTACGAATAGAGTCTGGAAACAAAGAAAAAAATGATGATGTATCACTTTTGCCGTATTATGATTGGCAATAATGCGTAAGTCGGCTGTGGATGGTCGATCGAAATTGACCAATCAACAGACAAACTTTCGGCTCCACCTTTTAATTTTGTCCCACAAACTAATGTCAAAAACATCGGCAGCGTTGATGATATTTAGCATTATTATACATATGTAATTTGTTTTAAGGCACAAACGAAAAAATATCCTAAGTGTACCACTGGAAGGGAAGGCAGCTAAAGGACAAAATGAGACTATAATTTACGACATGCTTGAGAAGTAAATTACATATACAGCCGGGTTTAAATTCAAAGTTAAGGATTTTGTGTATCGTTTAATATTGTTGATACCCGCATGTTAGGATCTATGTTGTCGTAACCATGATCTCCACCATCACAGAACCAGATCCCACTAGTGGAGCTGGAAAGAACAAATCAAATAAAACAAATCAAAACTGAGAAATAAACAAATGAATAAAGGGGGTAGGTTTCTAAAGGATCTATGCTGCTGAGGGTAATTATCACTGATAATAACCCCCAGTTGGGGGGGTAATATCACTGATAATAACCCCCAGCTGGGGGGTAATATCACTTATAATAACCCCCAGCTGCATAGATTCTTTAGAAACCGACCCCCTTTATTCATTTTTATCAAATAGGTTCATAATGTTAATTGGCTACTTCAAAGAGATTCTAAAGCTGACGTTTTGATCGTCAGCCTCTACTCTCTAGCTCTGACGGAGGGCTAACGCTCGGGACGTCAGCTTTGAAACTCTTTACGATGGTCAGTTTACATTTTCAACTCATTTCATAAAACCAAATTATCCTAACTTGATTCAATCACCTTTTTCGGACAAAAACGGTTTCACCGATCTCGAGCCATGAATTCTACCACATTTGAGTGACTTATCTCCCTCCATGAGGCGTTTCCACACGTGTATCTTTGTTAGAAATAATTAGTACAAATGTGTATTAATGATCATTACATGACGCACTGCACTCACTTGAATCCTACCAGCCAGCCGTCTTCCGGAATTAGGATAATTCGTCCAATCCTCCTGAAAGATAGCGAATCAGAGACGCCTTCAAGAACGCATAATGTCTAAAACAATTACTGGAATGCAGTCAATTCAGATGAATTATCCTACACACAGGCACTGGCAGCTGCTGGTGATTTCGTTAATTGCGTGGTAAATCTCCTTTCTCTCACACGCACAGAACGCAAAACTCAATTGCTAAAAGTGCTTCTCACCCCCAACCCTTAAATCCAAGAAACCAGTATCAACTACGACTCTCCCGGCAGCAGATTTGGCAAAAAGCAAAGTATTTTACGACCAAAAACGTCAAGGCTAATTCTTCAAATGCTATGATTTTCGGTGAAAGGCACTTCAATTCATTCCTTATTTCATCCTCTTTTTTCATCTTGTAAAGGTTTGGTACTTCTTATTTCTAAGTCCGAAGTACCAGCCACTTAATCGCCCCAGTCTTCCGAAGACTAAAATTCCAGTCCACTTGTTCGTCCAATTTCAAGTATTCGTTCGTCGTCCGATAGTGTAGTTATTGCACTATAGGGCCCTCATTCACCATTAGCTATACGAATACTCTTCCTTCTTCAACTTTCCGATGGATTTAAAGTGAAGTTATTAAAAAACCGAGAACTTTATTATATCAGTTAGCACCTATTGTGCTTCTTTTTATTTCGGCCTCACATCTCATCCAAGATTATGCCGTTACATTGAACTAACAACAAGCGTAAGTAAAATGAAAACAAAAAGACGAAAAGATCAAATGCATTTGAGACTTATCATTAATTAAAGAAAACTTTTGGAAACTGAACAATAAACCTCATGTTTACCTGTTATCAGAGTAGTGAAGTCGCTTGGGAAGGTTCTCTTTTAAAAACACGCGAAAGTGTGGATTCTTACACTAAAAACGAACATTTATAAATACGTCAAGGATTTAGTTAAGTTACAACAAACTTCTTCAGAGGCACAAAGAAAATTGGGCATACTTCACAAGAGAAAAAAAAACCCTTTCCAGTTTTGGAAAAGATGACAACAATAACCGAAATATGAGTCTAAATCACACACACATTAACGCATTAATCCACAGGGAGTGGTAATATAACTTGCCAATTGACAGGTGGCCCGAGCGTACTCTGTAAGATTTCACGGTTTTAGGCAGAAATATGTGTATAGCCTGATGTAGCACAAGCCGAATTTCCGCAGTACAAAATCTATCCCTGTATCCATAAGTATTATAACACTCTTCCATTCATTGAATCCCGCAGTAAGGCCGCTCGTAATGAGGCTAACGACAACGCGAATTAAGCCATAATGGATGAAAAAACGGAGGACCCCTCGCGCCGACACAGAAGAATTTGGAAACTTTTGCCGCTCGAACAATCGTATTCAGGTAATATCGACGTCAATGAACTCAATAGCGATTCAATACTAATGGACGGGGATAGATTTCATAGCGAGTAAATTTTGGCTTGTACTGCTCCAGCTGATGCACATATTCAGCCTTTCGGATATTCATGTTTGTGACCTTCACATCCTGGAATCACATACAGTATGCTTGGGTCACCTGTGGTCGAATACCATAAATAAATACTTCTTCATTATTTAAATAATATATAAACATATGAAATTTGCTCAGTTGAAAATTTATTTTGTAAAGTTTGCAAATATGAAAAACAACTTACTTGTAAACGAGCCACAATTTCTTCCGCTGAAACTGAAAGAAAAATAGCCCACTGTACAAAATAAACGTTCTAACACTTCTCGCTCTCTCTTTTTGATAAAGAATCGTGCTCTATTTTTTTTCGTTTTATTGTAAATCGAAATCCTTTCGTTGGCCTGAAAGCATCAGTTGAATGTTTTGGTACAGACTTTAGTCAACCACCTTTCAGGAAAGCGAATTTCATAATCATCCAAGACAGGTACGAACACTTATTAAACATTCTCCGTCAAAAAAAAATCATCTATTCTAAAGACGGGCGTTAGCCTTCGCCGAGGGTGTATCTTACCCCTCCCTCCCTTCCCTACTGAACGCGTTTACATACCTCCCGGTTTCGGATTCATTGTTATGAATGCTCCTCCGTACCACTGAGGGGAATATACATCATCGAGAGTTACATTGTACTGAAAGAAAGTTAAAAACGTTGTTTGTTAAGGCGTAGGTCCTCGTGTTAAATTCTTGCATGATCAAATTTACTGGCACAAACGAGTCCGATATTTTAGTGGGATCGTATTAAAGTCCAGAACTACTCTGCTCATGACTTTAAAAAAAAATCCACGACTGAAACATATTCGTCAAAAAAAGCCGAAAATTTTGTGCAAACGAAAGATTCCGAAAAATTTCCGACAAGCTGAAAAAACAAACAACAACAATAATATCAATTCGATTTTTTCCAGCTGGGCTCCGCCTTAGAAACTGTTACGTCGCGTATTCGCTGCCATCTAATTATCGTACATATTTTGCTTTCAAGTTCAGCATGGGGATGGTAGACATAAAACTAAAAAAACCACGAAAATTCACGTGATCCAAAATGACGACACACAGAAAATTCTGCTTTCATTTTGGATCTTCTTCCTACTGACTTTAAAATCGACTACAGACGCTGCCGTTTGGAAAAAAATTGCCTCAGCAAACACGCAGCACATGCAAAACTAGAGAGTTCAGTTCACAAGAAGTGGCTTAACATCCCAGTCTCATTGGTAATCTATTGTTTGGTTGTCAAAAAAAATCATTATTTAATTCACAGGGGATAAAAAATTGTTTGGTATGGGGAGCATACGTCGGCTCTAAAGATGACAGTTCTTGGTAATTTTTTTCCAGTTTACGCTCTGTCAATTAAAAAAAAACTTGCAACTACTTACTGCGTCTGTATAAACGATTCGCTGGCAACTTTTTGGAGCCATACCTAACAAAACATATTCAAATATTTGTTTAAAGTTCGTATCTCCAAGAAACAACAAATACCAAGTAAAGAAGGCACCATACGTTTACTGATAACGGAGTTCTAGCAAAAGCGACTTTTCTCTCCTCAGTTTCGAAGCGTGGTAGATACCCTTACCATTTCTGTACTGAAATGGTGAGAATTAGGGAGTTACCCCCTATGGAGTCAGAGGGCGGGGTACCGAAAGTTGGGCCCATCCATGTACCAAAAGTGATTTGAGATTTCAAGCACGGGCGCTGACTTTAAGGCAACCCAATCACACGAGAAAGCTTAACTGGATAATCCAATTATCGTACCGTGATCTCCAACAAGGACCATGTTTACTTTGTCCTGCATGGATCGATCTTTTAGTCCCTTCCACAGTCTTCCAATCATATCGTCCACTCTTTTGTACTGCGCATTGGTCTATAAAAATGTAGAAAAAGTAAGAAAACTCCACTTATGTCCAGAAATGCGCGAAGTAACTCTAAAGTTAGAATTGACAAAATTTCTTCAAACCAAGTGAATGTTGACGGATTTAACGCTTTCGGTGAATTTAATCAAATTCGTCATAGCGAAATCAGCTCGGCGGATTTGACGACGAGTTTTCGCCATTTTCGTTTCTGCATACATTTCTGGACGTATCTTTAAAACTTTACATAGAAAAAAAAAACAATTGGCAAAGGTCATGTACACCTTTTGGGTACAGGTACGAGGGAGGGAACGGCCCTTTATATATATACATATATATAGAAATAAGATAGGCTTGCCTTTCGAATGTCAGCTCTATCCTTCAGAGATCCCCCCTTCCCTCCCCTGTTTGGGTTTTGAGTCTTTGTATTAGCTAGGGCGGACAAAAAAGCTGTCGCGACCCAATATTCAGTCATGATGTCAAATAAGTTTCCACTTCATCCCTCCATCCGTCCCTAGACAACCCAATTTTTTTCGCCTTTTTGTTTTCAACATTGTATAGTGGGAAGAGAGGCTCAAGGAAATAATATAAGATCAGGAAGAAATAATTCTCTCCCATTTTATCTCGACAAGAAAGAATGAAGAATGTTGGCATCCAATCTTTTAACAATGATGATGAGAAACTTTCCTTTCTAGACCGTCCGCTTAAGTGTACCTCGTAATTTAGGTGGGACAGCAAAGCGTCAAACTTACCTTCTCTGAGTTTGGTCCTGCGCGATGCTCAGTGTAATCAGGTTGATGGAAATACAGAGTTATGAACGAGGGCCGCCTGGGCACCAAATGACCAAAGTTAGTGCATGTAAGTAAAAATGGATTTTTAGCAGCCTACAACTAATATTCTCAAAGAACGCATTATGACATCAAAAATGGTCGGCAGACGGCATAGAAAAACTCAGAGAATATACTCTCAGGATAAATGTAAGGTCACAGCTCTACTGATTTTCCGAGATGGAAATAGCAACTTCTTCCTCCTAGACTCTCAAAATCAGCCTTGCACGAATTCGGCGTCGCAACGTTTTGTCATTGCATCACCAGGAGCAAAAGTTAGATCTACTCTTACATTCCTCGAGAAAACATTAATCCTAACTGTGGATAAAACAATACAACATCCATACACAGAAACCTTCATCGACATCAAATCAGAGGAAAATTTTGCAAACAGGAGTTAAAGTAGAACAAAACTAAGATATATCCTTAAAGACAAATTAATAATGACAAGAACAGTGTACGTATTTGTTACCGTTTGCCTTCATTGTTGGTATTATCTGTGGTACAGTGGGATGGCAGATCCAACCAGCTAAGAACTTTATCCACACGAGCTTCAAACGGATGAGTCCTTACAAAAAAATAAAATCGGTTAAAGCACAGGTTAGGTGTAAAAACATCTCTGCAAATTTTCTTCTCCCTTTTTTCTTTGGTCTCTTCCTTTACGTAAACATTTTGTTTTGTTGATCCTAGTTTTCCTATTAATGTTTCCTACTTGTTATTTAGTTTTGATTCGTTTTTCTAGAACACGTATATAACTCACGACAAGCGTGTATCTAAGATGTTTTAAAATGTATAAATTGAGAAAAGTAAGTAAAATAAAGTGAATGCAAAAAAGGAACAAAAGAAGGGAGCAGCAATTATTTATTCCCCTGCGGCTGAGGGTGGAGGATTTTGGGGGAGTCGCATGGTCTCGTCAACAAAGTAAAAAGAGGGACTATAGAAAATCGACAGAAAATTAACTGCTAATGAAATGGGGGGGGGGGGAGGGGGGTTCAAAGCCTTATGAGGGCTCAGGTAAATTTTATCGGGACACAATTAACATCCTCCAAATCCCTGTCCCCCCCTCCCCCCCCCCCCAAAAAAAAAGGCGATAAGTAGAGACTTGCCCCCAATGGTTCTTACATCCATTTTTGTCTTATGATCGCAAATTCAGCGTTCATCATATTGAAAGCACAATCGGCACATCATTTATCTCAGACAACTGTTCACACAAAACTCCTCCTCTCTATGATAAAATACTTACTGATTGTAGGCATATGTGAAGTTGGGTAATATTCCTAAAAGAAAAATTAGCGGCGTCAAATTAACAAATATATTTGGTGTGTCTGTTTAGTAATAGATCACAGATGACGTTAAAATGTGGACAGAATAAAAAAGTGGCACAAAAACGCGCAGCCGAGTTTGTCAGTAATATTGTTACCATAATTTGACGTCTGCCGTGATCTGTTACTGTGCAGACCCACGGCAAAATGGAGTGTATTTTTTTAATGATAACAAAAGAAATACTTGTTGATGGAGACGTCATGTATATGTCTGTTCTACCAGAGATCACAAACAAGAACCAATGAGTGCGTCATTCATTCAGTTTATCATAAAATTCCCTACAGACACATCTTACCTTCAATAGGAACGTCAGACCCGACCCAGAAGTAACACGCAGACACAAGACCTTGCTTAATGGCGGTCACCCACAACTATAAATGAGAGATAGGAGACGTTCAACCTTCCAACTGATTGATTTCTTTTGTTTACTGTTGGTGTTGTTGTAACTCTGCTTGGCCTTCCTCAATTTTTTTTTCTCTTGGTTTTCTTATTGAGTGATTTAACAGATGCTTCGTTTGATTGACTGTCTGTAGACAAGCGAAGTAGTCGTAAGTCGGCGAGCAAGCAGTCATTGGAGATGCTTGCTAGACGCTCACAAAGGTGCACAAATTACCCAAGGGCTAAGTGGTATCCAAAGTCAGACCTCAGTCCAATTTCATAATTACGCTGCAGTAAGGAGTATGGCTACTCCCCTCCCCCACCTCAGCATTACAGCAGGCTCTCCGGAAGTTTGATGGCACTATTTACACTCCTGGGTGGAAAGAGGTATTATGAGCCGGAAAAGACCCGAACTTCATACTTTTGAAGCAATGGATAGACTGAGTATCACGTCATCGCATATCCCGTGAATAAAACAGAACGGACATTTGATCGTGATAAGGTCATGCCTAATAAAACGGCTCAATGACCCAACCCAGTTTGGATCCAAACGCTCTAAACATCAAAGCCCAGTTGTTCAAAAGGGCGAATAGCACTATCCAACGGATAAACCGCTGTCCAACGTGCTGTGCTATCCTGAGGATACAATGTATCCAGTGGATAGAGTTATCCACCCTTCGATCAACCGGGGTCTGGCCATTAGGCAATTGTAATGGAACAAGTCTCAAAAGAGGGAAGGATCTTTATACCAAGATGATAAGAAACTAACTGGCGGGGTTGTTCAAGCAAAAAAAATACCAACAAGCGTCTCAGCCACGAAAGGACAGGGAAGGAGGCCTGTTGAAATCATCAGTCCTATCACTCTCCCTGACACAGCATTACTGCAGACTCTTTGAAAACTGCGCTGTTAAATTTTGTTTCTTGTGAACAACAATACCCCCAACTACTCAAGCAAGCTACTCACTGGTTCGCCTTTCCACCATTTGGGATCAGATGTCGTCGGTCCTCCAATTCTGAAGTTGTCATTTAGTTTTTCGTCTCTGAAATTGTTAGCCACAATACCAGTATGCGAGGGAAAAAGACCCTAGTGATGGAATAAAACATAGGAAAAAACAGTCACGATCGATTTCATTAAAATTAGAAAAATGTTCCAATTGATGTGTAAGGTAATAGCCTGTTTCAGACGTTCAGTTAGTGAAACGAAGCACGGATAGTAAATGTTGCGATAGTAGCGGAGGAGTGAAAAAACCGAGGGAGGCTTGGGTCGGGTCCAAACCTTTTCCCTTCCCGCCTTTTTCGCTCCACCACTATTATCGTCCTCCTAATTTAACCATTACGTTCCGTAAGTGCATGCTCACCGTTATCATGGAATAGTGGTTAGGAAAGGTCTTTGTGGGAAATTGAGGAAGGAGGAATTTTGCTCGAACTCCATTGCTAGCTGTCGGTGAGACAAAGGAAAATTAATAACAAATCGTAGTTACTGTTTACTTTCGTGATCAAATCGTTATTGTTTTTGAGTATCAGATATATAATCATTACTCTAAAAGTAAGCAACTTGTCTGTCCTCTAAAGATTGCTGTGCGTGTAGGCTTCTCTCCGAAATGATATCACTGAAATTTGAAGCCACCGCTTAGAGTCAAATTGTGCTCATGGCTGTCTGCCCGTCGGCCAGACCACTGAGGTCTACTGAGTGGACTTCATGGTTCCTCTCTGCTCACCCTTTTTACTTTCTAGCCTTTAGATGGCTTGATAAATAGATTTTTGCGAGTTCTCTGTCTGTCTGTCTGTCTAAGAGGGGGTTGTTTTAGACACGCCCCTAAGTAACGTTTTGTCAGGTGACGAATGACTTAGTAACTTGCGTTTATAATTGTATGTCTAACTGTCCGTCTGTCTGTTCGTCTGTCTGTCTGTCCGTCTGTATGTCTGCTCGTCTGTTTTTCCGTCCGTCTATTTGTTCGTCGGTCCATCGGTCGGCCCTTCCGTCCGTCCGTCCGTCGGTCCGTCTGTTCATCTCTCCGTCAAACTGTAACTGTATGTCAGTCTGCTTACAGGACTGCTGAAAACTTCTTTAATTTGGATCACTGATAAACGTTCAGAATGGAAGCAGATTTTTCTTACCAAGATAATCGATGTTAGGGGTTAGATTTCTCCCAAGAAAGTCTGGTCGAAATCCATCCATTGAGATAATAATCAGGGGATCTGATGAGCTGTCCATAATAAATTACAAAAACAAAGTAAATATAATAAAGTTAATAGCTTCACGGCTTCCTCAGATGACCTCTCTTAAAGTACATAAACGACATCATGTGCCATGAAAGGAATAGTCAAATAAGCATTTTATTCTTTCTCCAAATTCTCGAAATTGTATGTTGTTTTTTAAGGAAGATGTAAAGATATAACTACTTCCTAAAGCCCGGCAACACTCTAAAGATGATTTAATACACTAATCTCTGTCAATTTGATCGTTATTGAGAATCAAGAGCTCATTTCGCTTCAAAATTGACGCACGGGAAATTGGTAATTATTTTCTCCGATAGTAACGATTTACCATGTAACTTCATTACTCGAGGGCACATGCAAATCCCGGCCAAATTAATTGCTGATGTCTGCCAATCCTCCCGCTTTTGACATACAAATGGGCTAGTATCTGGTTTAACCATACCACACGCTTGCTCAAAATATCCCTTGACATTCAGTATTTCGTGTGTTTTTTCGTTTTTTTTTAATTCAACCCAGTCTTACCATTCCTCCTGTCCTCCTATAGGTGATTTGCTGACTAAAACGAAGACAAGAAGAGACCGTAGATAAGAAAAACTTTACATCATAACAACAGAAGTCCCACCTTGTTCTTTCTCCCGGAACAAATACTGTACCGTTAAGGCTCAGACGCAGGCGTTATGCGCCGATCAATTCGTAGCTTCAACATCCTTCCCCCTACCCCAGGCACCCACGGGAATTTGACTGTCGTCTGTGCTTGGGAGTGGAGAGTTTGAACCTTGCCTGGGTGGGGTGGAGTCTTTCCAGAGGAATACAAGGGTATTTTTTTCAAATATGGAGGTGTTTAAGGTAAAGAGCTCACAAGAAAACGTCTAAAGGTCTAGGTTTTAAAGCTTGGTCAATGAGTAGAAATTCACGGTCGGCTGATTTAGTCTTATATCAAAATACGTTCAAACACCAGCAGACCACAAAAAGATTAAAAAATAGATAAATAAATACAAAATAAATCACAAGGACTTTAAGCTTACCTTTGGATTTCTTTGAGCGTACTTTAACGAGAAACACCACGAGTAATATAATTATTAACAAAATGACTAAAATTGCTCCCTACAAGAAATGGAAGTATGTAAATTTGTTGGCTTCATAAGATAATAAACAAATTTCCACAAGAGTTAACGATTGAAATACACAATGTGATAAACGTACCGCAACTAAAGCCAATCGTCTTTTGCTCAAGCCAAAGTATTTCTTTTCCTGAAAAGCAACAACTGAATCCGCAGGCATGTCTTTTTCAAAGGTTGGTCAGGATGTCGTTAAATTAGAGGAAAATCTTGATGCTCTTGAAACTTTATCACATGGGTCCCCCACCTGTTTAGCACGGTATCTTGTTTGGGTTTCTTTAACAGACACAACCTTCTATCACACCATCTGCAGCCTCTTATAGAAAAAGTTGTTGAAAACTGCTGTATGATTCCATAACCTCCTTTCAAAAGTTTACGCAAAAATTCTTTATCTGCTAGGTTCTGAGATTCCAAAAAGTAAAGTTATCAAATCTTCCTCACATGGTTTTTGTATGGCTTCCATTTGAGATCTTACAAGAAGCGAAATTACAGTGTACAGTCCACCGTAAGGATTTCAATAATTTTGTCACGAGCGTCCGACGAAAGAAAACATCCGAGTACTTTATAAAGAATTGGAACCAAGACCTTTTGACTTCACGGTTCGATACGAGCTAAGCTATGGAGCGGAGCGGGCAGTGCGCCAAACGTGGCCCCTTTAAAAATAAATATGGGAATATGGTAACCCATTAAGTTGAGCAAATTTGTGGGTGAAATATTAATAATGACAATCAGTACGCCATGTGCGCTTCATCGAAGCCTGTATTAATATGCGTGAGCAAGGTGAAGAAAAAGTAATGCCTGTCAAGTGAGGCCGAAATTCACTGATCCGAAGCGAATGTGAAGGGAGACGATTTCGGGCCTCTGCTTCTACTTTATATTTGGCCAAAATGGTTTGGCTGAATCTTTATGTTAGATGACAAGGATTCTGCATACTGCAAAGTCGCGAAGCTGTTATACCCCGTTTTAAGTAATGCTAATCTTGGAGTGTTTTTCCTTGCTTTTGTTTTGTTTTGTTTTGTCTGTCTGTCTGTCTGTTTTTTGTTTTTTTTTGTTTTTTTTTTCCGAAGTCATGGTCGCCTTCGCTTTCAAAGGACGAACTACATACAAACACTTGCTAAATTCAAACTGTTCACTTGTTTGACTCACTGAAGAAAACACAAATTAATAGCATTGATTCAAGTTAAACTACATGATGCAGTTGCGTGACGCAGTCGAAGCGAACAATGTTAGGCACGAACGATTTCACGGAATGCAACAGTCATGAATCATTCGCGATCCTGTCCTTGTAGCAACTACAGATTACATGGACACTGAACTCAACCTTGTCAGCATGCTTTGAAGAACGAGGAAGAACACAGAAGGATGTATTTTTCCATTGGCGGTTGCCGATGGTGTAAACCGAAACACGAGAACCTGCTCGCAGGCTAAATATACGGCGATTAGTGGTCTCGCAAGCGGTTGTAGACCGCCGGAAACCGGTGCTGCATGAAACCCCAGGAGTTGACAATACTTAATTGCAACTGCTCTCCAACAAACAATTATAAACTATTCATATTCACGTAGCATTTGCTTCTATAAATTCGAAAGCATTCGAGAAGAACGAACGCACACTTTAGAGTAATATGCGAGTTCAGACACTGCAACTTACCGATGATCCGCCGTCTACCTTCACCTTATATTTTCGCTCATCGTCTTCCAGCTCGGCGATTAATTCTCTTTTACCCTCACCCATGGTTTCACAAAAAGCTTTCTGAACAATTTGCGAGTGAATCAGTATTTATGCACACTATCGGAAGTGTTTACGGTCCCGCGGGAACACACATCACAACTAAAGGTCTGATCGTCATGTTTGCTTCTCTAGGAGAAGAAGGGGGGTGGGGGTCAGGCTCGGTTTAGGAAACATTAAGATCTTTCTGCACTTTCCAACTTTATAATGAACAAGAGAGAAGACTCACATTATTCACATTAAAGCAAGCCAATGCTAAATAATGTTACAAATCATTTAAAAGATCTTACAAGCTGAACGTTTTCACATTCCCGACCCCTGCTAGTATTTTGCTCCCTGATAATTATTAACTAAAGCTCAATGAAGTGTTCCATTTCAGGTACGGCAGGTGACACGAAAGCAAAACACGTGTCCTTCTGTCATTCAAGTGTCTACAAAAAGAGGCACCAGGGTATGGGGAAATCATGGGGCAGATCCTGGGGGGCCAGACGCCTAGAACACATCACAAATTATTCGTAACTCTTCGTTAATGTTGGAGAGTCGTCAGAAAGTCTCCGATAACTTTCAGAAGTCGTCGGATATTTCAATCAGAAATCCGGGTCATTAGGGTATGATAATCACCAAGATATTATAATTTATAATCTCTTGTAATCACACATTTGAGCAAGGAAAAATTAGTTCGTATACCCCTAATAAAAAGTTCTCGTTTGTTTTTGACCAAACATTTTGATGCTTTTGTGCATATGATTGACGGGTTTAAATAAAAAAGGCCGATAACTCGGCGAGAAACGAAATGATGAGGGTACATTTTGGAAAGAAAGCTAAGAAATCTCGACATAGCTCAAGACATAGACACGCAAGATTTAACATATTTCATGATGTTATGCACATTTTAACAAAAATAATTATTAATTACTGTAGTACATCGATAGAATAACTATTGAAACAGTCTTGCCAGCTAAAATATAAATGACCGACATTCTGTGTTAAATAAAGAGTAATAAAATAATAAGGGCTTTACTATTTAAAATTTATATATAAAATATTTAATAAATAAAATAACAAAAAATTGAAACACAGTAAACCCTTCAATACCACCTTGAAAATTTTTGTATATATATATATACATATTATAGATATAGGCAATAGCACGATTTCGAGTGCAATTTGGTGTTAATAAGCAAGAGTACATTTTTAATTCGTGGTCTTTGTAAAATTTACAAGTGCGTATTACACCAAATTGCAAGAGAAATAATGTTATTGCGTATACTTGTAAGTAATGTACATGAAAAAACATCACAGAAAGTCAAGACAGACGAAATTTTGAAAGCGTGCACGTAATTTCTAATTTGCACTCGTGCTTCAACTTTGCTTTCGTATTACATGAGAATGCACTCGTTTTCAGCCAATCAGAGGTACGTAATTTTTTCATGTTCATTATCAAAATCGTAAAACCACCTTCAGGCCTTAGCCAGACAAGCCTCCCTTCTTCCAATTAAGGAAGACCTTTCCTAAATTCTACGAGGTTTAAAAATATTAGTAAGAACTTATTCAGAACATATTCGTGAATCTTCGTTAATATTCCAGAGTCGTCAGATTCGCTCTGAGGAAAGGCTAACGCTCGAAACGTCAGCTTTGAAACACTTTACGGTGGCCAATTTCCGTTATCAGCTCAGTTGATAATACTGAAATACCTTGTTATACTCTCCCACCGACTCAGCACCACACTTTGTTTAGAAACTTACCTCCTTTATTAGCTAAAGTTAGAGGTTCTATAAGTTAGGATAATCTACATGTGAATTTATTTGGTTCTTTTACTGGGAGAAAACTCATACTCTATTTACAATCTTATCTTATTCATGTTTTTAGTCTCCCTTCACTAATTGAAATCCTCTGCCCCCTGGCAGCGTCCAGACACCCTTGCTTTACCACAGAAAAATAAGTAACTGAGCCTCTAAATAGAGTTCCTTTATAAACGCTGGATAAATCAGCTTTTCAAAGGTATCTTAAAATTCTAGATTCGAAAACTGATAAAGTTAGAACCCCATTGACCCTTGAAGCCCAAAGAAAAACTGGTTTATAATTTCTCCTTACAGTATCAACCTTGAATCAAATGTAAAGGTCATGATAACAAAGGAAATGATCACCAATTTAGGAAGCTCCTAATTGTGAAACAAATTCTCCTTATCGGTACCAGAGGAAATGTAAGGAGGACAGTGTGTAAAAGGTGGAAAAAATCTCGTCTAATTCTACTTTTCTTTCTTCTTTTTAAACCAGTTTACTTCTTCCTGAAAAAAGTTGTTTTGCACAAAACTACTACAACTGAGACCAAGAAGTGTCGATCAAAAAGACTGATAATATGGCCAAACACCAAAAAATGTAGCACACAAAGAGGCATGTACTCCCAACTATAACGGTTTTTAAAAATCGACTCTTACTGATACCACAGAGACCTACTACTCAAACGTTATTGACCAGTAAGCGTCTAAAACACCATAGCACCATCAAACAGCTAATGATGATTGCCGAAATCTTTGCTTGTACGTCAAGAAGCTTTACACGGCAAGCCACCGATTTTCTGTAAAAGTGAAGAAAAATAAAATGCAATAAATCAGCTGTATAGTGAGGCTGTTGAAGTGGCTTCAAATCAACGAAAGAACGTCAAAATTTACAGCTCTAGTCAGATTTAGACATACTAAAGATAAAAAAGAGGAATTCATATCACGGATCACTGGAAGAAGACGTTTATTTTAGTTTTATTTAGCGTTTAACATCGGCCTACCTTTCGAGGTTTCCCAATTGGATCAAAGCTAACATTTCCGTATATAAGCAAAGCCAAGTCTTTGAAGTTCCTTTGCATGGCAATAGACAAAGCAGTGCTTCCTTCCTAAAAGAGCAAAAAAATTAAATCACATTTTTACCCGAGTGAACTTTCATCAATTTATATACCTTTTCAGAATATACAACTATCTCACTTTACTTTTTCAAGCTGTAATGGGCAAGACACTTAATTCTTTCGGTACTTCTGTTTAACCAGGAATGCAAATGACAACCGGCGCACTAACATGAGTACTTGACGAAAAGTTGAAGGAGGGGGAAGGGGTGGTATACCTGATCGATGGACTGGCATCTTCTTTATGTTTACGAAACAGGAATAATAACTTTCCGCTAGACAAGTTGAAGATGACATTCAAAGGCGGAGAGCCCTTGCAAGAAAGGGAACACAGAGGGAAAAAAATGAACGAAAATTAATAGACACCCTTGTTGTAAAAATCAGCTATAACTGTCATACTTTAAACAAAGTCCACTCACATGGTCTTCTAGTGATGCATCACAATGAGGCTCCAAGAGCAGTCGCTTGGCGATATTGAGATGACCGTGTTCACACGCACACATAAGAGCTGTAGAGCCATCCTAGTAATATGAAAGGACGACAGAAATGTTGTTCATGAAAAGACGAAATGGTCAACCAAAACCTTGTTCGCTATCCTGTAAAACAGCACATATTGACTGAAATCATGACTTAAAATTGAAGCCTGAGATATCTGGACTAATCTCTCTAAAATGAAAATAAAGTTTTTAACCTCATCTGTTGCGTTGATATCGGCTCCAGCTTCTAGAGTGAGCTCGACCATTTCCATTCTCCCTCGACTGACAGCCAACATAAGTGGACTTTGTCCTGTCTGATTATTCCAAAGAAAAATTATGAGTAACATTCAGGAAAACTGTAAAAATAGGCGTGTATCTTCGCATACATGAAGCTTACGAATTTTAGTTAAAGATTGAACCCTGGGACAAGTTCTTGTAGTAGTAGCATTCATTTAGGGTTGAAAAAATAATAATAACAATGGTCAAGAGGTGACTTTCGAGTATATGCGAGTTAAATGCGAGTTCCTCCTAGAATTTGAGTTCGCCCCTACAAACGTAAAAACGGGAACGATTCGTGCTTGTGCAAGTTCACACGGGTTGCTTGATATATCAGAAAGAGGATGTCACCCTGGAGGGAAATCTCGCAATGGTGTCACATAAAAAGAGAACCACCCACGTCGATATAAAATGTGCTCTCCGATGGAACTTGTACTGAATGCGTTATTTTCACCAAACCAAGACATGGCGCTATCACTGCGGACGTGGAACGGAGAGAAAACAGACGTATAAGTGAACTTACTTCCTCGACTTGCTTGTTGACGTCTCCTGTTTGAAACAATTTCCTGGCGATGTCTTTGTCGTCTTCTTTCACGACTCCTGCCAAAGCAGCCATCATAATCGGAGTGTACCCAGCCTGGTAATCATTCAGTAAATTAATTATGCTGCCTTTCATACAATTTCTACACTTTCGCCAGACAACAGAATAACAGAAGCTTATTCAGTGTAAGGGAAAACTTCTTCCTGCTTGGCACTTAGTACCTAACGCTCTATAACGAAATGGTTGACTCAATTGTCTAAGACAGCACAATTTCACACTCACCCCCTCCCTCCTCTCTCCCCGTCCCCTCCCTCTTAGGAATTGTAGACATAACCAGCCTTCGTTCCTTATATACTCATTATCATTTCAGTAATAACTTGAAACCAAGCCAAGTTCACTGATAATTTTTTGGTTTTCCCCGACAGACAGTTTACTGAGCGCAAAATCGGGAGCGTTATATCGAGAGAGAACTGCTTTAACTACACACCAAACTTTTGGGAAGATGAGAAATTCTGGAGAATAACAATACCTTATTTGGTAAGTTCAGGTTCATGAGTCCCGTGTCCAGTAACACGTCCACTAATTTCCAGTTTCTAAATGACACAGCATAATGCAATGCATTATTTCCCTGTGGGCGAAGTAGATGACATTTTTTAACCACAATATTAAATTATCAATGGGTCAGTTACTCAGTCAATCAACTTAGAGTTGTTTAATCAATCAATGAGTCGACCAATACATTCACTCACTCAATTACCCATTCCACTCATTCCCTTCCTTCCTCCTTCTCTTGTAGAGCTCAATTTATGTGAGGCAAAAACTTTAATTCCTCGAAATCTTAGAACCTTCATCACTCTAAAAGAGTCAATTCCACTCATCGAGCCGAGTTCATGCTTATGATAG